GTATAAGTTTTCCAGCATTCTGAAGCAGTCCTAAGGCCCAGAATTGTGCCCGTACAAGTTAAAGAATGAGGCATCTATGAGTTGGTCATCTCAGTTCAGTTCCTAGGGGAACTGTGTTTCCATTACAGAAGCCACCACCACACTTGGTGCTTCCTCAGCGAAGAGCTGTGCTTAGACACTGTAGTGATGAGTGCCATGCAGAAACCTACATTAGCTGATCAGACAGATATGGCACAGAGCCTGAATTAGCTTTGCCTAAAGTTAGGCCTTCTAGGGCAGGGTTGAGACACAGTGACAGGGCACGGTGGGAAAGATCCTCAGCTGGTTGGCCTAGCTCCATGTGATAGGTTACTCATGCAGAAAGGGGGCCTATCTTGGCCACTGGAGCTAGCAACTGATAATCCAACCTATAGATCTAATCAGATGTTTAGTGATATTTGTAGGCAAACAGAATGAACTCTCCCCCCTCCCCCGGCTCTGGTGAAGTGAGGGAAGAGATGTATTTTGTTACAGGCCAAATGCAATGCTAGGCCCTGCAGCTGAAAGGTACTGAGACCCCTCCCCTCTTCAGTGTCCTTAGAGAGTTCCAATCATAAAAAGAAAGAATTTCCATTTAGACTTTCACTGGAGCTAGGCTGACTTATCCAGCTGTGGATCTGACCCTAACAGAGTTCCATGCACTTTAGCAAGAAATTCTCCCTTACACTCTCCCAAACCAAAACACAAGAAATACCTTGTTTGGGCCTCAAATAACTTGATCGCTGCCATTTATCCTACAGTAACTTTCACTAAGAAGAAATAATAGTTCATCAGAGTGACTACGGCTTTTCTACACCCTGCAAACTGCATTAAACTTCTCACTGGCCGCACTAGCTAAGCCTCTTACATCTCTGTCTGGCCTGTTCATATTTAGAGGCACAGCAGTAAGGCCCAATTGTTTTTTCTCAGGTCTTCCCATGTCTAGGCCTTATTAATTGTGCTCTCTGTATTACTGAAAATCCATTACATTGCTTCTTACCAAGCAATGTAAGCTACAGATCTTGTTGAAAGAAACACATACTCTAGACTGTATCAGCAACGTTTTAAAAGGTGCTTACTGGCTGTGAGCCTGATCCTGTTTCTGCTGGACCCAGCGAACTTGTTGGAATGCCTGTTTGAGTAATACACTCCCAGAGCTGCGATTACTTTTCTCTCCTGACACTGGAGAATCTGCATAATAGACATTTCACTGTTCCCACTGCACAACTGCCTCCTGCAAGGTTTCTTGCACCTTCCAGTATAAAACCTGGTACTGGCCACTCTTATAAAGAGCAGACCAGATAGACTATCTGGTCCAAACCAACATGGCAATCAAATCCCAGATCCCTTCAGAATTTATTTCTTCTTGGAACAAAAAAATACAGGTTTAGTGATCTTGCTGTGATGAAAGCAGATCCCCCTTGACATTTCCTATTCCTATCAGGCAACTGATGAAGTGGCAAACACAAGACCTATTCCTCTTGTCTTTTTAAAGGGACTTTAAAGAATGGTCCATTTACAGATAATAGCTCATTTATTCATTGGTCAAGCTGGGCAGCAGAATATGACGTTCTAACCACAAACCAGGCAAATCAACTAGCTATAATTATTTTGTTAATTTCCTCTGTATTTCACCATCATTCCTTTTGAACCGCACTGTAACTTCTTCCTTAAGAAAGGGAGGTGGCTCTTGCAAACAGAAGTCATGCTTGCAGCTCACAGCCATTGTGCTGTCCCTTCTCAGACAGGGAAGTACAAAGCCCCAAAAGCAGAAGTGCTTTTCTTCTCACAGGCCAGTCCAATACATTTTTGGCTCTCAGACTGAACTTCTAGCTGTGTTAGCCAATAACAGGTGCAAGATTTGCATTAACAATAACAAAGATTCAAAGGTCTCAAACCTGGCATCTGCTCTAACATAAGGGGACAATCTGCTTTTAGTCAAAGGAAAACTATCCAGATCAGTCTGTAATAAACTGGCCCTCCAATATCATGTCAGTCGCTGCAGTCAGATACTTGGATAATCACAAACAGCCTCCGAGGAGCATGCACACACCCATGCATGCATGAGGAAATGTTAGCCTGCAACTCCTAGCAACTGACAAAACTGGCAATCATCAATTAAGAATGCTGGGCTTCAAACTGGGAGTTACTGGAAATTGCAGTGATTGAAACTAGGAACGTTATCCACTCACTGGTGTTTCCTTGGGACTGACATTTGCTGTGATTATCTTTATTTGCAAGGGAAGAACATGAATAGTACTTAGCACTTACACAGCACTAGTATGTCTTATGTAATGCTAATATTCCAGTGTTCTAGCCTTATTACTTTTCATCTTCAATTCACTTTACGAACATTAACTAGCTGATCTCCACAACCACATCCATCAGGTAGGTGGACAGACTTAATCCCATTTTACAAGTGGGGAAACTGAGGCAGACAAGCCAAGTGACATTGAGGTCACAGAGGGAGTCACGATCAAGGTTAAAAGTATAACTCAAATTCCTGCCTCCCAATCCTATGCTTAGACCACTAGGACATCTTCCCCACAGACTATGCCTCTTTAAGCCCTATTTCCACCAGAGGCCCCTTTACAGTCTGATTCTTCTGCAATGTAAGCTGGTGTAAGTCAGGGTAACTCCACTGCCTTCAGTGGAAACAGGCTCGTGTAAAACAGGTGTAACTGAGAGGAGAATCAGGCCCCGCGGATCCGCAGGTGGATAAGTCCAGCCACGCTCTTCTTTGTAATTTACTTCTCTGAGCCGTGAGCAGTCCCATCAAATCCACTCTCGTGCCAATGGCTGAGTTTTCCATTCTTTGCACCTTTTATTGCTTGATCAACAAACTAAGGATTGTGGGCTATTGATTTGTATAGTTATTTTAAAGCCAGGGGCAGGGAGAAAATCCCTTTATTGTACACAAACCTTTTGATTGAGATTTGATTATTTGCGTATTTATGAACTCGCTTCTTTTGCCATCTCCACTGAGCGCAGACAGCAAGGGCTCAGCATTTTGTAAAGAAGCTCTACAAAAATCAATTGAATTGAATGCAAACTCTTTCTTTCCCTAACTCTGCCAATTCATCTGAGAAGCTCCCAAGCCATTCTTGCCTTATTCTTCACTCGCCAGTTTTGAGAGTTTCAAACAAACGGTCTAAATTTCTGAGATCATGTTTCCAAAAGGCTCCGACGGAGGCACTTTTCCTTACTGCTCCAACAAAAAGGAAATCTACTGGTTTGATTACTTAGCTTTATGCATCATTTGTCATAATCATACTCAACCTCCTGCCTTTGCCCCCAGAAAACTTGGGACTTTTGCCATGAAAAATATAGCACGTGGACATTTCAACAGGTGTCCCCCACCCTAGCTAAATTAACATGCTTTGAAATCCTCTGCTAAAAAAGGGGTGAGAAGATTATTGGGTTACTAAAGCTGCATGAACACCCCAATGCGGTGGGTAGGTTTGAGCCCATGTTGCAGGCGGGAGAACAGAAGCACTGTGACTTGGCCAGGTACAGCACATAAGAGGCAAAGCCAGGAATCCCCAAGAGTCCTGACCCCAGGAGCCTCTGTACTCTTCCAGCCGTTCGAAAAATTTTGAACTCAAGGGCCAAGTGTAAGAGAAAGATCACCAGGCAAGCCCAGGGGCTGCTCGTTTGTCTCTTTTTAGAGGAGAGGGGCGTCACGCCAGTGCCATAAAAAGAAAACCTTCCCACATCAACCTAACAGCGATGGATAAGTGTCCTGGGTTTTCCCTATGAGGAATTTCCACCACTCTGACATTTGCGAAACCTCTTGCTTCCTTCCCTGACCCCACACCCAGTGTGAACCCAGAGAACTAAAACAAGCACCACAATAGACCCCGGCCTGCATCCTTTGCACTCAAGCCAGTTGACTATGACCCCTTTCCCTCATCGCCAGTTGTCCCCGCTCCCCCTCCTGGGGGCTGGAACTCAGAAGCCAGCTATCAAAGGAACACTTCCTTTTATTTCTAGGACTAGGAGTGAGAGATGGAGCAGGAGCCCTCATTCCTGCTAAGCAACATTTCCTTAAGGCAATGATGGTTCCTGGTGGAAAACCTTCAAGGTATCCCCCTCCTCCCAATATCATGGTATGTGGAGTACTTAGCAGAGAGGTTTGTATGCCACTGTTAAAAACAGAACCGCCCCCATCTCTTTCTCTCTCACACAAACCAGAAATAAACGTTTTTTAAAGCTGAAAGAGGAAGTCTCCCTTGAAGACAGGCGGGTGCCTAACACTATGAGGAAGTAGGAGAGTTCAAAGATCTACCCCCACGCCCCAGTTCCTCAAGGCTGCAGCTGTTGCTTTCCAGCCCCAAATGACACCGATTAATTAAACCAGTGATTTCGCCCACCACAATCGACCTAGCATTGGAAACAGCCCTTCGGCGAGTCCCACACTCACCCCCCAGGCCATCTTCACCCCCCTACGGAGGAAACCCCAGTCTTGGCCCTCGGCCGAAATACAGCCCTTGCGTCTCGGGCTGGTTTTGATCCCAAGCCACGACACGCCCGGCCCCCCACGCACGCCGGGGCGCACCCACAATGGACAGCGCATCTGGGCATTGCAGAGGCAGGGCGGGGGGAGAGAGGGAGGGACATGCTCGCCGCCGCGGCTTCTTTCACCGCATCCACCCCGGAGCAAACAATCGTGCTCGGCTCGGCTTCTCCGGGGGCTGTTTCTTGCGGGAGGTGAAGCCCTTCGTGCACGTGCATCGTGGTGTGGGGAGCGTCTCGGTAACGGGGGCGAACCCACGTGCACACGCAGGCGGCTCTAGGAAGGCACACCTGCGGGCCGGGGCCGGGGCCGGGGAGACCGGCTTTGCTCCTGGCACCTTGCGTCGGCAGATGAAGCGCCGCCCCATCCCTGCAAAATGCCAGCCCCATCCATAATCCCTCCCCGCCCAGAGCAGCCCCCCCCCACGCTGCAAGGCACCGGAATCGAGCCGAGCGCCCCGCATACAATGAGGTCACGGTACCTGGGGCCGGGAGCGGGGCCGCCGCGGGAAGAGGCAGCTGCTGCCGCCGGCGAAGGAACCGCGGGTGCCGGCGCCCGTCGCAGGCTTCCGGGTTGGTCCGCGTCAGCGTCACCGCCCCAGGTTTGCAAAGCGGCCGCGGCAGCATGAGAAATAACTATAAAAGGAAGAGACTCACGGGGGAGGAAGAGGAAACCCTGTTTACCTTTGAAAAGCGCAACTGCCCTGGCCTGGCAGAAACAGCGGATTCTTTACCACCCCTGCAGGGGCGCCCGGGAGCGGCTCCGTGCACGTGCAGCAGGGAAGCAGAGATCCCCCCCCCCCCAGCTCAAAAAGCGGGGACTGCTCGCAGGGGTGGCCCATGACACCAGGGATCTGACCCTGCAAGCTGCTGGGCAACTCCTGGCCGCACGAAGCACCCTCACGCCCCCTGGGAGTTGACCGGCGCTGAGCACCTTGCAGGATGGGGGCCCTAGGGTGCTGTGAAGTTCAGTATTTGTAAAGCACGCCCAGATCTTCACCGGAGAAGTGCAATAGAAAGCATTTGTTTAATGCTGGATTTATTTCACCCGTAGGGATACTCCAAGCACGCTCACAAGGGCGATCGAAAAGTCCAGACATTTTCTTTCCTTGTTTCTCAGACAGAAGAATAACCCACGCTGCAGCTAGAGTCTGGTTGGTTTCATTCACCGACTGAATACGCCCACTGGGGGTCTGATTTTCACAGCTGATGAGCACCCCCAGCTCCACCCGAAGCCAATGAGCCTGATTCTCTTCTCACTTACACTGGCCTAAACCCACTAACTTCAATGGCATCGCTCCTGTTTTACATTCGGGGGAGAGGAGAAATAAGCCAAAGGAGAGGTGGGCAGGAGTGTTTAGCAGCTCTGAAAATCAACCTCTAAGCATCCCTGGAAGGTGGGTCTAGTGAATGGGACCACTAAAGTCACACGTGTAGACATGAAATAACAGCCATGCCCGGCATGGATTGCAACCAGTGGCTACTCCTCTCGTTACCTGTCAGACTACATGCAGACATGCCTGCAGCAGCGAATACCCAGTGAGCAGAATGGGGTTGAAATAAACCCAATCTTTCAGACATTTAAGCGCAAAGCTAATTTTATGGACATGGGCTCCACTTTAGGAGAGCCCTTAAGCATGTGATGACGTTCATCCCTATTAAACAAAACACTTAAGTTTGTGCTCAACTTTAAACGTGCTTAAATCCCACTGAAATCAATGGTACTTAAGCTCATGCCTGAACAGAAGCATGCGCTTAAGTATTTACTGAATCGGGATCAATTGCTGCATGAGAGACATGAGCAGCTCTGTTGAACTCAATGGAGTTCCTCACCTGTATTAAATTTGTCACGTGTAAGCGTTTGCAGGATCAGAGCAGAAGGCAATCAGAGGTTTAGTGCTGGCTTTACAGAGCTGTGTTAGAGACTCAATGGGCTGGTTTTGCTGTTGACAGTGCTCATGCTATAAATGTCAAGTTTTCGTCTGGTGCTTGGTTGTTACTGCCACAGCACTGAGCCAGAATGCAGCGCTGGTGTGAATAAATGCTACAAGCAAAACCACAATTGAAAAGGAAGGATTACGCTCTAGACACACCAACATACAGGGGTTAGTGCTTGCACACAGGCGGTCACTAATGAGACACTATCAACTGCAACCTGCAGTTTTAATTTTTCTTCTCATTTATTATACCCTCTTGAAAGCTTTTCTATTAAAGAAATACTGACCGCTCCTCCGGCTTTTCCTCTCTCTTCTGGCAGCAGAAGTCAGAGTAGCTCTATACAGCTCGGTTCCCCATGTGTGCCGCAGCACAATGGCTGAGGCACCCAGGATCACGCGGAGCTCTAGAAAGCCAGGAGAATTCGATCATGTCACCCTTCCTCCTGGAGCAGCACTTTGCTCCTTAAATAGTCCCCCTGAAACATAGTCCCCCTCCCTGGGGGGAGGGATAACTCAGTGGTTTGAGCATTGGCCTGCTAAACCCAGGGTTGTGAGTTCCCTCCTTGAGGGGACCATTTAGGGAGCTGGGGCAAAAATTGGGGATTGGTCCTGCGTTGAGCAGGGGGTTGGACTAGATGACCTCCTGAGGTCCCTTCCAACCTTGATATTGTATGTAAATGGGAGCCATAGATGACTCCTTGTGAGTATGGGTGGCAAAATCAGGCCCCCCAGTTTGTTAATTCATTGTAGCAGACAAAAAGATCACAAAACCGTAGCATTGTGGGAACAGCAAAGAAACAACCTTCCATCAAAATATTTCTCAATTCTGCAAACACTTATGCACATGCTTAATTTTAGGTATATGAGTATTTCCATTGACTTTAGTGGGATCACTGCTGTGTTTAAAGTTCAGCGTTTTCAGGACACATTAGATATTCTTTTCCACATTCAAAATAAAACCAAGGTCCTGTCTATCTATGGTAGTTAAGAACTTCATGGCACTTCCCCCCATCCCACCCCCAACCAGGAACAGCGACGTCATACCCCAGTATCTTATACTGATGCCAGTTTCTTAATAATACTACAACAACAGTCAGAGGCCTTGATCAGGATTGGGGCTCCATTGCGTTAGGCAGAGCACACACATATGCTAATGAACAGTCCCTGTGCTGAAGAGTTTACCTGTTAGGCCTTGATCCAGCAAACCCTGATGCCACGAGTAAGTGTATACACATGATTAAATTTCTAATAAGTAAAATCAGGTCTTTATGTAAGACAAGACACAGGAGGACGTAACCAATCCTGTGAGAGAGAAACAGGCTCACAGAGACAGGAATGTGTGGTTAGAAACACTATGTTCACTATGAGTTGGTTTCAAGTCATTTAAAGAGATTTTTAAGAAGCATTAACAGTATATGAACAAAAATAGCCCCTATAAGTAATCCCTAGATTGTAAACTCTTTGAGATACAGCACTGTCCTCTTACAAGTCTGTAAAATGCCGTGCACACACCTGGTGCTATAAAAATCGTGCAGGAATTTTTTTTAACATGAATAAGGCCACATATTTTCCCCTAATCTGCTCTGACCATTTTTGCTGAAACTTTCCAAAAACAGTTCAACCTGAGGCAGATATCTGGTATGGAAAATTTCAGCCTAAACAGTTAAAGTTTAACAAAGCTATACACAACTGAAAACAGGGTCTTCTAATGGAAAGTGTTAAGGAACCTTACCTATAAATGTTACTACCTACTGCCTATAATAAGGATAATTTACATGGGCTCTGATCCTGCAATAGGTGCAGACCTTGTAGATCTCTACTGACTTCAGTGGGGCTCTGTAGTTGCCAGTGTCAGCCCATGTCGATCCAATCACAGCATCAGAGGCTAACGTTCATAGTAAATACTTTCCCACACTCAGCCCACTCTTGCAAACTGCCTGTGTATCATTCCTTTATGGCCCCTTTCACCATAGTATCTGAGCTCATAATCATTAATGGACTTATCCTCACAACTCCTCTGTGAATTAAGGAAGAACTATTATTCCAATTTTACAGATGGGACCCGAGGCAGAGAAGCTAAAGCCTAGATCTGCAAAGGTACTTCACTCTCATTGATTGCAATGCCAGTTAAGGACATAAATAGCTTTGAGAATCTTGTTCACTGTCACACTAAAGGGAATTGAATGTCTTCCAAGTTCTAGAACAGTGCCCTAACCACTGGACCATCTTGCTGCATGAGCAGCTTGCAGTATCAGTACCTTGACTATGAAAATTAAAGAGACTAAGGTGAATGGACTGTACTCGATGCTTCCTTAGTTTACTCCATTATATTACTTTGATATCATTTGCGTTACGGAAGCAAACAGGAGCCCTAATCATGGACCAGGATCCCCTTGTGCTAGGTGCTGTACAACACAGAACAAACAGAGGATCCCTGCCCCAAAGAGCTGGCAATCTATATAAATATTATTAGCAGTAGATTGCACGTAAAATGTGTAAGAAAGACATTGTCATGTTAAAATGACATTTTAAGAAACCCCTTACTCATATTAGAGCTTTAACATTACAAAATTTTTTCCAATGTAGTCCACTTCCCAACACCTATGCTCTTTATTTCATATTGAACTTTCATTGTCTCCAACTTGGAATATGAGAATAGGGGAGTCTGTTGTTCTTTAGGCCCCGATCCTGCAATCAGTTCCATGCCGACAGACCCATATCCCCACACAAGGACCCACTGACACCGTGTTCATTGTCTAGGTCTATGCATTCGCACAATGCATCTGTGATTGGTTGCAAACACTGCAAGGGACTGTTTGAGATCCAGTGACACACCATCTTTATTAAAAGGGTAAAAATATCCTGGGAACTGGGCTCCATGATTTTTTAAAAATGTAAATGTTGGGACAAAATTATAATGTCACTTTAACACCAGAAAGAACACAAGGCAGTGCCTTAAAATGGTTACAGCGAAGAGAGTACTCTAGCAAATACCCAAGGAGCAGTCTGTCTTTCCATGAAATTCTAGCCTCTTCTGACTGAAAATCAATTACTGGCTGCCTATACTGAGGACCGGTGGGCTTTGGAAGACTCAATTTCTTTTAGTTAATTATAATGATGACATCTAATAAGAACGGCCATACTAGGTCAGACCAAAGGTCCATCAAGCCCAGTATCCTGTCCTCTGACAGTGGCCAATGGCAGATGCCTCAAAGTGAATGAACAGACAGGTTATCAAGTGATCCATGCCCTGTCACCCAATCCCAGCTTCTGGGAAACAGAGGCCAGGGACACCATCCCTGCCCATTCTGGCTAATAGCCATTGATGAACCTATCTTCCATGAATCTATCTAGCTCCCTTTTGAACCCCATTATAGTACTGGCCTTCACAATACCCTCTGGCAAGGAGTTCCAGAGGTTGACAGTGCACTGAGTGAAAAAATACTTTATTGTGTTTGTTTTAAACCTGCTACCTATTAATTTCATTTGGCAGCCCTTTGTTCTTGTATTATGAGAAGGAGTAAATAACACTTCCTTATTTACCTTCTCTATACCACTCATGATTTTATAGACCTCTATCATATCCCCCTTAGTCGCCTCTTTTCCAGGCTGAAAAGTCCTAGTTTTATTAATGGCTCCTCATAGGGAGAGAGAGAACTGGGAAAAGTCCCCAGTGAAGTTGCCTGTGAGAAGACTCAGTTATTCTCTTTGGGAACAAAGGCAGGGGCAGCGATGACCTGGGGACATCTTGGCAGGGTTGGGGCTGGTTTTCTCTTTTAAGTAACTTTCTATGTACATGGTGACTCTGGAGCGCTGGCCCAACACGGGGACGTGAGACTTGCGCCCTGGGGGGAAGCTGCTCTCCGGGCAGGGGCCCAACACAACACAGGGCTTCAGAGGGGTCTGAAATGCGGCCCAGTCCCTGAGGGGAGCGGCCTGGCCCATCAGCGCGCCCGATAAAGGCGGAGCCGGCGGCGGAAGCGCCTTTAGCCACCCCGGCAGGATGGGGGAGCCGGAGCCACATGAACATCCTGATCATCGGCCATGTGGACTCGGGTAAATCCACCACCACCGGCCACCTCATCTACCAGTGCGGGGGGCTGGAACCCCGGCTGCTGGAGAAGCTGGAGGCCGCGGCTAGCCAGGTACGCTCGCCCCCTTCCGTCCCCACGGCGGGGTCGCCCTTCCCCGGGCGGCCCCGGCCCGGGCGCCCTGAGCGCCGCTCCGCCCCGCAGGTGGGGAAAGGCTCCTTCAAGTTCGCCTGGGTGCTGGACAGGCCGCGGGCGGCGCGGGAGCGGGAGCGGGGCATCACCATCGACCTCTCGCTTCTCCGTCACCATCATCGACGCGCCGGGCCACCGCGACTTCATCAAGAACATGCTGACCGGCACCTCCAGGTAGCGGGGCCCCTTCCTCGCCCGGGGTGGCGGTGCGGCCCCGAGGGCGCGGGGAGCGGCCCCGAGCCGGTGTTGCTGGGGGTTGCGGCCCCGATCCTGCCCCGGGCCGGTGTTGCAGGGTGTGTGTGTTTGTGTGTGTGTGTGTGGGGGGGGGGTGTGCAGCGCCGTGGGCGCAGGGAGCGGCCCCGATCCTGCCCCGGGCTGAGCTGGGGCCGGGGGCGGTTGCAGCCCCGCCGGGCGCACGGAGCGGCCCCCACCCTCACCCGGCCCGTCTCTGCCCCAGGCGGACGCCGCGGTGCTGATGGTCTCGGCCTCGGCCGCGCCCGGGGAGTTCGAGGCCGGCGTGTGCCGGCAGGGGCAGACCCGCGAGCACGCCCTGCTGGCCTACACCCTGGGCGTCAAGCAGCTGCTGCTCCGAGCCGCCCTCCAGCCAGCGGCGCTTCGAGGAGGTGGTGCGGGGCGTCAGCCTCTACCTGGGCAGGATCGGCTACAGCCCGGCCGCGGTGCCCTGCCTGCCGGTGTCCGGCTGGGCCGGCGAGAACGTCACCCTGCCCAGCCCCAGGTGGGGGAGACCCGGGGATGGGGAGCGGGAGCTGAGGGCAGCTGCTGGTGGGAGGGACCCACGTGGCGCTCAGTTCCGTGGAGGGGCTGCTCCGCTCCAGCAGGGCTCCGGCCCTCGGCCATGCCCAGTGGGTGGGGAGGCGATTGACCCAGAAGGCAGAGCCCAAGGTGCCATGCAGCTGGAGCTGGGGGTGGCAAGGTGAAGCGCTGAATGCTGCAGCTATAGCTGGGAGGGACAGGCCTATGGGCACCCTTCAGCGTGAGTCCAAGGGGAATGGCCCTCCAACGGGGGCTAACGCCAGACCTTGGGTCCCAGCCCCAGGCTGCGTTTCCTGTATCCAAAGGCTGCCAAGCATCTCCCTGGCTTCCCTCTACCCCCTGCAGATGCCGTGGTTCAAAGGCTGGAAGGTCAAACGGAAGGAAGGCTTTGGGAAGGGACAGACGCTTCTGGAAGCGCTGGATTCTCTCCTGCCTCCCGTGAGGCCCAGTAACAAACCGCTGAGGGTGCCTCTGCAGGACGTCTACAAGATTGGAGGCCAGTCCAGGCAGGAATGGGACCCTGGGACATGCTGATCTACAGCTGGGTTCTGCATGGGGTTTCTGAGGTGATTGACTGTTCCTCTGTTGGAAGGGCCCAAATCACCCCCAACTTAATGACTTTCTGTGTAGATGAGTCTCTCAGGAACTTGCTCCTTGTAATGCCTGAGACTCAGGAAGTGTGTATAGCAGTTAGTGTTAAGCAGCCTGGGTACTGGTCTCTTTGCTATTTCTGGCCTTGGTTAGTGAAGGCTCAACTTCATGAAGGAAACACTTCTGAGGAGACTCTCCCTCCTCCACCATCCCAGCCAGGACACCCACCTTACCTCAAATTAACTGGTCTGCTTGCTGTGCTGGTTATGGGCTTTCCACAGTCAGCTCTGACTTACTCTTCCCCTGTCTCCTCCCAGGAATTGGCACTGTACCAGTGGGGAAGATAGAGACAGGCATCCTCAAGCCTGGCATGAACATCTCCTTTGCCCCTGCAAACCTCTCAGCAGAGGTCAGAACCATTGAAATGCACCATGAGCTGCTGCAGGTGGCTTTTCCTGGTTACAATGTGGGCTTCAACATAAAGAACATCTCAGTCAAGAACCTGAGACGGGGCCATGTAGCTGGCAACTCCAGGAGTGACCCCCCAGCAGCAGCAGCCCACGTCACTGCTCAGGTGCAGAGACTTGCCTCTATGGGGCTTACATGGTTCATAGGGTGTTGGCCCTTCATGTCTGTGCAGCAGGGAGGCCACAATTCCTGAGGGGTGTGACCTCTGGTAGCACCACTGGGAGGTTTGGAATAGGTGTGGGGGTCAGACTGGACTCTGCAGAATACAGTAATTGCTACAGACACTCCTCACCAATGCTGGGGTCTGTTCGCTTAGGCAGCTTCCAGCCGTATCTGCTGCCCAAATTTGGAGGCGCTGCTCTCCATAAATGTCTATGCCAGTGGTTCCCAAACTGGGGTTTGGGAACCCCTGGGGGTTTGTGAAATGTTACGGGGGTTCTCAGGAAAAACATCCCTAATGGCAGACAGAGTTGTCCCTACAGACCCCGGACAGCATGGGGCCAACAGCATTGAGCCCCTGGACTTCCAAGAGCTAAGCAGATCAAAGCAAGCATATCTATCACACTGAGGAGACTTAAACTTCAAGACTCCTTATAAGAAATGGAAAGGGTGGTGGATATTTTTGCTGGTTTTAAAATTAAATAGGCAGCTAGTATTTTTAAATTATTATAAGTTTAAGCTTTGTGCGTTGTTTGCCTAGACTGCTCAAGACCTGAATGCTTGGGTAGGAGGAACTCTTCGAGTTGGCTTCTTAAATATCGTCATGCTGTTTCACATCTGATACTCCTTTATGAAACATAGGAGCCTTCTCTTATAACAGGCTTATTCAAAGTGATACAAGCTACGAAAGTGAGATCTTGGAAGAGCATTGCCATTTTCATCATATAATAAATACTGTAATGATAAATGACAATGTGTAATAAGCATGTCATAAAACAAATTTTATATTTCCAAGATCACTGCTTTTTAGAATTTATACTCAGGTAAAGGAGAAAATCCCTGGAAATATTCAGTTTTAGGAGGGGGTTTGCAAGACTTGACATTTTAGTGAAAGGGGTTCACAGGTTGTTAAAGTTTGGGAACCACTGGTCTAGTCATTTAAAATGACAAGAGGGTTGGGGAACTCCTAAAGCACAGATCCTTAGTTCCTCCTTTTGTCCTAGGTGATCATCTTGAATCACGCTGGCTTTATCAAGGCTGGCTACTCACCAGTGGTAGACTGTCACACTGCTCATATCACCTGCCAGTTTGCTGAGCTCTTTGAGAAGATTGACCGTCGATCTGGGGAGAAGCTGGAGGACAATCCCTCCGTGCTGAAGTCCGGAGACTCTGCTACTGTCAGGCTTGTACCTAAGAAGCCTCTGTGTGTGGAGAGGTTTTTTGACTATCCCCCTTTAGGCAAGTGTTTTGAAGTCAAGTCAGCTCTACCTATTTGCTACTAATCACATACATGAGATGTGATGAGTCACCTTAGCTAAACCCTAGGAGCTTCCATTTCCATTGTCTGTTTATCATGATCTTGTGTAGTTTGATGGATTGGGCAGGGAAGAAGCTGACTGTAAACTGCAGACTTCAGCTAAGCAACTTAAATAAACAGACTGTTACTGCACTAAGGGTAGCTTAGCAGTCTGAACAGCTTGAATTGTAACACTTGAGTCCAGTCATGGACCAGACCCCCATTGAGTTAATGCTGTTCAAACACAGAACAAAGATGGTCTGTGCCCCAAAGAGCTTAAGTCTAATTCTAAGATGACAGATGGGGCTGGAGGAAGTACAAGGTGACTGCATGAATATAAGCAGTAGCACCTTCTCCTTTGTTTGAAAGGCAACTAGAATATTTAACTTCATTTCAGGTCGCTTTGCAGCTTGGGACTTGAAGCAGACTGTTGCGGTTGGAGTCATCAAATCTGTGGAAAAGAAGCCTGCAGGTGTCACTAGAAAACAGGTGCAGAAAGCTCTGCTTATCAAGTGAAATGGGTCTTTTTTTTGTTTAAAGCCAATTTAATTGAAAGGTACCTTTCATGTAATAAGGTTAATTTGAGATGGACTTTTGTTTTGCTTAACCCAGAATTGGGATGATTCTGTTTTATGGCTGGTTCAGAGCCAGTAACATTATCTGAACATTAAAGGCCTCTTCATCTCAGAGGCCTGCATCCAGTTTAATAAAGAAATCATTTAAGAGAAGCACAGCTTGGTACCTCCTCCTTTATTTTAAGCTCCTAGAAAAATGTCTCCACCCTCCAGCTGTGGAGACAAAGGCAATTTGAACAGGTCTTAAGGACCGCTTCAAACTACCACTTGCATCTATGTAAGTAGGCTTGACAGGTGGCCACAGCTTCAGGAGCCTCAACTACTTTAGAACACTCCAGCAAGCCACTGTGAACTTCAAGGAGCTTCTATGTAAAGGGCTCTAAACTCAAGAAGCAAGCTCACTTCTACTTGTGGGGGAAGTAGTAGCAAGAACTAGGATGTGAGTTTCTAGTGGTTAGCACTTCTGTGAATGGCCACGTACAGCTTTCACTAGATGAAAAGGGAGGTAGGAGTAGATTTAAATTAGGGCTGTCAAGCTATTTTAAAAAAAATTAATCATGATTAATCTCCCTTCTAAACAATAATAGAATACCATTTATTTAAATATTTTGGATGTTTTCTAAATTTTCAAATCAATTCTGTGTTGTAATTGAAGTCAATATAAAGTGTACAGTGCTCACTTCATATTTAATTACAAATACTTGCACTGTGAAAAACAAGGTATTTTTCAATTTACTTAATACAAGTACTGTAGTGCAATCTCTTTATCATGAAAGTTGAACTTACAAATGTAAAATGGTGTACAAAAAATAACTGCATTCAAAAATAAAACCACGTGAAACTTTAGAACCTACAAGTCCACTCTGTCATATATATAATTTCATTCAGCTAATAGCTCAAACAAGTATGGTTACAATTTGCAGGAGATAATACTGCCCACATTGTTGTAGTTGGCATTGCAAGATATTTATGTGCCAGATGTGATAGAGATTCATATGTCCCTTCATGCTTCAACCACCATTCCAAAAGATGTGTCCATGCTGATGGTGGGTTCTGCTAGATAACAACTGAAAGCAGAGCAGACTGACATGTTCATTTTCATCATCTCAGTCAGTGTTGCTCCTTTGACATTTGAAAGCATTCTCGACACCTCAGATTTTTGGAAGGCACTTCAGATTCTTAAACATTGGGTTGAGCGCTGTTGCTATCTCTAGAAATCTCACATTGGTACCTTCTTTGCATTTTGTCAAATCTGCAGTGAAAGTGTTCTTAAAACAAACGTGCTAGGTCATCATGTGAGATGACTAACATGAAATATATGGCAGAATGTGGGTAAAACAGAACAGGAGACATAAAATTCTCCCCCAAGGAGTTGTCACAATTTAAATTTTTTTTTTTAAACAAGCATCAGTATGAAAGCATGTCCTCTGGAATGGTGGCTGACACATGAAGGGGCATATGAATGTTTAGCATATCTGGCTTTGCAAGGTATTTATGTGCCAGCTACAACAATGCCAGGCGTATGCCTGTTCTAGCTTTCAGGTGACATTGTAAATAAGAAGCAGTCAGCAGTATTTCCTGCAAATTGTAACCAAACTTGTTTGTCTTAGCAATTGTCTGAACAAGAAGTAGGACTGAGTGGACTTGTAGGCTCTAAAGTTTTACATTGTTTTGTTTTTGAGTGCAGTTATGGAACAACAAATCTACATGTGTAAGTTACATTTTCAGGATAAAGAGATTGCAAGAGAGTACTTGTATGAGGTGAATTGAAAGACTATTTATCAGTTTTACAGTACAAATATTTGTGATCCAAAAAAATTGCACTGTTAAACAATAGACTACCCATTGAAATTAAATATTGATTTCTATTACAACACAGAATACAAAGTGTACAGTGCTCACTATATTTTTTTGGATCACAAATATTTGTAATCAGTTAATTTTTTCAAGTTAACAGTAATTAATCAACAGCCCTAGTTTAAACATAACTTTGTCACTGAAAAACCTAGGGAAATTTTAAGAGTCCTAATTGACTTCCCCCCCCTACAGTATCCTTTAGGGTTCTCTTTCAAAAGTCTTCCTTAGTTTTAGCCTTGAAGAAGCCAAACTCTTCCCCCTCCCCCACCCCCTGTAGTATCAAGTGCCAGAGAAACTGAACCAGCTTAACACTTTATTCAGTATCCCTTCTAATTACTGATATTCTTTGCCTAAATTCCAGCCTGTGGTTCTCACTAATGGGTGTAAGATGGCCTAGGTCCAAGGTCCCCAATGTGTAAAGCATGCCCCCCTAGGGGGGACATGGAGGACTATCTGGGGCATGTGTGCTATGGCAGGCTCCAGGCTAGCCCACAAAGGGGCAGGGAGGGAGCACCACAGAGCCTCTCCCCAACTCCAAGACTTCGCACTGCTCCTTTCCTGGCTGGGGGTGGGGCTTGGCCTGACTGCTAGCCCCCAATGCAGCCCTGCTCCTGGCCCCAGATCTGGCCCCCTTATCCCTGTCTGCATCCACCCGTGGCTGGTTCCTGGCCCTGGGAGGGAGATGGGACCCTCAAAAGTTTGGGGACTGCTGGCTTAAGTGTTCTTTGAATAAACTTGACACAAGGTATTTTGCATCAGTCTAGCATCTTTAGTTTTACCTGTGATCTAGTACAGTTAATCTTTCACAGGTGTTAACCTAAAATCTCCAATTTATGCATCTTTGGTACAAGCATGTCATAAGCCTACTTCATAAAGATCGCTGAGTGGGAGGGAGCAGAAAGGCACATGTGGCTAGACTAATCCTCTACTCTAGGCTAGGAAGCTATAAGTGGGATTGTTGCTTAGCCTTGCAAGAGGGCTTTTCTGATGGAGCAGGAGAACAGTTAAGGTTTTGTAGGTGCTGATCTTGATAAGACATGGAATCTTCTAAACTATCTACAAATGCAGACAAGTTGAAAATGCTTGCAGTCAAATTTTACTGATAAGTCAAAGTGAAACAGGAGTAAAAAGTAGAGGGGTGGTTCTGGTCAATTTGTAGTTCCTAGACTAGCTGCCATTTGTCCTGTAATCCTGTACATTAGTACTAACCTAATCTCGTTTGTGACAGGTGTAAGGAAGTAAAATTACACTAACAGCTGTTTACAAAGTCAGCTTCCATAAAACCATTCCTTTCACAAAGCAACAAGCAGTTAATGTTTAGCTTCAATATCTCAACTTAAAGTCACCAGCAAAGTCTACTGGTGTAAGTTCCTACTAACTCTGTGCTTATCACACATACTCTGGAAACAAAATCTTGAACTAGCCAAATCTTAAGCTTTAGGCCTATAGTTGTGCAATATTAGCAAACTTCAACAGTATCGTGAACCTGCTGCATCTAATTCTAACAAGTGCCAAGCAGTCTCAAGGCCTCTCCAATGTTTTGCAGTATAATAATGTTGGTGTATTTTAAGTAGACTTACATGTCACAAATTAGTGTCCAAGTAGTCAGTGCATTTTTATTTGGGGCTTAGATCTCTCCCTTAATTAACAGTATTCACGTTTCCTGTAAATTGAAGGATTAGTGTTTACTGTGTACATGCAGAGCACGTCTTTAGACACTTGAGGGCTTTCCCTTCAACTACAATCCATGAACATACTTTCTTCTTCTAACTAGGCCATTTGAGATGTAGTATATGACTGACTACTTTGTGGGAGGTGGCTTGAAGGATTTATGGTCTTACTGAGCAACCTCCAATATTGAATTGCAAACTTTTAACCCTTTATCTTTCACTAGGTAATCTGTATAATAGGTCTTAAATGAATACAGTAAATGTTAAGGATTAGATATAGTCTATAGTTACAGCAGACTTACTGCTCAGCATCTGAACCTAATCACTGATCAGCCAATCATCATTCAGTTTAAAGCTTCCATTTTCTTTGCTGGTGTTGACTAGGGTAAGCAGATCATACATTTCTGAACAGCAGACTGAGGAATTTGAATGAACAAGTATTAGCTCTCTTGTGCAAGGAGAGGGCAGGCCTACTTAAAAATTTGAGCTCTAACCAGGAAAGTGCCTGTACCTTTTTGCTGAAGGAGGATTCAAAGATCCTCTACACCATCTGTCAAAAATACTCTGTTCTTGCATTGGAAATGTCATATGCATACCCTGGCGTTTGTTTGTTTTTTGCCAAGGTATGGGAGGGGTAACAGAATTATGACTGTTTAAAACTTTGTTAAAATACCTACTGAACTCAAAAGCCCCAACTATTAGGGAGCACAAGTCATTTTGAAAGAGTCAAATGCTGCTTTCCTTTGAGTTAAAGGATGAAAGAATGTCAACCCCACTGTGGTAACAGGTCAGGAAAGTAGCAATTCAGGGCCTTTAAAAGGAAATGTCTTATACAGGCTATCGGTAAGACCAAGTGTCTAGCACGATGCAAAGATATTGTACAGTTACATGGATAATAAAAATGTCCAGAGTTATAGTGAACATTGAAAATTTTGGAAGACACACCATCATGCTGCCAGGTGTAGCCTCTCTCATTATTGAGAGTTAGAAGGGAATTTTTTCCTATGGACAGGTTATCCCATAATTACTTGCTGCAGAGGTTCTTGTATCTTTCTCTGAAGTAATGAGTTACTGGCCGCTATTAGGATAATTGGGGCACAGGAATTACCATACAGCCTCATCCCAATTTACCTAACAACAAAATAGCAATTTGATATCTGAGGTTGGGCGAAAAAAAGGGGCAGAAAAAAAAATCCATTCTTTTGTACAGATGGAAGATAAGTGATTTTTTTCCCCTTTGCAAGTCACCTTTACTGTGGATTCATAACCACTTACTTCCCTTTGAATCCTAGCAACACCCTGTGAAATCATTAAAAAGAATTTAAATGACTGCTAGGCTCCACATATCAATGTGACCCAATATCTCTAAAAGAGCTGTGAATTTTCAGTCTATCTGCAGACACAGAAAGATGGCACTCTGTTAAGCACATTTTGAATGTTTTCTTCACAATCAGAAGGGCTAGTCATGTTTTTAAATATTAAAACTTTATTCTGCAGAAGCTGATGGGGCCACCAGAGATGTTTAATCCCACCCATGAAAGAATGAGTGTATTTTGATACTAACACATAGTTTTATCCTAAAACTTTTCGCTGCTAAGTGCATTCATATTTAACAAATGGGTTACACATATACATGAATTATCAACTTAAAGTATACTTATATTGATAATTCAGCTCTCTACTCAATAGCTTAAAATGAGTTCTCTCTCAAAAGCCACCTACGTGAGATGTAGACTTTCCTCCTACAGGAGATTCCAGCTGACAAAAGGGCCTTGTTCAGATGTCTGGGATCAACTGAATACATTTATTTCAAAGCAATTTTAAATATTAAAAAAGTAGAAATTAACACATACAGTACTCAAAAACTGTCACATTTACATACATGTGAATAGACAAGTGTACTGATGTTTGATCTTAACATTCAAATGAGAAGTCAAAATTTTAACTACTGGCATTACCAAATCTGATTTCTATACAACATGTTGATGTATTATGTAATAAAAAAATAAATAGCAATTGCTGTTCAACAGTAAAATAAGACATCATTTGCAGAACATCCCCATCCCAGGGGAAAAAAAAACCTAATTATTAGCTATTTGTCTATAAAGATCTAAACTTTCCAAATACTATTTCATGTACAAAATTGCAGATAGTGGCTCACTGAGTTTAAATATAATATTGTACTTAAACTCAAGCAATATAACATACAATGTATTTTTAAATTTCCTATGACCCACAATAAGCCAGAACAAACAGAACTCTTGTTCCTGATGGAACTAATCTCATTTTAACAATGCCTATGTATACTACTGCAAAGAGTGTACAAAAGAATAGACATTTGCTTCTACATCATTTTACATGTCTAGGTTTTCTTTATGTGGTTAGCTTTTACCAGATTATTTTGAGATCACTTAAAAATACACTTGACCACAAAAGTGAATAGTTTTTCTTTCTTTAATGCAACTTAAAACATTATATTAATGGATAAAATGGAATGCTAAATAAACTCAGGTCCTGACTGCCTTCCATAAAGAACAGTATAAGACTGAAACTAATAACACTGTGGATTAGATGTGAGCAGGCTCACTCACTGGTGTATTTGTTTTTGAATACATATTTGTCATGACACTGATAAAGCAATAGTTTAAAAGCCACTTTCCAGTAACAGTTGATAAATATTTTGGAATATTTTCTCATGCAAGGTTTATTTGATATTTAAGTTTTCATAACCATATAAATAGAATTAAATATTCACTGACTATAGCCTTGTAAAACTGCACTAAAAATGAAAACTTTCAGAAGGTTTTTTTGAGTTGTGCTTTTATGAAATGAAAAATCTTCCTATGTAGCCAAGACTGTCTGCTGTAAAATATTAGTAATATGTACTGTTGCCAAAGTAACATTTTAAGCAATATAATACCAGTCCTACATAAGAAAATCACAGAACCTGATCAATACAGTTATCTGATCACAGAAAATAACAATTTCATTCTGTTCCAAAATTAAAAAAGATATAGAAAATCTGAAGTAAATGAATGTTTTTAATAGTACGCTAAATGTTTTGATTAGAAAAAAAGGAAACTAAGTGAATTAACTGCAAGGAATGTGTTTTCCACTAATGCCATTTTATAACAACTCTGAAGCTACCATAAAATTAATTTCTAATAAGTCTTGGAAGGATGTGTTTGACTTGTGGTAATGTGTTTTTTGGCTGGTGCTTGGAGTTAAGACTATGAAATACAAAGATAGTTTAATGAAGACAGTTAATATACAACTTGATACTAGTGATTAGTTTCTATAATTAATAGCCTGACAAACTGCATGAAAGGTCAACCTTTCACTCTGATTTTCTAAACAATTTTTTATACTGTAATAGTTTACATTTATCCAGACAATAACATTGAGGAAATTTTACACTGGTTAATTATAACCTTCAGCAAAGCGGAAGACATTTTTTTTAAATAAGTGATTTTTAAGGAGAGCCAATTAGCTATAAATAAATACTGTTGCAAGCTCACATTTCAATCTGAATAGTTATCAAATTAAAATGTTCTTTTGTTCCAGCTTAGCTATGTGACTACAGTACTATTCCTGTACAAAGACAGGTTTCAAGTAAGATTCTAAATCAGGGGTTCTCAACCCACAGGCAGCCTAATTAGCACACAGCTGCGGCCCAGCTGTGTGCTAAAGGCCCCCCGGGTCATCCTGCCTGGCCGCCCAGTGTGGTGGAGTCCGGGCTGCTACTCGGCCCCGTACAGTCTGGGGTCCAGGGCTGCGGGCCGGCCCCACGGGGTCCGGGGCTGCAGCCAGCCCCATGGAATCCGGGATCAGTGGCTGCCGGCCGGCCACGCAGAGTCCTGGATCCGGAGCTGCCACCCGGCCCTGCAGACTCCAGGGTCCGGGGCTGCTGCCCAACTCACAAGGTCCAGGGCTACAGGCCAACCCCATGGGGTCCGGTATCTGGGCTGTTCCCCGTCTGCCCAGTCACACGGCCGCACACTGCCTGGCTCTGCACAGCAGGGTCTGGGGTCCCTGCCACCTGCCCAGGGCTCCACTCTTGGCCCCACTCTGTGGAGGGGTTTCTGGGCGGGAGGCGCTGGGCATTGGGTCTGGGGGGCACTCTGGTTCACAACCTGCGGCCCAGGTAACACATTGTGGGCCAGATATGTGGCTCACAATGATAAACAGGTTGAGAACCACTATTTTAAATGCATGCATAATGTAAACAGTGTAATATTTTCTAAAAGTCCTTGGTTACTAAAAATTCAGTGAAAAACCTTCAGCAAATTTCACATATGTATAAGGAAAGACAGTATGACTAATTTTTATCAAAATAAATTTTCAGATGGAAGTAATTTGTAACTGTCTTAAAGTGAGGTAATATCACAGGGAAACTGCAATCAGAGTTTGGCATAGGTCCACATAATATAAACATGAAATGCTGTATGCACACCATAAAATGCTACTGATTTTCTGTAAAGTCAGTGAATATTCCTTTTGCTTTCAAACTTACGTTTAACTGAACACTTTCTTTAATAAATACCAAAGTGGGTTTCTTAGCTGTAAACTGTGTACACTTAATTGTAGATTGGTCTTTAAGTGGGCCAAAACCATTTACTTTGAAAACAGAATCTTAACTCTGCTAATTATATAATTGAGAATACTGAGTTATTAGGAACAGTCATTTCTACAAAGTTACATGGTTGATGGAAACCTATGTTTGGAAAGCTGGCAGTTGATACACATTTTTAACAGCATAGACAGAGATGTAAGTGCTAGATGCCAAGGATGGCTTCAGCAAACCCAGTAAGGCATGCCAGGTTCCAAGGCTACCATAATACTGGCAAAGGCAGAATAACACAGTATATTTACAATACATATAATTCACCTCATGAGGTGAACCGTAAATGAATTCTTATTTTGTAACAGCAGCTATATATACACAATTGTGCACAGGATTACAGAGAGGCAGCAGCCGTTAGCTTTTGCTAAAAAGCCTGTCTTGCATGAAGGATGTGCAATGCTCAAGTTTTGAATTTTATTAATCTGACAAAATGTGCACAAAGGACACCGGGAAGACTCCTTTCCTCTCTGGCTGTCCTTCGACATGGCCAATCTGCAACAAAGGAGAAAAACATTGTGGGTTTCTCGCTTACTCCATATAACAAAACACTGTTCCTCGTACATAACAATACAAGCCTGGTGATGGTTCTTGGACATTTCACAGCATGCCATCTAAACCCTTGCCAAGGAAGCTACATTTTGATGTATGTTAGCCCTGGTCTACATTATGAGTTTAGGTCGAATTTAGCAGCGTTAGATCAATTTAACCCTACACCCGTCCACACAACGAAGCCATTTTTATCAACTTAATGGGCTCTTAAAATCAATTTTAAGAGGGGATTAGCGCTGAAATAGACATCGCCGGGTCAAATTTGGGTTAGTGTGGACGCAATTCGACGGTATTGGCCTCCAAGAGCAATCCCACACTGCTCTGTTGTGACCACTCTGGACAGCGCTCTCAACTCGGATGCACTGGCCAGGTACACAGGAAAAGCCCAGCAAACTTTTGAATTTAATTTCCTGTTTGGCCACTGTGGTGTGACCATGCAGAGCTCATCAGCAGAGATAATCATGGAGTGCCAGAATCACAAAAGAGCTCCAGCATGGACCGAACGGGAGGTACTGGATCTGATTGCTGTATGGGGAGATGAATCCGTTCCAAAAGACAAAATGCCAAAATATTTGAAAAAATCTCCATGGGCATGAAGGACAGAGGCTACCACAGGGACCCGCAGCATTGCTGCATGAAACTTAAGGAGCTCAGGCAAGCCTATCAAAAAACCCAAGAGGCGAACGCCTGCTCGGGGTCAGAGCCCCAGACATGCTGCTTCTATGATGAACTGCAGGCAATTCTAAAGGGTGCCCCTACAACTACCCCAGCCCTGTGCATGGACTCCATCAATGGACTCTCATGCAACAGGGATGAGGTTTTTGGGGACGAGGAAGATGATGAGGAGGGGAAGGTTGAAGATAGCACACACCAGGCAAGTGGAGAAACTGTTCTCCCTGACAGCCAGGAACTGTTTATCACCCTGGAGCCAATACCCTCCCAACCCGAGCTCCCGGACCTTGAAGGCGGAGAAGGCACCTCTGGTGAGCATACCTTTGTAAATATAATACACCGTTTAAAAGCAAGCGTGTTTAATGATTAATTTGCCCTGAAAACTTGGGATGCATTCGTGGCCAGTACAGCTACTGGAAAAGTCTGTTAACATGTCTGGGGATGGGGTGGAAATCCTCCAAGGACATCTCATTGAAGCTGTCCTGGAGTTACTCCCAAAGCCTTTGCAAAAGGTTTCTGAGGAGGGCAGCCTTATTGCATCCTCCATGGTAGGACACTTTACCACGGCAGGCCAGTAGCACATAGTCTGGAATCACTGCATAAGAAAGCATGGCAGCGTGTGGTCCCAGTGTTTGCTGGCATTCAAGCAACATCCGTTCTTTATCTCTCTGTGTTATCCTCAGGAGAGTGATCTCGTTCATGGTCACCTGGTTGAAATAGGGGAATTTTATTAAGGGAACATCAGAGGTGGCCGTTCCTGCTGGGCTGTTTGCCTGTGACTGAAAATAAATCATCCCCACTGTTAGCCAAGTGGTGGGGGGAGGGGTGAAGTGATCTCGCGATTAAATGTTCTCTGAGCTCATGCAGTCCACCCAAACTGAAAGAGTCCAGCAGAATGCGTGGAGGTAGACAATAGCAGAGTCCAGGAAAGTACAAAAAGAACGTGAGGACAGGAGGAATGTGCAAGAGGATAGATGGCTGGAGCAGCAGGAGAGGTGGCGGGATCAAGAGGAAAGGTGGCGGCAGCATGATGAAAGGATGCAATGCTGAGACTTCTGGAGGATCAAACTGATATGCTCCGGCGTATGGTTGAGGTGCAGGAAAGGCACAGACCGCCACTGCAGCTCCGGTGTAACCAACTGCCCTCCTCCCCAAGTTCCATAGTCTCCTCACCCAGACACCCAAGAATGCTGGTTTTCAAAGCTTCTCTGATGCGCAGCGTGCCCTGCTGTGCTCTTCTAACTGCCCTGGTGTCTGGCTGCACGTAATCAGCGGCCAGGCGATTTGCCTCAACTTCCCACCCCACCATAAACGTCTCCCCCTTAGTCTCACAGATATTTTGGAGCACACAGCAAGCAGTAATAACAATGGGAATATTGGTTTTGCTGAGGTCTAACCGAGTCAGTAAACTGCGCCAGTGTGCTTTTAAACGTCCAAATGCACATTCTACCACCATTCTGCACTTGCTCAGCCTATAGTTGAACAGCTCCTGACTACTGTCCAGGATGCCTGTGTATGGCTTCATGAGCCATGGCATTAAGGAGTAGGCTGGGTCCCCAAGGATAACTATAGGCATTTCAACATCCCCAATGGTTATTTTCTGGTCTGGAAAGTAAGTCCCTTGCTGCAGCTGTTCATACAGACCAGAGTTCCTGAAGATGCGAGCATCATGTACCTTTCCTGGCCATGCCACGTTGATGTTGGTGAAACGTCCCTTGTGATCCACCACTGCTTGCAGCACCATTGAAAAGTACCCCTTTCGGTTTATGTACTGGCTGCCTTGGTGGTCCGGTCCCAAGATAGGGATATGCATTCCGTCTATCGCCCCACCACAGTTAGGGAATCCCATTGCAGCAAAGCCATCCACTATGACCTGCACATTTCCCAGAGTCACTACCCTTGATAGCAGCAGCTCAGTGATTGCACTGGCTACTTGGATCACAGCAGCCCCCACAGTAGATTTGCCCACTCCAAATTGATTCCCGACTGACCTGTAGCTGTCTGGCGTTGCAAGCTTCCAGAGAGCTATTGCCACTCGCCTGTGAACTGTGAGGGCTGCTCTCATCTTGGTATTCTGGTGCTTCAGGGCAGGGAAAAGCAAGTCACAAAGTTCCATGAAAGTGCCCTTACGCATGCGAAAGTTTCGCAGCCACTGGGAATCATCCCAGACCTGCAACACTGTGCGGTCCCACCAGTCTGTGCTTGTTTCATGGGCCCAGAATTCAGCGTTCCATGGCAAGAGCCTGCTCCATTGCCACCAGGATGGCCAAACTGCCGGGGTCTGTGCTTTGAGAGAAGTCTGAGCGGGCTCCATACTTGCCGTGGTATGGCGTCTGCAGGAGAGCAGAGTTGCAGGAGAAGTGGTGGTTGGATAAGCAGTTTTGCATATCTACTGCACCGTCTGCTGCCAGGACACAACAGCTGAGCAGGCTGCATGCTTGCCGTGGTATGGCGAGACAAGAGCAGCCGAGCAGAGTTGCAGTGGAAGAAGCCCTGCGAGACCACCAGGAGGGTAGGAGAGAAGAGTGGTGGATGATGATGGTAATATAGTGGACCTGCGAGGTGGATTCATCGCATCAGGAGAGCAGAGTGGCAGCGGAAGCGGTGGATGACTATGATGGTTAGCAATCCAACTGCACTGTCTGCTGAAAGCAGTATGGTGCCCGCATGGAAAATAGGTGCGAAACGATTGTCTACCATTGCTTTCACGGAGGGAGGGGCGACTGACGACATGTACCCAAAACCACCCACGACAATGTTTTTGCCCCATCAGGCATTGGGAGCTTAACCCAGAATTCCAATGGGCAGCGGAGTCTGCGGGAACTGTGGGATAGCTACCCACAGTGCAACGCTCTGAAAGTCGACGCCAGCCTCGGTACTATGGACGCACTCCGCCGACTTAATGCGCTTAGTGCATTAGTGTGGGGACACACACGATCGACTGTATAAAATCACTTTCTAAAAAATCGACTTCTATAAATTCGACCTATTTTCTTAGTGTAGACACATCCTTACTCTTCAATATCTCCCACTGTCAAACATAGACATTGGAGTTTTATTTTGTTTTATTTGGATTAATATAGTCCTCTGTCTACCTTGGTTACAACAATATTTGGATTTGTAAAGAGATCAGTAACCAACACCAAACATTGCTGTAACTGGGATAAATAGGGGGACAAGTTAAATGAACAGGAATGAAAGGATCACGGTTGTAATGGTAGATCTGGAAGTGTCACATATTCCACTGAACTAAACACAGAGAGGAGAGGTTCTCTTGGCTGTCAGATTAAACTATAGTTATCAAACTGTATCTTGTAAGAGAACTGCTACAAACTCACTCCAGAATAAGGAATCTTGGGACTTTCCTACCCTAGGAAGCCGCCTGTGGATGAAAAGAGCAAAAGAGAAACCTACAAGTTTGCTAAAAATGGGAAGTTACCTGGAATAATTCTATAGATGTGGGTAGAAGAAATCCAAGCAAAGCATTACATACCAAACATGAAAAAGGAGCAGGTGATGAAGGGTGCCCGCCCCCCAAGCAAAATAGAGCACCAATGATGTCTGTCACTCATGTTTACAAAAGGATAGATCCAACAAATCTCAATAACTTGCAAATGAGGGGACCAACCATGCCCCACACATCAAATCTGTACAGGAAACAGTTTGCAAGCAATCCACAGCATAATATACATTCATAAAGAGAGATCCAAGCAGTTTCAAATAATGAATCAGTCATTATCTTGTGTGTGGACATTTCACAAACGGGAGAAAAGCTAAATAATTTGTCCACTACACACAGTTTGCCGAACTCTAGTTAACAGTATCGGAACAGCATGCCTTGATTTATTGTACAGTCAGTCCTCTTCTAGCTCTTAATTCTTCTACGTTGAAGATTTACCTTCTGGTTCACTGTTTTCAGTATTGTAATGTGCCTCTCACTGCTCTATAGGTTATCAAAATGGAGAGGGGGAATAGGTGAGCCCATTGCTACCCCCTATGGAGTCAAGACTTTGAAGCAAATGGCCCAACAGCCCTCATCCCCCAATCCCAGAAGCACCAGGTGATTCAGAGCCCTTCATGGAATTTCCCAGGGGAATAACCTTTTAAGAAGGTACCAGCATCCTTCATGAAGGAGAGACTCAGCAACCACTGCCAGCAGCGTCAGAAGATGGGGCAAGGGGACAAGCAGAGGCTACCTCTCCCCAATGGTGCTAAGACTTTGGGGGCACATGGCCCCAGCAAAAGCCTTCTCTTTCCCAGCAGTACAAGGTGGTGAGTCATTCACAGCCTTGGGAGCCCTGATGAGGTCCACAATTCTGGAGTTTTTCAGCTGTTCTGGGGACCTGGGTGTATGTGTGTGTGTGGGGGGGGAGAGGGAGGGTAACTGAGTAAGCAGTCAGGTAATGGGCAGGCCTCAGTGTAACCTTCCCAGCCTCAAATTGTAGTTACCACACCATAAACTCCATAAACGATCAGCGTACTTTCTGTCTTTTGTACCTGACATCTACAGGACCCACCCGTGTCCTGTGCAGAGCAGCAGAGAATGGGACCCTGATTCTAATTGTGGCCTCTGAGTGCTGCTGTAATAACACCATTGCCACATCATCTGAGTTCCTGCAAGCCATTTCTGCACTCTGAAGATAGGCAAAACCAAGAGTTATCAAGTTTACAAACTGAATGGTCCAGAAAAGCCATAATAAATTCAGAAAAAATTAGTGCTCCCATGTCATTATACAAATTAGGTAGAGTATCTCGCTAGAGATTTGAATTGCCAAAGGCACAGTCCTGAACTATTAGGGAGATGGAATAGATGATATAATAAGTCTTTTCAGTATCTAACTTCTATGATGTGTCAATTTCTTCTTGGTTTACCTTGTCATACCTACATATGGACTGCAGAATATATAGGGCTCAATTAAAAAAAAAGACACTGTTCAATGGTTTTTGACAAAAATAGGTATTTTTGTTTGTAAAAGATGCATTGACATACATAGATGCAAGTGTCACACTGGGAAATTGCAATTGTGCATGCAGCTGGATCTTTTGCAAACAAAATCTTAGGTACACATTTCTGAAAATTAGGCATTATTTTAGCACTATCCATTGTTTTGAACTTCCTAGAATCCCAAAGCTAAATAAATTGATGAAAGAGAATGAACCTTAACTCCAAATTTCCTTTTGTCAGTCTTCACCTTTAAATAATGCGTATGAAATGTAATTTCATTTTTGAAAAAGAATGTATGAACAAATATAAATAAATTAAAGGAGATAAAAGAAATGTTTCCACAGATATTATAAGTGAATACTAGATGTTGGAATCATGAAGACAAAAGAGCCATTAAACTGTCAGTTTGGCTTTGACTCAAAGACACATAAGTGATTAATGCATTAGAAATCTGCAGGATGGATGGCCCATGACATATTGATAACATATAAGGCCTCTTGTTTCTCAATGTGAATGGAATGGTTACTACTGACATTCACAGACATACAACACATCTATCCATTTATCAGTGATTCATTGTCAATACAAATGAATGAGGCACATCTATTGGCCTGATGATAACTGTGTGTCCAGACAGATAGACAATATAATGGACAAGTTCGATAAATTCCATTTTCAAGATCTGAAATTTCAGGATTATGTGGACATCCAGCAGACCATTTTCTGAGATTTCACAGCCGTTTACTGATATTTATTTTGACTGTATGTAATTATACACAGATTGGGAGAACAGCCATATGTAGCAGTGCAGTTACCTGCATTAGCACTATAAGAGAACCTCTGTTTCCCTTCCCCACTGTTTCCTCCTCATTGTGAGGAAGAGAAACTAAAAAAAGTAAAATGTTTTAGCATCTTTCATCTGGGCACCAGTCCTTTAATATTTTGTACTGAGTCTGAATTCTGACAGGAAATCCTGAGTGTGGTAATCAGAGAGAAGAAACATTGTATCTGGCACAGACCCCAGACATTATGGACAGCACTGCAGCTGGACTGGTGCACTAACACCTGCTGGGACAGTGCAGCAGTAGGAATTACATTTTTATTGGTAAAATTTGTCTCACTTTCCTTCCTTACAGCTGAGGCCTGGGGAAGCAGGATTCACTAGGGCTTGGGAGGAAGCTAGCAGAGGATGAAGGAAGGATTGGGCCTAAGGCTAGGTTTGAGAAACTGTGAGGTTACCAACAGATTGAAAATTGGATCAGGTCCAGGAACACAGAAGCAGTGGAGTGGGATCCAGGAGGAAGACAGAGGGTAAAGACGAGTAAACTGCAGAGTAAGGACAAAACTGATCAACTGCATGTAATTTAGGAGGGGAAACCAACAGTGCATGGGATTAATTACAACAATCATATTCACAGCAACTGTTGTTAACTAGCTTAATGTTGCTGGTGAATTCAGACAAGAACCATATTTTATCATAAAGAAAAGGAGTCCTTGTGGTACCTTAGAGACTAACCAATTTATTTGAGCATAAGCTTTCGTGAGCGCATCCGATGAAGTGAGCTGTAGCTCACGAAATAAATTGGTTAGTCTCTAAGGTGCCACAAGTACTCCTTTTCTTTTTGCGAATACAGACTAACACGGCTGTTACTCTGAAACCTGTCATATTTTATCATGTATCAACAAAGGTACACACACTGTTTAAATGGAATAATTTGCAGGGGAAGGGAAATCTGAAACTACCTCATTTAGTGGAAAGCTGGTGCATTCCAAAGGCAACAAAATACTGCATTTCAGAAGTATCTCTGAGGCTGGCAGGGATAGTTTTAGCAATATCCAGGGAAAACTGTCTCCCCACAAAAGCAGGTAAATTCCTTGCCTGTACACACCCATTCTCCTTCAATTTAAATACTGGATGCAAGTTTACATAAATGCTGTTGCATAATTTTTTGACAAAAGATGCAAACAGTAATGCAAATTATGTACAATACATGGTATGTTGTCACTGTCCAGTTAGTTTCCTCTAGTCTAGGGTAAAGGAAGGAATCAAACTTGGAATAGCAGCAGTTCAAGAATCAAAGAGCATATAAGGTCTCTCAGTAAGTTCAATCGTCTGAAAACCTATGAAATGGGGTCAGTTTTTGCTGCTGTCCCTAGTAGTTGCTAACACCATTAAGAATGGGAGTCTGCATTTAAGTCCCTATGAAGCATAAAATAATTGAATTTCTCAATGAAGTATGATTGGTCTGATGTTCAAGAGCTTTAAGTAGGTCAAATAAGGTGTAGCATATAGAAACTATGAGTAAGCTAGCTGCTACTCAGATGAGAGTAATGCCCAATAAAGTGTCAATTATACAGAATTTTCATAAAAGGAGAGATACATACCCACCACTCTTGGTCCTCTTCACCAGTTACTATAATTACTTCTCCTTCAACAAATGTAAGCTCATCATCATTGTCTGCTTGACAGTCATAAATGGTCTTCACTCTCCTAACTTTGTTTTTCCCCTAAAAAGTAAATACAATTTTAGCTGAAAGAGCTGAGAAAGGGGATAAATATATAGAATTTAAATTTGGAGTTTTGGCTATGATTTATTCTACAAATCCAGTGCATTTTACCAGCAGTTTATATCTCTGATTGCAGGGGGAACCCTGCCCTCCCCATCTCCCCTGCCTGCTCCCCAGCTCATCATGCCAATGTGCCTTGTTTCATCAAGGTTTTTAAACAACTAAATCTAGATTATATAGTCTGTATTCAAAAATACAATGTTAGAAAGCCTGACATCTAACTACTTCCTAATTAAATGATTTAGGCCCCACCTATATTTACTTAGACTAGAAAATAGTTTTAACAATGGTTCTGACATGGTCTTAGTCTATATACACTATCCCTTTAATGTGTATTAGAATTAAGAACTGGCCAAAACCAAATTAAAATCCAATCGCCGATGAAATTCAGAAAGATAGGGGAACTAAGGAAGTTACTGAATTCAAACCCCAGTATCTATACCTCTACTAAAGTTTTGGTTCCAGGTCCAGTGCAAAACCAAAATGAACCTATTCTTTGGTTCTGGAATAGACACAGACTAAATCTAGCAAGACAATATTTTCATGAAATTTTGACTCAATGGCTGAAATTCCACATGAAGATCTACTCTAAGATGAGTGGCACTATTTTAGGCTGGTTTCAGAGTAACAGCCGTGTTAGTCTACTAACCAATTTATTTGAGCATGAGCTTTCGTGAGCTACAGCTCACTTCATCGGATGCATACCGTGGAAACTGATGAAGTGAGCTGTAGCTCACGAAAGCTCATGCTCAAATAAATTGGTTAGTCTCTAAGGTGCCACAAGTACTCCTTTTATTTTAGGCTGCTCTCTTATGAGAATGGCTTGTGTTAATTATTCTGAACCCAAACACAATCAGTAGGTCTGATTCTGCGCTAGACTGTCAATTCATATCCAAACACTGCCCCTCTCTAGATGCAGCCTGTTTTTCTGGGAACTGTGTAAACAGTTTCCAAACTTTACTACCTTGCAAGTATATGATCTGTTATTGTATATCACATTTCAAACACTCAAAGACTAAAGGAAGGCAAATGATAAAAGTTTCAGAAGCAACAACTAAGAAGGATGGTAAGCAAACCATGCAAGCTTAGTCAATAAGACAATGTGAGACTCTAAAAAAATAAGATTGAGGTGGAGATGGCACCTGTTTGCAAATATATAAAGGAATATTGTATAAAAGGGAAGGGATCCATTAGTCAAAACTGGATTTAATATGATGTACTAAAAATCACATTAAATATTAAGAAAACCTTTACAAACTTCAAACCAGTTAGGCAAGAGAGCAAACTATCATGTCTTAGGGTATGTCTACACTACCCGCTGGATCACCAGGCAGCAATCGATCCAGCGGGGATCGATTTATCGCGACTAGTCTAGATGCGATAAATTGATCCCCGAGCGCTCTCCCGTTGACCCCTGTAATTGTGAATAACATAGCTGAAGTCGACATACTTAGATGGACACCGTGGTGAAGATACCACGGTAAGTCCATCTAAGTATGTCGACTTCAGCTATGTTATTCACCCCCCACCCCAGTGTAGACCAGGGCTATGTAAATTAGATGAAGATAAACTGTTCCTATTATACCTAAGTTTGTTAGATGTGAATTACATTAAAGTGTAGTGGTGAGAACTCCAGATTGGGTTCCAGTTCTGTTCCCACCTTTGCCACTGACTTGCTCCACGACCTTTGGCAAGTCAAAATTTCCCTCTGTGCTTCTATGGGCCCTTTTGTAAATACAATGATACTTATGCACCTTTGTTAAGCATATAGGTGCTAAATATTTGAACTGTTACATTGTGAAAGTTGATTTTTTGTGGTTGACATTTTAAGTTTTGTAACAATTATTAAAAAGGAAGTTTAAAATAAAACCTATTAAACCCTTTTCTAAATATGTTCAAAATCAAATATATGTCCCAGTTATTTTATATGTAGGAAACAGAGAGCAAAGAATTAAAGACAGAAAGCTTTAAAAATGTTTTTAACTCAACGCTCAGAAAGTCACCACATATTGCAGAAACATAATTTGCACCCTTAACACTGCCAAAAATGCTCTGGTGAATTTAAATGGAGTGCCTTGCTCCCAGGCCTGACCTTTTAATGTTTTTATACTCCTTTTGGCATGCAAGAGGCTTTACCATCAGAAACATTATCTGTTGAAACCGTTCAAAAGCATACATCTGTGCTCAAATTTGTGAGTTGTTGCCTGTTTTGTGCACATAACTCAAGTGCAGTCTTTTTGCAAATTTAGCTTTAGGAGAACTTCAAAGCTTGCCATGAGGCTTTCAGCATGTTGGAATAATAGAACTACCCACCATATTTATTTTCCTGGGAAGCGGCACTGGGGTCTCTGGCAGAGTATGTGTCACATCATTAGAATCTTCAGATACTTGCTTTTGGACGGTATCTCTAGAGTGTACATTTGGAGAAAGATCTATGGAGTGAGATTTCTGATTTGCCTCTGAGGGCTGAGGCTTTGGTGATGATTCTCCAGCTTGAGTTTTAACCAATACCTCTCCTAGCTGAGGTTTTGGAGGCAGGTCCTTCATTTGTGGCTTTGGTGGTAAGTCTCCAAGTTGTGGTTTTGGTGGCAAATCTCCAAGCTGAGGTTTTGGGGGTAATTCTCCTGGTTTTGGGGGTAGTTCTCCAATTGGAGGTTTCTGGGTGAGTTCCACAGGCTGAGGCTTTGGGGGCAAGTCTCCAGGTTGTGGTTTCTGTGGCAGATCGACAGACTGTGAAGACTTCTGAAAGATTTCCAGGTGTTGATTAGATCTATCTATTGAAAGATGATGACTGGTTTCTATTTTTCTTAGTGCCACTAAAACAGAAAGCAAAATCAGGATATTTCCACATGTATTTCACGTTCAGACAGACAGTCTCATTTCCCCATATTACATTTAAGGAGAATCTGAAGTATGCAAGACAACTTCTTTTCTTCTAGAAAGATTTATTTACATCATACAAAATACAGAAAGAGAATTTCTATTTCAGGCTAACTCCAAGTACAGATATCGACAATAAAAGAAACTAAAAAGCTCAAGACCTAGCAGTTATCTTCAATAACTGAAGATGTCAGACATACTCTGAGTTACCTTTCACACATTTTAAATAAAACACTATTTCCCAACAGTTGAAATTAATAAGCAATATTATATTTGTGATGTAAAAGAAAGGATTGAAATTTTAAAAAACGATATTGCCTTGTAGTTTATCTACAAGAGCTGGAAAATACGCAGGTCCTTTCAATCAACATTTATTTTTACATTTTCTTAGTTTCACTGCTCTTTCTTCCTTAGACTCGTCCATTAAGTGTGCCAAGCAAAACTTGACTGGCATGAGTGTACTTAGATATATTTTACAGGTATATATGTATGAAGCCTGATACTGAGAGAGTAAGCGCCTTGATGAAAGTACCACATCATTTTGACTCAGAAAAAGGGATAATTTCATACTGTGTTCAGCATTTGCTTTTAGGTCAAGCAACACTGTCAAGAATGATAGGTCCACACATTTAAACTTACCACAAAATAATATCACACATATACACTATTTATAATATAACCTACTACAAAAACACATTCACATCATTATATACGATGATCCTGATTTTTAGATGAGAATTGTGCACACATTACTACAAGTGAGAGACGATTTAGCCATACATGTATATAAGAATGACTTCTACAAACATGTCGTAACACATATGCAAATAAGGCACAAATGAATCAAGTTCAGGCTGAAAATCAGGCCAAGCAGTTTATTTTAACTGCACTCCTGATATTAAATACATTTTAATTAGTCCTCCAAAATGAGCGCTTCAAATAAAACAGAATATCAGATTTGTTGCTAGGTAACACACCCCTCATAAAGGCTGGAACAACCACTTGCTATGGTTTGAGAGTTCTGTATATGGCCCCAAAGTAATTTCAGCCCACAATGACAGTCAGCTCTAACCTAATTTTATACCAAGTGAATATTGACTTATTTTGTAGTGACACCTGTCATCTCAATGACACCTTAAAAGGAAACTGCTGAACTGAATTAATTTTCTTACCTGTAAAAAACTGAATTTTTAAAATTTGTATTTAGTTTTTGCCACTAATGCTTTGCATTTCTCTTATCTTGCAGAATGGCCAGATTCATTCTCTGGTTCTCATACTTTGGAACAATACAGTTGTAATATCCACTGACACACACACACTGGCATATGTAAAACTGTGCTATATTTTATATGCTTACCCTCACTGTGTGTGCTCACATGTGTGTGTGCATGTGTGAAGGGGTGTATGTATATTTCTCTGTTTTCTCCAGTTCTTCAATTAATTCTGGCACATCACTCAGAGAAAGAGGCTTCCATTGACCACCTTTTCCTCCCAATCTTCTACTCTGTTTCTCAAAATGTTCCACTTTACAGACTATGGTACAGGAAAGCTCCTAGGACCAGTGGTAGTCCATAAACCATAGTGTGAAAGTAATGCATTATCCTGTATATTACAAAGATTAATTGTTATGATCTCTCATTTTCAAGCACTCACTTAAACCTTTGTGTTTTAGCAATAGGAAATCTTACCTTACATGTTAAGGTATAGATTTTCCCCTTTTGTATATATGCACAGCATACAATGTTTTCTTGGTTGGTTTCAAACCATTTATATTTGCAAGTTTCTTACCAAAACTTCATATTGGTTATAATGTATTTGCATGTTCTCATGCAGGGCTGTCCCTAGCTATTCTGGCGCCCTATGCAGGCCCCCCGCAGGGTGGGAGCCAGGCCGCCGGGCGGGGAGAGGCTGACCCCAGGCCTCTGCGGGGGAAGGAGGAGGGCTGGTTTGGGGGGCAGGGGGAACTGCCCCCCAGCACTCACCGGCAGTGTGGCTGGGTTGCTGCACTTCCCACCATCAGGGAGTGCAGGCCTGCCCCTGTAGCAGTCCTCAGGGGAGTGGGGGCGGGGCTGGGGGCGGAACAGAGTGGTGGCTTTGGGGAAGGGGTGGAGTGGGGGCGGGGCTGGGGCAGAGTAGGGGCGGGAAGAGGAGGGGCTGCACCAAATTTTCTGGTGCCCTACACAACTGCGTACAGGTAGGGACGGCCCTGTTCTCATGCATACACTAGGTGAAATTTTTCAGACAAAACTTCTTTTGCTGAAAAATGTAAATTCAGGTCCAGCAAAACATTCTGTGAATTCGAGTTGATTTTAGCCAACTGTTTTGGTCAAAACAAAACAAGCAAATGTCAAAACAGTCTTTTTTGATATTGTCAGCTAGAGTCACAAGGGGATTTAGGCGCCATTCACAAAATTGAGGAGGTGCTGTTGGTGTTATAACCTTTAGCCCTGTGGTTAGGGCACTCACGTGTGACGTGGGCGACCAAGGATTGAATCCCCACTCTGGAGCAAGAACTTGAACCCAGGTATCACCCCTCTCAGGGGAGTGCCTTAACCATTAGGCTATAAGCTATTCTGGGTTGGGTCTCTCTATCTAACCTGTTCAAGCTATTCCACTTGGTATAAAATACTTGAATAGCCATTGGCTTAGAGAGAGAATGACGCTATAGCTCAGTGGTTAGAGCACTGACCTAGAAGGGCAACAGCTGGGTTCCAGTCCAGTCCCTGCTTCAGTGAATACTTAATTATTTATACGAAGTCAAACAGCTTCAACAGGAAAGACTGAGACTCACCCCATAATATCCGGTAATCCTGTAGTATACCCTATAGTATGAAAGACTTATGTAATTGTTATCTCACTGAACTCTGACAAAACAAAAAGGGAAGACTTTTAACCTCTCTTCTTGGCCCTGAACAATTAGAATAGGGGGATTTTTTTCAAAAAGAACCTAAGCGACTCAGGAGCCTGAAGCACATTTTCAGAAGTGACCTTAGTTCCATTGATTTTCAAGTAACTTTTGTAAATGGGATTTGGAATCCCAAGTCACTTAGACAATTTTGAAAATTTCCCCCCCTAGATTTGTATTATTTACCGTTTATATTGCAGTAATAACAACAGACTCCAATCAGTGTCATTGGTCCATTGTGCTAAGTACTGTATAAATACATGTGAACATGTGGTTCTTCTGCAAGGAGCTTATGATCTTGGAATAAACCAGTAATGAAGGAGGACAATAAAAATACACAGATTCTTACTGATTTTCCTCCAGGTTCTGCAGGATTTCAGCTTTTGTACTAAAAATATGTTTAGTCTTTTTACAAAATCCTTGCTGAAAAATCCCTATAGATTTTGCCAGAATTTCCAGATTTGTGTTGTCCCAGAAATAAATGTTTTTTGCTCAAAACACCAAATTTCTGAAGACCCTTATGATTTATCATCACTTGTTTAACACACACACAGATGCACCAAAATTCAACTATGTATATATCTTTTAAAAAGGTCTTACCTTTTTGAGGTAGTTTAGGAAGAACTCTTGGGCCAAGTGCAGTCTTTGCGGTCCCCGTGCTAATCAATAGATATGAACTATCAGTACTTAAACTTCTGAACAATGAGCTAACTGTGTCCCATTTCTAGTACCACCCACCCACTTTTCGGAAAAAAAATTATAGTAAGAGTTTATGCATAGCCAGGACACACAATGTTGTCCATGAAACAGCCCTGAAACTCAAAGCAGTGTTGGAAGTGGGCTTGGATTATTCAAATAAAGGAAAAAGCTGTGCAAAGCCTACGCATTGTTCATGCTGCATGGCACATCTGTTCCATAGATAACAATTTGTGCATACATTTATATTTAGAAAACTGCTTAAATTGAGAGAGCAATTCAACTGACAGATTTTGTTTAAAGAAGAAGCAATAAAAGGACAAGTCAAGAACTTAAATTAACACATTAAAATAACCATATTAAGTACATAGGTAATACATTCCAAAAGCATGCAATTATGGCCTAAGATAGTCTATCTTTTTCTTTGTGTGCTTCACAGTTCACCCCATGTGTATACTATCTGTTATAGGTAAGTTTGCCAAAACATTCCACCTGTTTTTTCAGTTGTGGATATCTTTTCAAAATCTTCAACAATTAGGCTCAAGTTTTTCAAGCCTAGTCTTGGTTCAAGGGTGAAACTTTTTGAAAGTCTGAACAACAAAATTTGAGTCATGTGTACACAAGGAATATGAAAAAATACACACACACCAATAAAAATGCCTTATGAATTTTTCTTGAACCCATTTTGCACAGAAACAATTTGGGGATTAAGAGATAACTCTTCTTGATAAATGTCTGAGTATTCTGGTGAAAACTGGTTTTGATTTGGTTAAATTATGAGACTCTGAAAATTGCATTTTGTGTATGCTTCGTAGATAATAAAAGAGATTTCACAACCATGTGCCAACATGCCAAGGGAAGACAGACTGCTCTCCATCAGACAGATCCTCAGCTCGTGAAAGTTTTCATAGGTCCATTGACTTCAATAAGGTAGAGCTCCATATGAGTCCTACCGATTTTACTCCATATTAAAATAATGAGCGAATGAAGCAAAGCTTTGATCTTCTAGTAAATGTTGCCCAGGGAAGTGCAAAGTGAATTAAGCAATTTTTTAAGAAATCATTTTCTTTGCCCCTCTACTCTTCCTCCACTAATACTCTGTTCTCCTCTCCTCTACACTTTCCCTTTACTTGACACCCTATGTGAAGTGCCATCTGACATGATAAACTGCCAGTGAATAGCAGATTTGAATCATTCAAATGAGCGAGATCACTTTCATGGATTTTTTTTTTATAGCAAGGGCTGCAGTGTGTTTAAACACTGTCGTTTATTAAATAATTATTGTAATTTTCATTTTTTTCTAAGGGTACACCACTTTCTGTACAACCACAGAATTACATCAATGCTTCCCTAAGTATAAAATTTCCACTTTCAAGGGGTTACATGCTTTAAACTGGTAAATACGAGTGGTATAGTACATATAAAAAGAGTAGTATTTTGCGCTTAACATGTCATGCATGTCTAACATACAAACACAAGAAAGACAACAAAAACAATGTTCTGATAAGATCTCACTATGAACCTTTTTTTTAGATCATGCACAGATGTTATAAGCATTAGACTTATTCAGGAGCATAATTCAAGGATAAAAGCATGTTGCAAAGAGATACAGGAACATAATCTCCTTGTGTGGTGTAAAACTGTCCAAAATATACACTGTAAGATGATGATGAAGGTGCATTTAAGAGATTATTATGGTTTTGAATATGAATGGTCACCTTATGGAACGCTCCACAAAATGAGAGTATGAGTCTTACATTTTAATAGACAAAAACCACTGAACAAATATATTATCAGATTAGGGGATTTAACTACTGTATGTGAGTGAGCAGATACTGTTAAAACTGGAAGGGTTCCACTTCCCAGCTGACCCATTGGCTGACCTTGTTAGTTCAGGCTACTGACCTTATTTAAAAGCATTTGCCTCATTAACTCAGTATATTCCTAACCAAACTACTATTTGGCCTGGGACCAGCCAAATAGTGCCAAGAAAAGGGAAAATTTCTGACCTGTTATTCTGCTTTTCTGAAGCTATCATTTTGACAAGCTTCTCACTTCTGGGTCTCAGCTCTTTAACATGAGACTCGTGGAACTCCACAAGCTCTTAAGTGTTATGGCACTTAAGGACAATGGCAGCAAGGTGGGGAAAAAAAGCCACACTCTCTAGTGGCTGTTCTGCACCACCATGAGTTTAACTACTGCTTCAGGAATGTTTAGTTATTTCCAACTGCCTCGGAGGCAAAGAACACAAAGAAAAAAGCAAGCCAACCGAAGTTATAAAAAAATCTGCCTAAAAATAAAAATCAAGGTGCAAAAATTCAGTAACACCTCAGTAAAGATTAATGTAAAACAATGAGGGCAGATGATCAGTTGAGTAAGAATCTTGTCAGAATATTTTTCAATAAGCAGAATTCAATCAATCCTCTGATGCATAGGCAGCCTCAATGCTGGCATTTGTTAACCTGTGAGTGTTTGATTTTGTAACATGAATAAAGATTTTTAGATGTAGTTTTCGAGGTTTATTTATTTATTTATTTTTTTAAAAGAAAAATGAAAAAAAAAAATGACATGCAACTGTAACAATCCTCACACAACCACCTTCAAAAAACAAGTGGTCATCTGAGTTTGAACTTGGGGTTTTGCAACCAAAACTCAGTCCTCTATCACTTGAGCTAAAAGAGCAAGTCCACTGGCTGGCAGTAGCTGAAGGCCGCACTAGGCGGCACAGTATGGGGAGGAAGTGAGCAGTCCTTTGTGGAGAAAGAACAGGTTAAGGACTATTTAGAAAAGCTTGACATGCACAAGTCCATGGGGCCAGATCTAATGCATCCTAGAGTGCTGAGGGAGTTGGCTGACGTAATTGCAGAGCCACTGACCATTATCTTTGAAAACTCGTGGTGATTGGGGTTGGTCCTGGAAGATTGGAAAAAGGCAAATCTAGTGCCCATCTTTAAAAAAGGGAAGAAGGAGGATCTGGGGAACTACAGACCAGTCAGCCTCATCTCTGTCCTCAGAAAAATCATGGAGCAGGTCTTCAAGAAATCCATTTTGAAGCACTTGGAGGACAGGAAGGTGACCAGGAACAGTCAACATGGATTCACGCAGGGCAAGTTATGCTGATTGCCTTCTATGATGAGATAACTGGCTCTGTGGATATGGGGAACGTGATGGATGTGATATACCTTGACTTTAGCAAAGCTTTTGATGCAGTCTCCCACAGTATTCTTGCCAGCAAGTTAAAGAAGATTGGATGAATGGACTATAAGGTGGATAGAAAGCTGGCTAGATCGTCAGGCTCAATGGGTAGTGATCAACGGCTTGATGTCTAGCTGGGAGCCGGTATCAAGTGGAGTGCCCCCCAGGTCGGTCCTGCGGCCGCTTTTGTTCAACATCTTCATTAATGATTTGGATGATGGGATGGATTGCACGCTCAGCAAGTTTGCAGATGACACTAAGCTGGGGGGAGAGGTAGATATGCTGGAGGGTAGGGATAGTGTCCAGAGTGACCTAGACAAATTAGAGGATTGGGCCAAAAGAAATCTGATGAGGTTCAACAAGGACAAGTGCAGAGTCCTGCACTTAGGATGGAAGAATCCCATGCACCGCTACAGACTAGGAACTGAATGGCTAGGCAGCAGTTCTGCAGAAAAGGATCTAGGGGTTACACTGGACGAGAAGCTGGATATGAGCCAACAGTGTGCCATTGTTGCCAAGAAGGCTAACAGCAAATTGGCCTGCATTAGTAGGAGCACTGCCAGCAGATCAAGGGAAGTGATTATTCCCCTCTATTCAGCACTGGTGAGGCCACATCTGCAGTATTTTGTATCCAGTTTTGGGCTCCCCACTGCAGAAAGGATGTGGACAAATTGGAGAGAGTCAGTGAACGGCAACGGAAATAATTAGGGGGCTAGGGCACATGGCTTATGAGGAGAGGCTGAGGGAACTGAGCTTATTTAGTCTGCAGAAGAGAAGAGCGAGGGGGATTTCATAGCTGCTTTCAACTACCTAAAAGGGGGTTCCAAAGAGGATGGAGCTAGGCTGTTCTCAGTGGTGGCAGATGACAGAACAAGAAGCAATGGTCTCAAGTTGCAGTGGGAGAGGTCTAGGTTGGATATTAGGAAAAACTACTTCACTAGGAGGGTGGTGAAGCACTGGAATGTGTTACGTAGGGAGGTGGTGGAATCTCCATCCTTAGAGGCTTTTACAGCCCGGCTTGACAAAGCCCTGACTGGGATGATTTAGTTGGTGTTAGTCCAGCTTTAAGCAGGGGGTTGGACTAGATGACTTCCTGAGGTCTCTTCCAACCCTAATCTTCTAGATTCTAGGATCTTTTTATGTTCCACCTAGTAGAGTGTTATTTTTTGCATCAATGCATAATGCATCGAACCAGTGGGTTTTATATGCAAGAATAGCTTATATTACAAATGCACAGATCAGTCAGACTGAGAAATGTGTGGTTAAATGGATGAGACTTATATCTGTCATATTAGGGAACCAGGTTCTAGTCCAAGCTATGCCAAGAGTGAACTTATGTAACCTTGTGTTAGTGTATGGTAGGGGCACGTGACCTAGTTCAGGAATGAGGGTGGTGAAGTACACAGAATTATTTAGCGTCAGCAGAAGACATGAGAATAAAATTCCTGGATCACAGCCTAGTGCAACTTTCTCTAGTTCCAATGGTATTTTGATGAGAGAAAACAGCAGCAGCATCTGCTGCCATAATTTTGTCTGTACCATCCAGAGCTTCAGTTCTTTGTGGCTGCTTCAAACTGATTCAAGAGGTTTGGCAGAGCTCGAGAGCAAGAATGCACTGTATAGTTGGAATATTCAGAAAATTAACAGCTGATTTTCCACAGTTTATAAATTGGCCACATCATGCACAACATTACTATATGCAAATACATAAATCTTACCTCGACTGCTGAGACATTCCCTCAAACTTGTTTGCAGTCTTAGTTGAGGGTGGACCCAAATCATTACCTAAGGGGATATAAATTACTTAGACTTTTTAAAATGGAGAATAAAAGAACAGAAACATGCAGGTAGAGGATATCATATAAAACAAACATTTGCAGCTTTCCCAATATTTTCCATATAAACTTAAGTATATTTTAATGAGTATTTTTCATTCATAGACTCATAAATTTTAAGGCCAGAAAAGACCATTAATATAATCTATTCTGACCTCCTGCATACCATATGTTTGAAAAACTGTCATTGATAGCATCTATCCACTGGCAAGAAAAAGCAAATCAGATTATAGTCACTACTTCAGGGCATTTATTTTGTCTCTGAAACAAGAAAAAAATACTTCACAACATTGTCCCTCAACTATTTTGTTGGAAGGCAGTACAAGGAAAGGGCAAAAAAAGTGCAGCATCTTGCTTTGGAAGTAACACATTATTTTTAAAAGCCATCATGAATTAGCACTTATTCACAAAACAAATATTGATTTTGTAAGGATTGTTATATTATTCTAAGAAACAGTCCATTTACTCAATTCTGCCAGTAAGTGGAGGAAGAAAAAACTGAAGTCAGAATATCCAAACCGTCAACATCAAACCTGGCTTCATAATCACTAGAATCTCCAAGTCTTGAGCAGTTGCACTTATAGTACCTTCTTTGTATAAGAGACCCTATTATTATCAACTCTTCCTACTATAACCCTATTTCTGAAGATCCTTAAGTGTGACATTAAAAGTGTTTCATTCATATCATTTGATCCCCTGACACCAAAACTTCAGTTAAATTCATTCCACAGAAAGTGAATTTACTGAAGTTATACCTAATGATCAAAGTCAAGAAGAAAGCACAGAATTTCTACACAAAGAAAATGAAATTGCATACAGTAGAACCTCAGAGTTATGAATACCAAAGTTACCAACTCACCGGTCAACCACATTATCATTTGGGACCAAAAGTACGCGATCAGGCAGCAGCAGAGACAAAAAGGCATATACAGTACATAGAATCATAGAATCTCAGGGTTGGAAGGGACCTCAGGAGGTCATCTAGTCCAACCCCCTGCTCAAAGCAGGACCAATCCCAAACTAAATCATCCCAGCCAGGGCTTTATCAAGCCTGACCTTAAAAATATCTAAGGAAGGAGCACTGTGTTAAATGTAAACTACTAAAAATATAAAGGGAAAGTTGATAAAAAAATTTGACAAGATAAGGAAACTTTATGTGCTCTGCCCTCTGACTAGATTTGATCTGAGGTCTCTGCACTGCAAATGGGTTTGGAAAGCTCCATATCCGATAAGAAGATTACATTGAGATTTTCAAAATCATTCAGCAACAGCTTAACTGAGCTTCCACCAAAGTAAATAGTAAAGAAACTTCCATTGACTTCAAAAGGGAGCAGAGTTAGGCTAATCGTAAGCATTTATAAAAATTCCACTGTTAGAGTAGGTGGGCCCCAAGGCATAGTAACTCAGAAAGCGCTGGACAATGAAGGATTTTTATATCATGAATAAAAAAGCCTTTTTTGTTTTTTTTTTTTTTGCTGAGACCTGCCTGCTTGAAGACAACCTGTCCACCTTGTAGTTGTAGGAGAAATAATTTTCTGAGATCTACGAAGCAATTTCACTCAGACTCGGAGTCAGAGGATCTGACTTCCTGACTGATAATGTTCAATTAGGGGTCTGATTAGTTAACTGAACTATCCATCTAGTAACGAAAGCTTTAAAAGAAGAGGTTTTTTTGTTAGTTTGTTTTTCACTAGCTCCAAAATCTCAAAGTGTGTTCTTTGTGAGTGTCCCTGACTTTGGTTTACCAGGAAGTGAAAAGAACAAGGAGTTCTAACCTTAGAGGCTAACAAATTTATTTGGGCATAAGTTTTCGTGGGCTAACATTCCCCCCCCACCCCCAGATGCATCGGGGGGAAGTGAAGACAGCTATAAAAAAAGAAAACATAACAAATGGAAGATATGAATATAAATCAAAATTAGGAATTGCAGAAAATTGATAAGGGAAGCAAATGAACATAAGGAGAAATGTGTGGTCTGAAGAGTTAACAATAAGAAGGTGTTTTTAAAATATAGTAGGAACAAAAAGAATCCTGACAATGTATTGGTGCATTACTAGATTGAAATGGTGGAATTATCAATAATAATGCAGAAAAGGCAGAAGTGTTCAATAAATATTTCTGTTCTGTATTTGGGGAAAAACTGATGATACAGTCTCATCGTATGTTGATAACAACACATTAGTATCTCTAGAGAATGTTAGCGAGCAGCGTATCCGCAGAATTTGACATTCTTTCCATTTTGTATGTTCAAACACTGCCAGCTAAAACCCAGTCATCACCTAGCTAGAAATAGTTTTAGGACCGTGAGAGGCAAGGCCGTGCAGCTGCATTTTTGCAGTTCTGCTAATCAGAATGGGAGGCTGGGACAGGGAGTTAAGCTTCCATGAAAATAGAAGGAATTTTTGGAAAGCCTTGGTTTTACGTGCCACTGACATGTAAGTTTTATTGTTATGGCTAGAAATGCTTTGCCGATAAGAAGAATACTGAATTGTTATTGGCTGTTGCCATGGAAATTGTTAGCCTATTAGGGGCTATTATGATTTATGTGCTTTGTCTCATAAAATTTATAAAAGATTTTGTTAGAAAGTGTTCTTTGGAGCAGTCAGAGGAAGCTTTTTCTTGGGAAAGGATCTGACACCTACGTTCCTCAGCAGCTAGATAGAAGGAGGGGGCCACCTGAAGCCTGGCTGCTGATTTCTTGAAACAATTTCAGACTTTTGGGTAACTATAAATGTTTGGAATGCTTTGAATTTACTGGTACATATGTGTGTGTGTGCTTGAGACCTCATTAAAAAGTAGTTTTAGATAAAAGCATTTTGGTTTGTATCAATCATGTATCAGACGGAGGAGGTGTGCCCCCATTGATTTATTCCTGATACCACATGGAGAGAAACAGTTAAATTACCACTGCTTTGGGTTCTGAAAACTCAGGGTAACAGAAGCTACTAAAGTTAGATGTTTTTTAAATCAGCAGGTTCATTTAACTTGCATCTAAGAGTTTAAAAGAGCTGGCTAAGGAACTCACTGGACTATTATGTTGATTTTCAATAAGTCTTGGAGTACTGAGGAAGTTCCACAAGATTGGAAGAAAGGTAATGTTGTGCCAATTTTTAAAAAAGGTAAAGATGACGACCCAGGTAGTTATAGGCCTGTCAGCCTGACATCAATCCTGGGCAAAATAATGGAGCGGCTGATACAGGACTCAGTTAATAAAGAATTAAAGGAGGGTACTGTAATTAATGCAAATCAACGTGATTTTATGGAAAATAGATCCTGTTAAACTAACTTGATATCTTTTTTTGATGAGATTACAAGTTTGGTCAATAAGGATAACAGTGTTGATGTAACATATTTAGACTTCTCTAAGGCATTTGATTTTGGTACCACACAACATTTTGATTAAAAAACTAGAATGATATAGAATTAACATGGCACACATTGAATGAATTAAAAATTGGCTAATTGGTGTCTCAAAATATAAACAGGGAAATGTCATTGAACAGGTGTGTTTCCAGTGGGGTCCCAGAAGGATCGTTTTTTGGCTCTATTCTATTTAACATTTTATCACTGACCTGGAAGAAAACAAAGTCATCACTGATAAAAGTTTGCAATGACACACAAATTGGGGGAGTGGTAAATAATGAAGAGGACGGGTCACTGATTCAGAGCAAATCTGGACTGCTTGGCAAATGGGGTGCAACCAAACAATATGCATTTTAATATGGCTAACTGTGAATGTATATTTCTAGGAACAAAGAACTGTAGACCATACTTACAAAGTGGGGGAACGACTCTATTCCTGGAAGCTATGACTGAAAAAGATTTGGAGGGTAATCAGCAGAACATTAACTCCCGGTGTGATGCTGTGGCCAAAAGAGCTAATGTGATCCTGGGATGCATAAACAGTGGAATCTTACGCAGGAGTAGAAAGGTGACCTTATCTCTATATTGGGCACTGTTGCGATCACGGCTGGAATACTGCACCTGTCCAAGTGCCCAGAATTAAGAAGGATGTTGATAAATTGGGGAGGGTTCAGAGAAGAGCCACAAGAATGATTATAATGATAGATTGAAATAAATCAATCAATTTATTTTAACAAGGAGAAGGTTAAGGGGTAACTTGAGTACAGTCTATAAGCATCCACATGAGGAACAAATATTTAATAATTGGTTCTTTAATCTAGCAGAGAAAGGTATAATACAATCCAATGGCTGGAAGTTGAAGTTAAACAAATTCAGAGTGGAAATAAAGTGTAAATTTTTAACAGGGAGAATAATTAATAACTGGAAATCGCTGACAATTTTTAAATCAAGATCGGATGTTTTTCTAAAAGATATGATTTAGGAATTATTATTAGTTCTATGGCCTGTGTAATACAGGAGGTCAGGCTAGATCAGAGGTCGGCAACCTTTCAGAAGTGGTGTGCCGAGTCTTCATTTATTCACTTTAATTTAAGGTTTCGCGTGCCAGTAATGCATTTTAACATTTTTAGAAGGTCTCTCTCTATAAGTCTATATATTATATAACTAAACTATTGTCATATGTAAAGTAAACAAGGTTTTCAAAATGTTTAAGAAGCTTCATTTAAAATGAAATTAAAATGCTGATCTCACGCTGCTGGCCAACTCAGCCCACTGCCAGCCTGGGGTTCCGTTCACCTAGGCCAGCAGCAGGCTGAGTGGGGCCTGCGGCCAGGACCCCGGATGGCCAGGGGCCAGCAGCCAGGACCCCAGACTGGCAGTGTGCTGAGCAGCTCAGCCCGCTGACACTCAGCCCGCTGCCAGTTTGGGGTTCCGTCCGCCGGCTCCTGCCAGCCAGGGTTCCAGCTGCCGCCCCGCTCAGCCCGCTGCCGGTCTGGGAGCCCAGCCTTGCCCACATAGAGTGGGTACCTGCCTTCTCCCTGGTTCGAGCCCATTCTCTTCCTCTCTCTCTGCACTGAGCTGAGGGTGGGAGTGCATTGAGCACAGGGCTGGGGGTGAAGGAGCAGGTTGGGGGTTGGGGTGTAGGGTCTGGCCAGGAGCTAGAATGAGGGAGGGGGCTCAGGGTTGGGGCAGGAGGTTTGGGTGTGGAGTGCTTACCTGGGCAGCTCCCATTTGGTGCGAGGGGTGCAGGTGGGAATGTGGGGTGTGTGTGTGTGCGCGCAGGAGCTCCTGTTTGGTGCTCAGGGTGGGGGTGGGAATGTGGGGGGTGCAAGAGTCAGGGCATGGGGTGTGGGGGGACTGGAGGTGTTTGAGGAGGGTGCAGGAGTCAGGGCAGAGGGCTGGGGGCATGTGTAGGGGGTGCTGGAGTCAGGGCTGGGATGTGTGGGGCAGGCAGAAGCGTGCCATTAAAAATCAGCACACGTGCCATAGGTTGCGGACCCCTGGGCTAGATGATCACAATGACCCCTTCTGGCCTTTCAATCTATGAATGCACTCCCCACTTCGTCCTGAACTAGCCAAGGACGTGCTTCAGGGAATGCTGCAAAGCCTCTCTTCACTTCTCAAGTTTTTAAGAAAGTAGAGGTATGATGAATGTAACAAAGAGGTGTATATTTTCCTTTTTAGAACTTTCACTTTCATTGGGCTTTTTCATCTCTCATACTGGAATCTGACCTGAGTCTCAAATACAGATGACAGACAAATCAGTACTGGAATCAGACTGGGATCTAGTGTAAGCCCAAAGGTTGCTGACTGGACTAATTATATGGCTTTTATGTTTGTTAGAGATTTTAGCTTTAGAATAGGACAGCCACAGCAATCTGAGTAAAGTGTGAGTGACCCATTAAACAATTTTTGGACCTAAATCCTAAAGGTACAGGGGCTTAGGGAAATCCTGCCAGCTTTAGTCTGTGCAGAGTAAAATCACATGGGCCTGAGATGCATTGTGTCCAAAAAGCTATATCTGGCAGAAAAAAAACGTTTGGGACATCTGTGATATTCACTTGGAAATACCCCAGAAAAATATATCCATCTGTATTTACTTGCAGCAGTATCAAATGTTTACTGCACATAGCATTATGCTGACAGATACTGGTGACTGCATCAATCACAAACCTCTTTGAGAGTGGGTGTGAACACATCCTTCAATCAATATAACTGTCAGGATAAGTTTAATCTGAAGCCTCTGACCTAAGATGAAACGGTGTTGACTGGAAAAGGCATTTTTTGTTGAGTGGCCATTGGACTGAAACATCTCTCTTGGTATAGATTTTTTTTTTAAACACTGAGACTCTATGTATCATCAGTGCCAGACACTTTCACTAGTATCTGTCAGTAATGTCTACAGACTCTTTTAAATAGTTGATCAAAAGATTAAATGAGGTTTGATTTATTGTCTCTTGCATATGTGCATGTTTACCTGTAATAAAAACAAAAACAAACAAAAGCAGGTGTCGTGAATCTGCCCAGGAATTTGGACTGTGTGGACAGAGAGTTTTGCTGAGTATTGTTTGTGGTCTGTGTGTATGTAGGTAGAACACAGAGAAACTGAAAACAGACCAGAAAGAGAGAGACACAGAGGGAAAAAAACCAAGAAAGCCCAGCAGCAGCCGGCGAGCACAGCATGACACTGGAAAAAGTGAGGGAGAGAGCTTTTGGGTCTGTTAGCCCAAGAGGCTTGGGGTTGTAAAGCAAGAAACTGCTCCTCTTGTTCTTGATTCCTCTTGCGCTCGGAGAAGCAGAGACTTTGTACATACCATGTAAATAAACAAGATTACATGAAAGAAAATGCAAGACTCTATCAATTTCTACTTCTAACTGGAACACCCTGAGGGTCCCAAACTCTGACTAGCCACTCTGGTTGAAAAGGGGCAACAATAGCATTTTGCTTTGCACCAATTCCTCCCCTCATTTTTTCTAAGGGCTTCTCTTCACGTACAATGCTGCTGGTGTGCCACTGTAGTGCTTTAGTGAAGATGCTACTATGCCAACAGGAGAGCTTCTCTTGTCAGCATAATGACAGGTTTCAGAGTAGCAGCTGTGTTAGCCTGTATTCGCAAACAGAAAAGGAGTACTTGTGGCACCTTAGAGACTAATCATTTTATTTGAGCATAAGCTTTCGTGAGCTACAGTCAGCATAGTTAATCCATCTCCCTGAGGGGCGGGGCAGCTATGTACATAGTGCTGTCTACTAGTGAGGGGAAGGGGGTTAAGTCAGTATAACTATGTTGCTCAGAGATGTGGATTTTTCACACCCCTGAGCAATGTAGTTATACCAATATAGGCCTGTATTATAGACCTAGCCTTAGGATAAAGAAGAATGTGATGTGCCTGGGCTGGTTTTATGAATGGTGGCAACTTTCCCTCAGAAAAGATTTGTCTTTATCATGACAAAGGAATTCCTCTAAGAGTGTCAGCTACCAGGAGTAGGCAGGATTTACAAATAGAAGCAGAAGTTTGACTGGGCTAGTTAGTCTTTACTATGAAAAGAAAGTGCCTATCTGGATAGGTCTGTAATAAATGTTTCTATAAAGTTTTTGTCAGCAAAGTATCCCATTATACAAATACTTAATCTGTTTTTTACATCCTGCTGCTGGCAGAAAGATGTAAACCCTGCCAGTCTCTGGACTGGTACAGGCAACATCACAGAGAGCCTGGGGATTTATTTGAGGATGGAATTGTTCTGAAATTCCATAAAATATAGCAGCAATGGACAGTTAGCACTGACTAAGAGAAGCAAGTAATATACACCAGCCATCTTAAGTTTTGTTTTATTTTACATTTTTAAAACTCACCCCAAGGAATTAGGCCCTTATTCTGGGGTCCATGAGGTAGCGGGCTTGGTGGGTCAGAGAGGGTTCTTTTATGTCCAGGGGGTGGGGGAGGTGGTCTCTTCTTGGAAAGAGTGGAGCTGCCACTGGAGGGTTGAGTACTTAGAGGAAGGGTTGAAGGTGGACCTGTAAAATTAACAAAAAAATCTTACCAATACAGGATGTGTAACAACAAAGTAGCACTGAAGAATTCAAAATCAGAATATAGTAAAATGGAGCAAAGGACTGAAAACAAAAATAAGCCATGCCAAAACACTGTTGAGATTAATGACATACCCATCACCTTTTAGCCATTTTTAATTGTAATATGACAGTATGCAATTTGACAATAAATGACAAACATATATTTTAAAATGTACATTCACATAAGGTTAATCACTGCAGGATTTATAATTTTAGACATTGTTAAAAACTGCAGAAAATGTTTTAAATCTTTATAAACTATTTATTGAAGATAAAGTACTTCAATTAGGGTTTAAGAATTACTATTTATAAAATCTCCATACCACAATGAAACAACAAACTAAATCTTTTAGCATGCTGTCAGTATTATAGCTTCAGAGCATCATATCATAGCTAATGGGACTAACAAGGTTTTATAATTTTTTTCCTTTAGCAAACTTTCCTTGAATGCTAAGAAATAGGTTTCCAAAATAAATTCATTTTTCTATTGTTAATTGCTACTGTTTGTGTGTGGATTAAATATATAGTGCACGACAAAGCGTTAAACCTAGTGGATAAGAAATAGACATTACAAAACCCCATTTTAAACGTATATAGTATTTGTTTAGAATGGCTCCAAATACTCTTGCCATTACAATAAAGTAATAATGCATTTTTTGGCCATGGTCCTGCAATGAGCTCTGCATGGGCCTTTGACTGGATAGAGCCTTACTAGTCCGAGGCTCTGTTCAGATGCAGGGATCTGCCCACATAGCACTTATTGCAAGATTTAGGCATTAAAAATAGCGTCTATCTATGAATACTTAATTATTCCTCCATTCAAAACCTGCCTAAATATACATTGAATATTACTTATGATATAAATAATAATATGATCTCTTGTTTAAGTCATACAGTAGAACATTGCTAATTTGCAGTTTGCTAATCAATATACGCCATAATTTGCACACAAGCAGTGCTGTTTCCTCCCTCAGAAAATACAGAGCTCCGAGTGGATATTATGAATAATATGTTACTTTTACACGTGTACTGCAAAACGTGTATGTAAAAATAATGTGAACCAAATTACATGTCAAATGTATGAACAAATTACTATAAATTTTGCAATGAATTATCCTTGCTATTTTTGTTTAACTTATTCACCAATTCAGTAATTTGCAATTCTCTCAGACATGAGTGCAAATTAATGCACTTCTTCTATACTAATTTTATCATTTAGTTTCTATGTGAATAATTTCTGTATCTTTTAAAATTTCATTATAAAAAAAGCTAACTTTAAGCAATACAATTCTCCCAATAAACATATAGACAGTTTTGGTGATATAAATCTAGATTGAGGATTCTGTAGACTTGTGCAACACAGAAGCTCTTCATTTTATTTTATATGAATGATTTTGTGAAGTGCTACAAACCAACAGCAGCTCAAAATATAACCTTAGAATCACAGAATCTCAGGGTTGGAAGGGACCTCAGGAGGTCCTTAGAAGGAGTTCAGTACTCATTGTGCTGCTGCTAACATTATTCTAAAGTCACAGTTAATACAATATATTTGTTTGCTACACAAGGACAGAAGAAAAGAGGTAATTATTTGAAATCTCCACTTTGGAGGTACATGTGCTGACACATGGATCTGATAAATGCAAACCATTTATTACAGTTTTACCCGATCACCCCCTAGTGACCAATTGATGGAAGTGCATACCATCTTTATCAGTCCTTCCAGCTGAACTACAGAACAAAAAATCCAAGCTTCATTCAAAAAATGGAGAAAGTATCCTGAATTGGCACTATATACTGCCATTTAAATTAAGGCAACATAAAGCTTCAAACTCAAGTGGAAGTAAACTGAATAAGATCTCTCTCTTTTTATTAGTAATGCAAAGCAAGAATATATATTTCAAAAACCAAAAGTAAAATTAAACAGAAAAAAATTGTGACTAAAACTGAGATAGAGTGTACGCATTTTTAATACCTCATGATACTAACATGTCTATAGGTACCACAGAAGGAGTTTAAAACGTTTATAATTTTATAGTTTTCAAATGTTCACATTCTAACATGTGAAACTTATGGATGGTACAATAGAAATAATTAACATATAACTCCTTTCAGTAGAAGGATTTCAAATCACTTTGCAAATTTTAAGACTTGCAACATACATTGTGAGATAGGTAGTGTTATACCCATTTTATAGATGGCATAAACAGACACAGAGAAGTTTCGCCTAAAAAACGGTTACATTGTTGGTTTGCAGTGGTGACCAATTCCGTCTCATTGTTTCCTTTCTATTCCCTGTGTGTAGCCATTTGTGGTCTCTTGTCTTATACTTAAATTGTAAACTCCTTGCAGGCAGGGACTGCCTTTTCATTCGCTGTTTGTACAGCAGCTAACACAATGGGGGGGTCCTAATCTATGACTAGGGGTCTTAGCTGTTCCAGTAATACAAATTAATAATACTCACAGTGATTTCGCCAATGCTAATAAACCCAACCACTCTCCTGCTCTAATCACTAAACAACACCCCCCCCCCCCCTTTAGGGAAAGTAGTGGGTAACATTTACCAAAGATAAGTTTCTTTTCAGGAAAATAAGGAATATAGGGAAAACCATCTAAAATATATTCAGGGAAATAGCTAGTTTCAGAATGACAGAAAGTCAAATTGTTGGATTTTCAGGAAACACTATTGTGGAAAAAATGAACTGCAATCTGTTTTTTATTACTGAAACAGGTGATGGAATGATACTAAGGTCTGTAATGATATGTTTAGTACAGGTTGAACCACTCTAGTCCGGTCCCGGCTGCCAGCCCCCTCCCCGGGGGCTCTGAGGACGGCTCCAGGTCCTCCCCCCCCCCCCCCCGCCTCCCAGAGCTTGAACGCTGTGAATCAGCTGTTTGCGGTGCTCTGGAAGCGCTGGGAGGGAGAAGGAGGAGTTGGTAAGTGTGGGGTCTCCGGCGCACGAGAGGCGAAGGGGAAGGACGGCAGAGGGGGGAGCTTGGTGCCAGTGGATGCTCCGCACCCACTAATTTTTCCCTGTGGGTGCTCCAGCCCTGGAGCACCCATGGAGTCGGCGACTATGCCAGACAATGGATGTTGCCAGACCAGGGAGTACCGGATGAGAGGTTCAACCTATATTGATAAAAATATTACTATCTTCCCTGTAACGATCAAAACTCAGAATAGCATAAATTTATACAAGGTAAGTTAGAAAATGTTTAACAGAACATGTAATTTAAAATTAAATTTTCCAGCCTTAAGATATTTATCCGTGCAGCAATTAAAAACATTCTGTGGGAAGTTAAAATAATTGTAAGAGGCCTGCAATTAACAGTGTGTGTACTTCAGCTTTTGTGGAGTTAGTACATGTTCTATATATTAATTTGTGTACCAGTGACAACATGCAAAGCTGTTACCATCCATCAAATAATTTTTTTTTGTAGTGGGAGAACCTAAAGTATATATTTTTTTACCACTGCATGAGAGGTATGGCAGAACCAGTATTCCAGTTAATGGTAGGACACGTACTGCAAAGGAAAGTGATAAGTTTGTGTTAAAAATGATACTTTCATAACAAATATTGCTATTTTTTTCAAAATTCTTATGAGAAATATAAATTGCTCATTGGTATTATTTAAAAGCTCTGTTTGATTAGATTAATCATTTCAGACAATATCTTTTCTTTACTCGTCAAGCTCTTACTGCCAACATTTGAGAAATACTGATCACAAGCACACTACTACTCTTTAGGACATAAGCAGAATAAATTGACTGAACATTAACTATACACTATACTTACAACTGTCAACTCTAAATTTCTCCTGTAAAATAAGCCAAAACCTACAATTAACAACTTATATCAAGTTACTTCATATAGATTTTCATATATTCATACTTGCGTCCTATCAGGTCTCTCTTCCTATTAAAAGTACTGGAAAATTAACAGTATAGCGAATCAAGACTAACAAAACAAGATATAAACAAGAGTGAAATAGCTCGTTTTACCTAAATCAAAAACACAAGACAATGAAATACAACAAAACACATAGCTAGAAGCACTTTTCTTTAAAAATTAGTTGTGTATGCATTTAGTAAGGAAAGACTGTCATAATATAGTCTAAGAGCATTAAAGTCAGAGCTGTGCTTTCAATGTATATGGGTTGACACACTGTGTTTTGCTTCAAGTTTGGAAATCAAATGCATCCAGCAGCTCAAAATCCAAACAGACCTAAATTGGAGGGTTTTGATTAAGTCTTCTGATGAAAACTGGCAAAGCCACTTAGATTTTCTTAATTTTCACCTAAAATTGTGAAAATGACCCATATTTGCCCCAAACCTTTACAACAGGACTAGAAAAACTAGCTGGCAACATTACCCTGAATACTGGGTTTGTCACTAAACATTTGCAGAGATTTAATTAAGATCAGTGAAACTAATGGGTTGAGCCATGCTACTTTTTGGTTGTCAGTTTAAAAAAAACATTACAAAAACAACACACTAACCAGCAGACCTATCAGACAACTGAAGCTTGTCAGAATTATGGAAATTGAAATTCAACTGACTTTCTCACTAAGTATTACTAAGGACTTGTTTTTACGTGAGAAAGTTGAGCCAGTTTAACTAAAGATGTGATTTTTAAACCGATTTATTTGAACTGGTGCCAAAAAGTGTGGACACACTTATTTCACTTTTAAACCAGGCTTATTTTGGTTTAGCATAAATTAATCTAAGTAATCAGTTTTAGCTAAACCAAAATAAGCAACCTTTTAACAAAATAAGCATGTCCATGCAGGGATTTGCACCAGTTTAACATAAATAGGTATGCCTATTTAACTTCAACTGGTGCAACTTTTATCACATAGACAAGACCTAACATACCCTTTTTCCTCGATGAAATGTAGGGAGCAAACACATCAATTTCTGCAGCTTTTAAAACTCCAGCTGAAAAGTTACCAAGCCAAAAGACCCAGTCTTACACTAACTAATATATGCAGAAATATAAAAATAACTTGCAAATACATTAGCTATACACACACACACAAATTGACATACTGTAATTTAGAAACCCATATACATGCACACAGTTTTAAAAAATAAACCAAGTTAATTTTTAGACATCAAATGCACTAAAAACCATGGGTAAGAGGGGCATTCAGTACATAAATGATTTTTAACTTGCCTTCCTTCCCCCACACTGTAGGCTAGAACAGAGTTAAATTAGCTTAGTTAAATAAAAAAAAATGCTTCGTGGTTTGTGTGTACAGTGCTGGTTTTGCTAGCAGTTGTGAGAAGGCCTTGAAAGAATATGGCTTAACTGGAAAAGCTAGCCCTGAAGGGTAATTGATAAAGATAAAGGGCAGAAAAAACCCCAGTTATAATATAATTAGTTAATAATAAGAAAAAATTGTGCACATTGAACCAGCAATGACCTGAAACTGGCCCCAACATGGTTTTTAGCTAAGTTAGTAACAGGCAATGCCATCACTGGTTTATGAAAAGGGTACAAAAGGGTGAACTCCTGAAGGGTCATTGTTAATGCCTGACTGACTAAATTGGGTCTAAAACTCCTGGGTTCAGCCTGTTTGTAAATATCATGATCAGATGCTTATAAATGTTTTGTCACTCTTTGGATGTAGTAAGTTGTTTATTATTTAGGCTTTTTAGGCATGTTTAGAGCAATTGTATAAATATGATCAATGTTTGGATTTAACAAAGGAATCTGCAGTTAAATTAGTGTCATGGTAATATCCCCTACATAAATAATAATTCCAACACACAAAGCTCAGATTTGATGGTTTCCACTTCACTGTGGCATCTCAGCAAAAACCATGGAACCGTGCCACTAAGGAACTTCACTGGAGACTGAAGCCAGCTTACGAAGGACTAAAGGGAGGTGTTTTTCTTTAAGTATACAGCATGCTTTGGAAAAGATTTATTATATTTATATCCCAAAGGATATAAAACAATATTAAGAAACTTTTTCAAAACTACACCACTTGCTAAATAATGGAACCCAACACCTACCTGCTCCTTATGGACTGGCTCCATGCTCTAGCACAGTCCCATGGTAGCTGTTGGAACCTTACATCAGACAAGGAGATGTTACCTAGGGAGGTGGTGGAATCTCCTTCCTTTGAGGTTTTTAAGGTCAGGCTTGACAAAGCCCTGGCTGGGATGATTTAGTTGGTGTTGGTCCAGCTTTGAGCAGGGGGTTGGACTAGATGACCTCCTGAGGTCCCTTCCAACCCTGACATTCTATGATTCTATGATTTCTCATTTACCTCCCTGTAATCCCATGATGGTGCAGTTTTGTGGGCACCCTCTGTTCTGGTCAGACTGCTTGAAGTGCTCCTAGGGCTTTAATGTGGAGCCAGCCTATGGAGTGGTGGAGTCTGCCTTTCAGAGTCTGACCATCTTTCCCTGGCAGAGCAAGGGTCCTTGGGCTGAAAGCCAGACAGGCTCAATCCCAATTAGGCTTCAGCCTGAGGAAGAACTGCATAGGAGGAACACAGGCTTCTCTGCATCCCTACAGGGCATGGCGGAGGGGCAGTGAGCATGGTAGAGAAGACGGTCTGTGAGTGAAACTCTGTGTATGACAAAAGCCCCAGCAAACACTCCCTCAGGAGGAGAAGACAAAGGAGGAGGAGGCTAACCCCATATTTCCTCCCGATTTATTCATTACCAGGAGTAATCACTGCCTTGTGAAGGACACATTTGCTTCCGTCATTCTGGGAGTGTATGGGATATGCAGGACTTACCCCTGAGTATCCTGAGAATCCCCTGATTCATAGTGGGAGTAAGGAGAGCTGTGTAGGAGCCCTGCTTCTTTCCCCAGGGAGCTGAGGACCCACTTCACTATCAGGGAGGGACACTAGTTCCTTTCAGGATTTTTTCCCCCTCCAGCCCATGTCTGTTGCAAGACTTACCCCCTAAAATGACCAAACAGCTTTCTCCTCATCCTTAGACTCTCTACCCGAAAGCTCAGAAGCTCTTGATCAGGCTTTTCTGTGAGACATTGGGGCAGGGTTGGGACTCGACTTGCTGATCTGACTCTGAGCCCACTGCCCAAGCAGTGCCAAGGTCGGCTGGCTGGACTCTGAGCCCCGTGCCCTAGTAATGCAGAGGTCAGCTAGATGGTAACAAGCAGGTCATAATGAACCCTCTATAGATCTTGTAAGTGCTGCCTTATGTAAGGAACAACGCTTAGATTTAAGTCTGGTGTTTTTAGGACAGCTCTGCAAAGGAGTCTAACAGGAGATGCTGCAGTAGCAGATCCAGGTGGCTGAAACCGCCCTGCTGCTATTCATCTCATCGAGGGGAGGAGGGAGATAATAAGTCAAAACTGCATGAAAATGAATAATAACAAAGGCTTTAAAACAAAATGGTTGGGAGAAACTGAACTACCAGCTTGCTCCATCACCAGAGGCAGAAAATCTGATGGCCTTAGCTGAAGAGCGAAGCTTAGTCCTGGAGCCTCCAGCAACAACACTGGACCACCTCCAAATGCCACAGGAGGGGGAGCATTAGCCCATGAGTAATGGATGAAGACAGAAACTGTGTAACAGAACAGCAAGGCTAGTTAGGCAGTCAATTGGCAACTTTCCTATATTAAAAAAAAAAAACAACCCAGGAAACACTAAAATCACCAATACATGACTAATGCTGCCCTTGGAACAGTATTTCCCAAGCATGGTATCTGAATCATGCAACTGTTGTTCTATAAAGCAAACAGAGACTACTGCATCCAGTGTCACGCTGTACATTTTAATGAGATCTTTTCTTTATTCCTTTTAAAAATTTAAACTAACATAAGAGCCAAGAAAATGAAATGCAAATAGTTATGTAACAGCTTTGTAACTCAAGGGGACAAATTCACTTAAGGCTTTTAGCCTCATGTTATGCTGTTAGCCACTAAGCACATTTTACATAAGTCTAGTTTAAAAACAAATCAAAATCAAAATAAATAAATAAAAACAGTTTGGCTCTGTATAAGCTGCAGGAGAGAAAAAAGTAGAAAATTTGATGGTAGCAAAGCTTCAAGATTAGACTTTAGTGCATTATAGAAAACTAACAATTATATTCCATAGATGAATAGCCCACTCCAAATCATAATGTTATGAGTATGGTATAAATGGATTAACAAACTATTAACATCTATTACAGCAACAATACATGAGGTGTGAAAAAAATCTTCAGGACTAATATAGTTGTAAGAGATTCTCTTTCCTTTTAAACACTATTATAATATTTATTATTTCATCACAAAAAAGGCAACATTAAATATCTCATGGCTTTACGTTAAGTGCACATGGTGATGATTACACAATTTTAGCAAAAAGAAAAGGAGTACTTGTGGCACCTTAGAGACTAACCAATTTATTTGAGCATAAGCTTTCGTGAGCTACAGCTCACTTCATCGGATGCATACTGTGGAAACTGCAGAAGACATTATATACACAGAGACCATGAAACAATACCTCCTCCCACCCCACTCTCCTGCTGGTAATAGCTTATCTAAAGTGATCACTCTCCTTACAATGTGTATGATAATCAAGTTGGGCCATTTCCAGCACAAATCCAGGTTTTCTCACCCTCCGCCCCCCGCCCCCCCAAACACAAACTCACTCTCCTGCTGGTAATAGCCCATCCAAAGTGACCATTCTCTTTACAATGTGTATGATAATCAAGGTGGGCCATTTCCAGCACAAATCCAGGTTTTCTCACCCTCCGCCCCCCCGCCCCCAAACTCACTCTCCTGCTGGTAATAGTTCATCCAAAGTGACCACTCTCCCTACAATGTGCATGATAATCAAGGTGGGCCATTTCCAGCACAAATCCAGGTTTTCTCACCCCCCACCCCAATACACACACAAACTCACTCTCCTGCTGGTAATAGCTTATCCAAAGTGACCACTCTCCTTACAATGTGCATGATAATCAAGGTGGGCCATTTCCAGCACAAATCCAGGTTTTCTCACCCCCCACCCCCCTACACACAAACTCACTCTCCTGCTGGTAATAGCTCATCCAAACTGACCAGCTCGTTCACCTGCACATCCACCAATGTGATATATGCCATCATGTGCCAGCAATGCCCCTCTGCCATGTACATTGGTCAAACTGGACAGTCTCTACGTAAAAGAATAAATGGACACAAATCAGATGTCAAGAATTATAACATTCATAAACCAGTCGGAGAACACTTCAATCTCTCTGGTCACGCAATTACAGACATGAAGGTCGCTATCTTACAACAAAAAAACTTCAAATCCAGAATCCAGCGAGAAACTGCTGAATTGGAATTCATTTGCAAATTGGATACTATTAATTTAGGCTTAAATAGAGACTGCGAGTGGCTAAGTCATTATGCAAGGTAGCCTATTTCCCCTTGTTTTTTCCTAACCCCCCCCCCCGACGTTCTGGTTAAATTTGGATTTATCCTGGAAATGACCCACCTTGATTATCATACACATTGTAAGGAGAGTGGTCAGTCTGGATGAGCTATTACCAGCAGGAGAGTGAGTTTGTGTGTGTGTATGGGGGTGGGGAGTGAGAAAACCTGGATTTGTGCTGGAAATGGCCCACCTTGATTATCATGCACATTGTAGGGAGAGTGGTCACTTTGGATAAGCTATTACCAGCAGGAGAGTGAGCTTGTGTGTGTGTGTTTTTTTTTGGGGGGGAGGGGTGAGAAAACCTGGATTTGTGCTGGAAATGGCCCACCTTGATTTTCATACACATTGTAAAGAGAGTGGTCACTTTGGATGGGCTAATACCAGCAGGAGAGTGAGTTTGGGGGGGGGGGGGGGCGGCGGAGGGTGAGAAAACCTGGATTTGTGCTAGAAATGGCCCAACTTGATTATCATACACATTATAAGGAGAGTGATCACTTTAGATAAGCTATTACCAGCAGGAGAGTGGGGTGGGAGAAGGTATTGTTTCATGGTCTCTGTGTATATAATGTCTTCTGCAGTTTCCACAGTATGCATCTGATGAAGTGAGCTGTAGCTCACGAAAGCTTATGCTCAAATAAATTGGTTAGTCTCTAAGGTGCCACAAGTCCTCCTTTTCTTTTTGCGAATACAGACTAACACGGCTGTTACTCTGAAACCAACAATTTTAGCACAAACCCTTAATTCTTCTTCATGGATAATCCTAATCCTACAAAACCAAGCGGTTGTTTCACTCAGTGAAGACCTGGGGCCTCTTGCTCAGTTTTTCCGTGAATATGCGGTTTGCTGGACACCTGGTGGAGTGCTTAGGACCTTCCCTTCCCCCACATTAGTGCTCAGCAGAGCCATTCTAGCAGCTCTACATGTGGGGGGCCTAGTATGATAAGTGGGGACCTCACCAGCCTGCTCATGGTCTGGCTGTCTTCTCTGCCAGAAGCTGCATAGCACTGTAACCTGAAGCACCGCTCATTAGTTACCAAGATGTTCAAAGGGCTCAGATTTGAGATTTTGGTTTGGGTTTATGTCCAGTGTGTACTGTTAAAATAATGGCTTTAAATAACAAGCATAACATGAGCAGAATTATTTCTATATAGAATGAATTAGCTGCTTTTTTGAAAACAGAATTGTAGTACGTATTTGTTATTCTTAATAATTCATGTCGGATGCAACTTAAATACAAATCTACTGTAAACTTTTCATTTCAGCACTGTAAAATGCAAGCTTTCAGTATGTGAACTTCATTAGATTAAAAAGCATTATACAAAGTGAAAGAAAAGCACACTAAATCTTGGAAGAACACAAAGTGTTCAGGTTGGTTATGAGAAGCATTGAACAACAATTTTTGATTTCCATTAAATTTTTGTGAACAGACTTACCTTTGCCAGCATTTCTAGGAGGGAGAGGAGGAGCATCTGCTGTTGGAGAAGCTGGAGAATCTGTGCTTGTAGAGACAAAAATCTGATTTGTAAAGGCTCCGTAGGACAGTCTTTGTTTGTCTCTAGGAGTGCTAAATCCAGGCAGAGTCATTTTGTCTTGGGGGGAAAGACTGGAAGAGTGGCAAAAGCTCTGGGGTCTTGGAGAACGTTCTTTCTTTATAGGACTAGGCTATGAAAACAGAGAAAAATTACATTATTGCACAGATTTAGTATAGGAGGGCCAATATAGTCATCATATACACATTTTGGAGTCCTGCAATTCTCAGCTTTGTCATCCTTTTTACAATGCTATACAAAATGTGAAAGCCACTGTGTATATATACAGGAAGGGTTTGTGTGTGTATGTATGATTAAATACAGAAAAAATATTTGTATGATTACAACAGAACTAGTTCCTGATATACATATACATAGATACCAATATGACTTCCTTGCTGATTGGTTAGATAACTTCAGCTCATCCCCTTAAGGTATCCTCATTCGTGAAACTCCCACTCCTCTCACATAAATTAATGGCTGTGGCTTTAGCAGATTAAAATTTACAAGTTGTAATTAGATTATCGGCACTGAAAACTGTATATGTACTGCTATACAGTTATGCTATTCACCTTGCTTGGTTTTTAACAAAGTATTATTTAGGAGGTAACAGTAAACCTTCATTTTGAATTGCACTTAAAATCCTGGCCCAACTGAAATCAAGGGGGAAGACTACCAATGGGGCCAGGATATTAATTTAAAATTACATGTGATGCTAGAATGAATTATAAATGCATAGAGAAATAAAGGAATAACTTTTCAGGCAAACAAGTTTCGCATGCTTACTGCAGTAGCCATTTACAAGATGCTATATTTTCTTTTCCCAAAATATGTGTCATTTTCGATTTTGAAGATCCCTAAGGTCCCCATTTTTGGTAATAATGGGGCAACTTCCAACATTTTTAGTGTATTTTTCCTCATATCTGTGTGAGGTAGGGAAGTACTGTTATCCCCATTTTACAGATGGGGAAAGAGCACTCAGAGCAATTAAGTGACTTGGCTAAGGTCACACAGGAAGCCTGTGGGAGAGCACGGAATTGAAACCTGGTCTCCCAAGACCTAGACAATCACTCTAACCACTAGGAAATCCTTCCTTTTGCCCTGAATTTGGTTCTTTCATGACTCCTTTTTCCATAACTGTGCAACACAGTTCTTGAAAAACAGACAGGGCTGTTGATGCAACAAGTAAAAACAAATTATGGATTTGTAGAAAGTGTATTTAACACAAAAAGTGCATTTTATGAATTAAAAAAACCTAACCTATCTCAATTTGGAGGGAAAAAATCACCATAAAAAGGACAACTATATTGATTTAATTAAATTCATTTTCTTCTGGCAGCTATAATTAAAGCTGAAAGTAAAAATGTGCAACATTTTTTTTAAATGGCATACATGCATTTTACATTAAAGATATGTCCGGTCTTCAACGGGCATATTTTAACATCTATGAATAGACATTTTAATCAAAGGAGAAATGGTTACCTACCTTTCCATACCTACCTACCACACCTGCTCTTCGAGGTGTGTTTCACGTATCCATTCTACTGAAGACATGTGCGTGCCTACTACACAGTTGTCAGAACTGCAGTACTCATCGGGCGGCTCAAGCACCCTCTGTCACCACAGAGCCGCTCCCTGCCAATTGCTTCTTATCGGATAGATTCCGACAGAGAGGGGAAAGAGGGCGAGTCGTCGAATGGACATGTGCTACATATCTCAAAGAACAAGTTACAGAAAGGTAGGTAACCTTTTTTCCCTTTCTTTGTATGATTGCACATGTTAATTCTGCTGTAGGTGACTCACAAGCAGATTAACGTGGAGGCGAGCTTGGAGTCTATCTGAATGACTGTACAACAATCCACCCAAAGCTGGCATGATTCCTGGACTGATGGGAAATGGTATAATCATAGAATCATAGAATATCAGGGTTGGAAGGGACCTCAGGAGGTCATCTAGTCCAACCCCCTGCTCAAAGCAGGACCAATCCCCAACTAAATAATGAGCAGCAAAGGTGTGAACTGATGACCAGGTTGCTGCTTTGTAAATGTCTCAGATAGGTATTTGTGCTAGGAAAGCTGCTGAAGCTGCTTGCACTTTAGTTGAATGAGCCATTGACATTAGCGAAGTGGTAGCAAAACGAACGCAAGACGAAATCCCGGAGGAAATCTTCTGAGTGAAGCCAATTTATCTTTCACTATCTGCAACTGTGACAAATAACTGGGCTGAAAATCTAAAGAGTCTGATGCAGTCAAGTAGATGGCTAATCACATCCTAGATCCAGTAAATGAAGCTTCTGCTGATGTGTATGCTTGTGAAACTTCAGGAAAAAAGTTGACAAATAAATTGCTTGGTTAATGTGGAAATTGGAAACCACCTTTGTCAAGAATTTTGGGTCAGGGTGGAGGTAAACTTCATCCTTATGGAAAACCGAATAAGGAGGTTCTCAAACCAAGGCTCTCAATTCACCCACTCTCCTTGCTGAGGTAATCACAATCAGAAACACCGTTTTCATGGAGAGATGGAGTCGGAAGCAAGTCACAAGAGGTTCAAAGGGAGGTCCCATTAATTTTGTTAGCATGATGTTGAGATCTCATGAGGAAACAGCTTCTTGAACCTGAGGATATAATCTGTCCAACCTTTTAGAAACCGGATAGTTATGGAATTGGAGAAAAAGCAATCTATTACCCACTGGAGGGATGGAATACTGAAATTGTTGACAAATGTGTTTTAGTGGAACTGTCAGACCTTGATGTTTTAGGAGCAACAGACAATTCAAAACATGGCTAATGGAAGCCTGCACAGGAAAGAGACTTTTCTGTTGAGACCACATAGAAAAACATTTTAATTTGGCCAGGTAAGTATGTCTAGTTGAAGGCTTTGGCAATTCAAAAGCACTTCCTGAACATCTTTCGAGCAACTATTTCCACTGTGCTAGCCATGAAGCATCCATATTGTCAAGTGGAAGGCCTGTAGTTTGAGGTGGAGCAGACAGCCAGGGTCTTGAGAAATCACATGTAAATTCAATGGAAGAAGTAGAAGTGGCCTCGCTAACAATACTAGCAGGGTCGAGAATCAATGTTGCCAAGACCACGCTGGTGCTGTCAGTGAGGCAAGCATGATCCTGCTTGGCCTTGAACAGGGCTCTGAGTAGAAATAGTATCAGAGGAAAGGCAGAAAGTGTCTGTCAAAGACCCTGAGCTGTGACCCCCATGGGAACAGAACTGATGGCACTTTCTGTTGGCCTTTGCTGCAAACAGGTCTATTTGGGGAGTTCCCCCACAGCCGGAAGATAGACCTGGCAATGTCTCGATGTAATGACCACGTGTGGTGAGCAAAGACCAGCTTAGGTGATCTGCCAACATGTTCTGTTCTCCTGGAAGTTACGCAGCTTAGAGGTGAATGGAATTGGTTACGCAGAATTCCCAAAGTAGAACTGCCTCCTTGTACATTTGGGACAAATGTACCACTCCCTGTCTGATTACATAAAACATAGTTGCTGTGTTGTCTGTTAAAACTAGCAGATATTTTCCCAGAATACACGAATGGAAGGCCAAGTAGACTAGATGGATAGCACATAGATCCCTGAAGTTTATATGAGTCCTCAGATTCTGTGATAACCAAAAGCATTAAGTTTGCACGATTCCAACGTGTACACCACAATACAGGGACGAGGCATTTGTGACTAAAATGAGATTTAGTTGCGGAGAAACAAAGGGAACTCCCATGCAAACGTTCCAAGGGTCTGTCCACCAACTCAGAGAGGACAAAATTTCCTCTGGACGTGAATCGCTCTGTTTAGAAGATGTTGAAAGGGGACATACATTGATGCTACCCATCCCTGAAGCCTCCTGAGGAGTAGTCTGTCATGCTGTACTACATAGGTATGTACATATGCTGCCTCGTGCCCCAAAAGTTTGGGGCAAATGTGCACTGTGGTAACAGGATGTGCTTTTAGATCCAACATGGTCTCAGAGTGTTTGGAACCTTGAATGGGGCAAGAAACACTCTGGTTTTTGTAGCATCTAGGAGTGTCCTGGTAAATTCTATTCTCTGCACAGATTTTAGAATTGGTTTGTCCAGACTGAGTAAGAGCCCCAGTGTATTGAAGGTGGATTGAATGATGGCCACACTGAACAGCACTTGAGACTCGGACTGGCCTCTCACCAGCCAGTTGTGCAGGCAGGGAAACACACGGATTCCCAATCTCCTCAGATATGTAGCTACCAGTACCATGTGCTTTGTGAAAACATAAGAGGCTGCTGACAGGCCGAATGGAAGTACCATGAATTGATAGTGTCCCATTCACTACAAACCTGAGAAACTTCCCATGGTCTGGACAGATTGCTCTCTGGAAGTAGGCATCCTGAAAGTCAAGAGCAGCATACCATTTGCCCTGTTCCAGGGAAGAAATGATGGAAGCTAGGGTAACCATATGGAACTTTATTTTCTTCAGGTACTTGTTTAACTCTCTTAGGTCTAAAATAAAAATGAGACGACCTTTTGATTTGGGAATAAGGAAAGAGTGGGAATAAAAACATTTTTGCCTGAGGAACTCTCTCTGTGGCTTCCACTAGAAGGAGAGATTGGACCTCCCGCTGATGAATGGTCTTGTGAGCAGTCCCTGAAGAGGCATGGGAAGAGAAGTGGAGTTGGAAACGAATGCAGGGAATAGCCCAGATCCATTATGCTAAGGACCCACCAATAAGATGTGGTGTGAGTCCAAGCATGAAGGACTGGCAAAGATAGGGTAGAAACAAATTGGTTTGTAACTACTGGTATGCTGCCTTTGACAAACCCGTGAAAATGCATATTTAAACTGGGCTGCTGCTTGTCACAGATGACAAGGGGGGCTGTCGTCTCCTGTAATTCCTGCCTCTTTTTCTTGGCAGGTCTTGGTGCCAAGGTATAAAATTCTGATATCTGTGAGCCTGATGGGGCCAGAACTGTTTCCTCTTTGTCACCAGCATGTAGATTCCAAGTGACTTCAGTGTTGTCCTGGAATCTTTTAGGTTACACAGCCTATCATCCATCTTTTCCAAGAAGTGGGACAGACCATCACATGGCAAATCCTGGATGATGTGCTGTACTTCAGGAGAGAGACTGGAAGACTGCAGCTATGAACACCTCCTTACAGACATGGCAGATACCATGCATTGAACTGCTGAGTCCACCGCATCCAAGCAATCCTGAAGAGCTGTCTTTGCCACCAACTTACGCTTCTCTATCATAAGAGTGAACTGTCTGGAGTCCTCCAGTAGCTGTCTTTAAACGTTGTGATGTTTTATAGACTCACAGACTTTAAGGTCAGAAGAAACGACCATGATCATCTGCTCTGACCTTCTGCACACTGCAGGCCACAGAACCTCACTCACCCACTCCTGTAATAGACCCATAACCTCTGGCTGAGTTACTGAAGTCTTCAAATCATGATTTAAAGACTTCAAGTTACAGAGAATCCACCTTTTACACTTGTTTAAATCTGAAAGTGACCTGTGCCCCATGCTGCAGAGGAAGGTTAAAAAAACCCAGGGTCTCTGCCAGGGGAAAATTCCTTCCCGACCCCAAATATGGCAATCAGTTAGATCCTGAGCATGTGGGAAAGACCCACCAGCCAAACAACTGGGAAAGAACTCTCTGTAGTAACTCAGCGCCCTCACCATCTAGTTTCCCATCATATCATCATAGCCCCAGTGGGATATTTGCTACTAGCAGTCACAGATCGGCTCCATGCCATTGTAGGAAGTCTCATCATACCATCCCCTCCATAAACTTATTAAGCTAAGTCAAGCCAGGTAGGTTTTTTGCTCCCAGTGCTCCCCATACGGTGAAGTCATAGTGACACAGGAGAGCTTGCTGGTTAGTAATTCTAAGCAATAGGCCTCCTGTCAAATAAAGTTTACAACCAAACAAATTCAGCCTCTTTGATTCATTACTCTTTGCTGTTGACCCTTGGTGTCCTGCCTCTTCCACTCATTAGCTAGTGCCACAACCAAAGAGACTGGGAGCAAGTGAAATCAGAGATGTTCAAAACCCTTAAAAAGGACACAGTGTCTCTATTCTGCCTGTTTCACCATAGGCAGGAGAGAAGAAGGGGTCAGCCAAAGTTTTTTTAACTGGCTCCAGAATTGCTTCATTAACTGGAATTGCCACTCTGGAGGGCTCCGCAGATACTAATATGTTCACTAGCTTGTGATATTTTTCACAGACCCCTTCCACTTGACTGTCTAAAACCGAGGCAAGCAGTCCTTAGTGAGCCTTGTAATTCTCTTCTGGTTGTGGAGAATCACTCACCATCTCTACAGCCTCATTGGGTGATGAGGAAGAAGACACACCATTGGTACACAGGGCAATGCTGAGGGAATGGCTGATCTGCCTCTTGCAGTGGAAGTGCTGTCTGAGCAATTTCTAGTTGCTCAGTACCGCTCCCCGTTCCGGGCACCAGAAACCATTGTCTGTGGTGCTGATGATCTCTGTGCACCCTTGAGGAAGTCAACTCAGGTGAGGAGAGGTCTTAACAGGGGGACGGACACCCCACCTTCCAGAATGGCCACTGACATGGTGGTGGGCCCCATGGTTATGCAGGCCATGGCCCGTTGCGATGTGCCCATTGCTGGGACTGATGTGACATCCATGGACTTTAAGGCTCTTATGGAAAGTCAACTTCCTGTCTGGTATGGGACACAAAAGACCCCACTTCCAAATCTGACTCTGAGTCCCCGGTGATGGTGGAGCAGAACCCATGTGGACAGGACACAGGTAAGCCGAACCAGGGGACGGTGGTACTGGGGATATTAACAATAGCTTTCCCCTGGAATATACAGGCCTTCTAGGTACTGGAAGTGGCATTGCCACTCCATGGTCTTGAGAAGCTGGTGCAGGAATTACAGTCACCAGTATCAGCTGAAACCCTTCCTGCATTGCCAGGGACACCAATACAGAAAGGTTAAACAATTCTCTGGCAGCAGCATATGCCTCTGGCATTCTTGGTGCTGGAATTGGGTCCTGAGTCCAGCATATTGGAACTTCAGGTGTTGGCCTTGACAGACCTGGCACAGGTTCTGGAGTTGACAAATCTTCCCCCTTTGTAGCAGAGGAACACTCTGGGGAATGCTTCTCCTCAGTGACCCTCTCAGAATTCTTGCTTCTAGTTGGCCTCAGTACCAAAGGTCTTGCTGTATGAGGTACCATGTCCTTGGAAGACCTGTCTCTTCTTCAGTTCCAGAGACACAGAACATAGCGCTGAAGACATCTCAGGAGGCGCCGTATGTACTGATGGCTCCCATGAATGGTGAAGTGCCGCTTCCATAAGGAGACACTTAGGTCTTGCTACTCTATCTTTTTTAAAGCGAGGTTTATTCCCTCTACAAATGAGACACTTGTCACTCATGTGGGACTCCTCCAAACATTTTAGGCAGCTGAGGTGTGGGTCACTGACCAGCATCAGTCTGGCTTACAACGGGCAGGATTTGAATGACAGAGAGCGAGGCATGGTTCTAGCCCCAGTCCTGGGCCTGAGAATCAAATTTGGTTCAAAAGTACCTAAAAACTGAAACTTAAGACTAGTATGAACTATATACTATATCTAACTAACTACTAAATGAGAAACAGATTATATACAAAGAGTGAGGGAAATAAACTTGTGATAGCAAGACTGGGAGCACTCCAGCTGTCACTGGTGGTAAGAAGGAACTGAGGAGGGTTGGGGGTGGCTCCACATTATTACACAACATGCGTAGCATGGCAACAGAAGGCACTCAAGCCACCCTGATGGGTACTGCTGAGGGAAAAAGTTTTCCAACAACTGTGCATGAGGCATGGAAGCACCTGCAGTGGAATGGACACGTGCAATCACTCGAAAAACTGGGACAGGATAAAGATGTCAGCATTAGTTTCAATTGGCAAAGTAGCAACTATTGAATTTCATATTAAATTTAAATTAAAAATATTTTCTTACATTTCCACAAAACTAGCCAACTTTGAGAACTTCTTGGAAACCCATGTCAATTATTCAAAATTCACTTTTACCTTGTCATCTAAATCATCATCACTTTCATCAATTTCTTCCTGTCGAAGGTTCCACTCATATTCTACATGTATGTGTGGATTTAGCTTCCCTGCCTTGGCTTGGGAAAGCTGAAAAGCAAAAATGTAACAGTATCAAAATGCTTACTGTTTCGTCAGTCTCTACTTCCTATTCCAAAAAGTGTGCAGTAAGAATGTTTTTTAATATTTAAGAGCTTGAACAAATGGCAAAAAACCACTCTGTCTTAGTTTTAAACCCTTCTCCCTTCCCCAAAATTAAAATCATAAAGCCCAAGAAACAAAAAACATCCACACAAACATTTTAATCAAATTTTCTTTAAAGCACTTATTAACCCCTGGGCGTTGTCATATTTGACTTAAACATACTAATATTTTGAACACAACAGAATATCTGTATAAAGCAGCATACATCTGGAGAGTTCCTCTAAAAAAGCAATTTGCCCTTTTCTGCACAGCTTTTCAGACAAACTATTAGAGAATGCTAGTTATTTTTGTGTGTGCCATTTCTGGTGTCATCTATGGAAGAGTGGGAAGAAAGGAGCAAAGTAAACTTGCAAACTGATACTTTCCTGTCTATGTACTTAGATGACCCCCATCACCATTGTATCAGAGCACCTTTTAAGACCAGTATGAAGCTGTCATTTTCCCTCCACGCTACCCCCTACACATGGAATGTCCTCTGAACTCCACCTGGCCAGTCTATATGACTCATTCAAACCCCACTCAGAGACCATATCTTCTGTGTTGACCTTCAAAAGAAGAGTTTATTGAAATTATGGGGGAGAATAATTAAACCTCTTATCTACTGCCTCGTACTTCCCACTGTGAGTGTGTTCTTTCACTTATTTCATATTGTAAGCTCTTTGGTGTTGAGGCTGTCTTGCATCATACAACACCAAACACAATGTCAGACCCAAACAACATAAATAATAATTTGTATATTTACAAAGCACTGCACAGGGTTTAGGACATCTCACTTAATTTAACCTAATGGAAATTGTGTAGTTAAGGCTCCAAGCTACCCAAAGAAAGTTTACTCATGAATTTACCTTCATCAGCACAAATACTTTGACACCATAACTTTTTACTTCCTTTATAGTTTACATAGATATTAAGTGTTGCCACTTCCTTTCAATTGTGAACTTAGTCCCACTGTCAGTTTTCAAAGACAGAGAGAATATTTTTCTCCCCCAATATGGAAAAATATAAAAACATATGAAATGATCAGTCTTATTTTTAATTAACCATGACAGTCTGAGTAGGTATTTGCAGGATTTCAATTACAATAATAAGCAAATGTAGTGCTGTCAAACTGTCCCATGTCGACAGGTTAGGATACCTGATGGTTTATTGCTAAGATTTTCATAAAAGGTACATTTATAACTATACAAAACCATTGTATACCCAGGTCAAAAAGTTAGCAACCAGTCCTCACAATTCTGTTGTGCAGTAGCTCTTCTTTTAACGGATAGTGTGTCTGCAGTACTAGAAAGAGCACTAAGAGTAACAGAAGTGGTAGTATCTATCAGATAACTCAGGCTCACTGAGCTCAGGTTAAGGGGCTGTTTAATTGCGGTGTAGACGTTTGGGTTCAGGCTGCAGTCTGAGCTCTGGGATTCTTTCACCTCGCAGGGTCCTATAACCAGGCTCCAGCCCAAACCCAAACATGTACACTGCAATTAAACAGTTCCTTAGCTCAAGCCCCAAGAGCCTGAGTCAGCTGACACAGGTTTTTACTATGCTGACAGCTTGTGCCACATGCTTGCAAAGAAACTGCGGAACCACCTAATCAACATCCTCTACAGAAAACAGGGAAAGATTAAGAATGAGCTCTCAAAACTGGATACTCTCATAAAAAACCAACCTTCCACACAAACTTCCTCATGGCTGGACTTTATAAAAACTAGCAAGCCATTTACAACATACACTTTGCTTCTCTACAAAAGAAAAAGGACACTAAACTATCTAAACTACTACATGCCACAAGGGGCCACAACAGTGGTTCCCTTAACCCACCCAGCAATATTGTTAATCTATCCAACTATACTCTTAGCCCAGCAGAAGAATCTGTCCTATCTCGGGGCCTCTCCTTCTGTCCCTCCACCCCCACGAACATGATACAGTTCTGTGGTGATCTAGAATCCTATTTGAGTCTGTGACTCAAGGAATATTTCCAACACACATCTGAACAACATATTAACCCACAGAGACCTTCCTACCAAGACTACAAAAAGAAGGATTCTGGGTGGACTCCTCCTGAAGGTCGAAACAACAAACTGGACTTCTACATAGAGTGCTTCCGCCGACGTGCACGGGCTGAAATTGTGGAAAAGCAGCATCACTTGCCCCATAACCTCAGCCGTGCAGAACACAATGCCATCCACAGCCTCAGAAAAAACTTTGACACCATAATCAAAAAGGCTGACAAAGGAGGTGCTGTCGTCATCATGAATAGGTCGGAATATGAACAAGAGGTTGCTAGGCAGCTCTCCAACACCACTTTCTGCAAGCCATTACCCTCTGATCCCACTGAGGGTTACCAAAAGAAACTACAGCATTTGCTCAAGAAACTCCCTGAAAAAGCACAAGAACAAATCCGCACAGACACACCCCTGGAACCCTGACCTGGGGTATTCTATCTGCTACCCAAGATCCATAAACCTGGAAATCCTGGATGCACCATCATCTCAGGCATTGGCACCCTGACAGCCGGATTGTCTCACTATGTAGACTCCCTCCTCAGGCCCTACGCTACCAGCACTCCCAGCTATCTTCGAGACACCACTGACTTCCTGAGGAAACTACAGTCCATCGGTGATCTTCCTGAAAACACCATCCTGGCCACTACGGATGTAGAAGACCTCTACACCAACATTCCACACAAAGATGGACTACAAGCTGTCAGGAACAGTATCCCCAATAATGTCACGGCAAACCTGATGGCTGAACTTTGTGACTTTGTCCTCACCCATAACTATTCCACATTTGGGGACAATGTATACCGCATGGCCCCACAGTATGCCAACATTTTTATGGCTGACTTAGAACAACGCTTCCTCAGCTCTTGTCCCCTAATGCCCCTACTCTACTTGCACTACATTGATGACATCTTCATCATCTGGACCCATGGAAAAGAAGCCCTTGAGGAATTCCACCATGATTTCAACAATTTCCATCCCACCATCAATCTCAGCCTGGACTAGTCCACACAAGAGATCCACTTCCTGGACACTACAGTGCTAATAAGCAATGGTCACATAAACACCATCCTATACCGGAAACCTACTGACCGCTATTCCTACCTACATGCCTTTCATCCAGACCACACCACACGATCCATTGTCTACAGCCAAGCTCCACGATACAACTGCATTTGCTCCAACCCCTCAGACAGAGACAAACACCTACGAGATCTCTATCAAGCATTCTTACAACTACAATATCCACCTGCTGAAGTGAAGAAACAGGTTGACAGAGCCAGAAGAGTACCCAGAAGTCACCTACTACAGGACAGGCCCAACAAAGAAAATAACACAACGCCCCTAGCCATCACCTTCAGCCCCCAACTAAAACCCCTCCAAAGCATCATCCAGGATCTACAACCTATCCTGAAGGACGACCCATCACTCTCACAGATCTTGGGAGACAGGCCAGTCCTTGCTTACAGACAGCCCCCCAACCTGAAGAAAATACTCACCAGCAACCACACACCAGAGCCACTAATCCAGGAACCTATCCTTGCAACAAAGCCCATTGCCAACTGTGTCCACATATCTATTCAGGCAACACCATCATAGGGCCTAATTACATCAACCACACTATCAGAGGCTCATTCACTTGCACATCTACCAATGTGATATATGCCATCATGTGCCAGCAATGCCCTTCTGCCATGTACATTGGTCAAACCAGACAGTTTCTACGTAAAAGAATAAATGGACACAAATCAGATGTCAAGAATCATAACATTCAAAAACCAGTCGGAGAACACTTCAATCTCTCTGGTCACTCGATTACAGACCTAAAAGTGGCAATTCTTCAACAAAAAGACTTCAAAAACAGACTCCAACGAGAGACTGCTGAATTGGAATTAATTTGCAAACTGGATACAATTAACTTAGGCCTGAATAGAGACTGGGAGTGGATGTGTCATTACACAAAGTAAAACTATTTCCCCATGTTTATCCCCCCCCACCGTTCCTCAGACGTTCTTGTCAACTGCTGGAAATGGCCCACCTTGATTATCACTACAAAAGCTCCTCCCACTCTCCTGCTGGTAATAGCTCACCTTAAGTGATCACTCTGGTTACAGTGTGTATGGGAACACCCATTGTTTCATGTTCTCTATGAATATAAATCTCCCCACTGTATTTTCCACTGAATGCATCCGATGAAGTGAGCTGTAGCTCACGAAAGTTTATGCTCAAATAAATTTGTTAGTCTCTAAGGTGCCACAAGTACTCCTTTTCTTTTTGCGAATACAGACTAACACAGCTGCTACTCTGATTCCAAACAGTTTCCTTCAAAAGCAAGAAGGAAAAATTACTTACAGGTTGTTGTGATTCTCTGAAAATTCTTGCAGAATTCTCATTATTAGGTTTCTGGTCTAGTGGAAAATTCCCCAAGCTCCAAAACTTCTGGCCCTCTCAGACACCAATAGGTCTACGCAATGGCACTGCCCAATCAGAGCTCCCCTTAGGTGCCCCTGGAACATTCTGACTGCATTTAGCAAAGGAGCTCCCCTACAGGAGATGTCTAAGAGTTTTAACCATCACTGCTCCAGCTTACTTCTGTAACCCACATTGGGTGCGAGTTTTCCTTACTTTCACTCACTGCCCCTTAGTTTCTTTGTTCTTTAGGAGCTCAATATTGAGTTGTTTCCATTTCTCTTTTCAGGATTTCTGAAGATGAAGATGTCTAATTACTCCATCAACAAATACGATCTGTGCTCCTAGTAGCAAATCTAAGGGGAGACCAAGACCTGACAAGTCTTGATATGTGCACCATCATTTTACTGGCCTGATTTGAGGTCCTGGCAGAAAGGCCAACAGGGAGAACATGTGTCCCATAAGATACAGTAAGGTGCAGCCAAGATGTCTCAGACTGGGGAAGAGGCCAGAACTGAGAAAGATGCACAGCTCCTAAACTGGATCTACAAAAGTAAGAGCTGTAGCTCTGCGGGTTAAAGTAGATAAAACATTTGTTGTAGAAAGCAAGCTTCTTCACTGACCAGTCATAAAGAAGCTGGCTGGAATGTTCTGAGGGTGCAGCACACCCAGTAGGGCAGAACCCTCAAGCTAAGCTACAGAAGACCCAGAGAATACAAAACAAAAACAAACAAAAACTTAAAAGCAAGGTAGTTTCCAGCCTGGAGACTGGAAATCCAGGAGTGAGACTCCTACATAGACAGTATCTTTAGAAAAAGAAAAAACTTCTCTTCTTTAATTTGTGACATTATTTAATTTTAAATATTTTAATAATTTCTGATTTATCTTAATTCTGCCAGTGTTTTGAGATGTTGGGTGCTTAAAAAACAAAGTTTTTTTCTTACCAGTTCTTCACACTGAGTAGCTTTCAGTCTCTTTGCTATGTCCAGAGCTGTCTCTCCAGCTTGGTTTACTATAAAATAAGTTAAAAAGCTGAATAATTTTATGTATACATTATGTTGTAAAATCTCTCTGGAACCATACATTAACTTGCAATTCTTCGAAAGAAAATATTTGAATAAAAATATTTAAAGCCTATTTCCTAGCTGAATTCCTCTTTGTCTTCTTGGTAGGGCATTTGGGTCATAGATACGTGCTTAACACAATTTTCATTTTTGCTTGGTAAATCAGTTTTTACACACTGGTATACAAATAAAACTGCATAAACTCATATTTTAGGAAGAAAAATTTCAAGTATCACATATTAGCGAAGAAAAATTTCAAGTATCACATATTAGCGAGCTTACCTATATCAATAGTCGGTTTGCCTCTCAAAAGCAATTTCAAACATTCAGGTTTATTATATATACTGCAGTAGTGTAGAACTGTATTCCCCAAAGCAGTTTGTTTATCCAGGTTTCCACTAAACAAAGTAAAGAAAAAAAGAGAAAAAAATCATATGCATGTTCAGTCCCAAATTTGTCATCTGTATATTGTATCTTATTATGGACACCATACATGACAACATACATAACTTCTGCAAAGAAAACGTGTATTTTAACAAGTAACTACCCTTTTCTGTCTAACAGTAACTCTTGTTCTGTGGCTGCACTGCTTTCAGTGAAATACAGTGTAGGAGTTGTGTGCCTAGGCACATGGCTCTGGAACCTTTTTTGAACAGTGGCTGAAAGTTATAGAGTATAAATATTTTCTCTGCGCCTACATTCCAAAGCCCAAGGGTATGTGCCCTGCTCCTTATACAGGTACCTTAAGTTCCTCTTTATTCGCCATCAAGAGTGGTCAACAAACCCAACTCCTGTTTCTCAGGCATGTTAAACTATCAAATCTAACTTTGTATCTTAACAAATACTTTCTATTTGGGGCTCTACAAAATCACGGCTGTGAAAAACACATCATGGACCGTGAAAACTGATCTCTCTCATGAAATCTGGCACCCAGCCGAGGGCTCCTACCCTACGGAGGGCTCCAGCTGTTAGTCCTAGCGGGCATGGAGAGGGATGAGACTTCCTCTTCCCCTGCAGGGGCTGCTCCCGCAGTGGATCAGACCCACCTCCAGGAACCTTCCCCAACTGCAGGAAGCACCGCAGTTCCAGCTGTCATCTCCCCTCGGTGTAGGGAGAGGCTACGGCTCCTTGAGCTGTCACCTGCCCCCAATGGAGTAGGAGACTGCTGGGAAAACTGGACATATGGTAACCCACCCCCCCTACCCTGCAACCCTCACTTCTGCGCTGATGCTGGTGCTGGCTTTAGAGCTGGCACCCGACCAGCAGCCTTCCTCTCTGGCTGCCCAGATCTGAAAGGTGGATAGAAAGCTGGCTAGACTGTTGGACTCAATAGGTAGTGATCAATGGCTCCATGTCTAGTTGGCAGCCGGTATCAAGTGGAGTGCCCCAAAGGTTGGTCCTTGGGCCGGTTTTGTTCAATATCTTCACTAATGATTTGGAGGATGGTGTGGATTGCACCCTGTTTGCAGATGACACTAAACTGGGAGGAGAGGTAAATATGATGGAGGGTAGGGATAATATACAGAGGTCCCTAGACAAATTAGAGGATTGGGCAAAAAGAAATCTGATGAGGTTCAACAAGGACAAGTGCAGAGTCCTGCACTTAGGACGGAAGAATCCCATGCACAGCTACAGACTAGGGACCGAATGGCTAGGCAGCAGTTCTGCAGAAAAGGATCTAGGGGTTTCACTGGACGAGAAGCTGGATATATGAGTCAACAGTGTGCCATTGTTGCCAAGAAGGCCAATGGCATTTTGGGATGTATAAGTAGGGGCATTGCCAGCAGATCGAGGGACGTGATCATTCCCCTCTATTCGACATTGGTGAGGCCTCATCTGGAGTACTGTGTCCAGTTTTGGGCCCCACACTACAAGAAGGATGTGAAAAAATTGGAAAACGTCCAGTGGAGGGCAACAGAAATGATTAGGGGACTGGAACACATGACTTATGAGGAGAGGCTGAGGGAACTGGGATTGTTTAGTCTTCAGAAGAGAAGATTTGATTGCTGGGGGGATTTGATAGCTGCTTTCAACTACCTGAAAGGGGGTTCCAAAGAGGATGGATCTAGACAGTTCTCAGTGGTAGCAGGTGACAGAACAAGGAGTAATGGTCTCAAGTTGCAGTGGGGGAGATTTAGGTTGGATATTAGGAAAAACTTTTTCGCTAGGAGGGTGGTGAAGCACTGGAATGCGTTACCCAGGGAGGTGGTGTAATCTCCTTCCTTAGAAGTTATTAAGGTCAGGCTTGACAAAGCCCTGGCTGGGATGATTTAGTTGGGGATTGGTCCTGCTTTGAGCAGGGGGTTGGACTAGATGACATCCTGAGGTCCCTTCCAACCCTGATATTCTATGATTCTATGAAGGCAGCAGGGCAGAAGTAAGGGTGGTAATCCCACGACTGCCCTACAATAGCCTTGTGAGCCCCGCACCCTGAAAGCCTTTTGGATCGGGACTCCAAGGGTTACAACACCATGAAATTTCAGATGTAAACATCTGAAAAAGTGAAATTTTGACTAATTTAAAAAAACCCTGGCCATGAAATTGACCAAAATGGACTGTGAATTTGGTAGGACCCTATTCATGTTGTTAGATTTAGTTTAGGTTGGAAAGTCACAGCATTTCTTTTTTTTCTTTTTGACCACTCCATTCCATTTTTGGTAGTTTTGTGTCACCTTGCCCAAAGTGGTGATCTTGTTTTAAAACAAGGTTTGATATATGTCCCTCTTTTCCTGTGGTCTTCCCACATTTATCTGAGAGTGTTAAGCCTGATGGTGGCATACCTCTCTCGTAGTGGGACTTTGTGGAGTCAATGTCAAAAAGAGAAAATCTTCATTAATGCACCGTAAAGCCACTAAAGATTTTACACGGCAGGAGACTGATTTTTTTTTTTTTTTGGAATTTGGCTCCCTTGTGTATATGTTGCATTTTTTATTACTGTCTGCTCCATACAATGACTAGAATAGAGTCCTCATCTCAAGCTGAAAAACCTGCACATCAGCCTTTGGGCTGTAGCACCCTTTATTACTGCTGTGTCTAGTTTCATGGGGAATCTAATATGTGGGCAGACCAACCGTATCCTTGCACCTCTCCCTGACTGCATATTGGGGTGAATGGGACTTCACTAACACCCAAAAGGTGCAGACAGCCAGAGCAGCTTGGCCCACCATATCATCAGAACATGAAGCAGCAGAGAGGCTTCCAACTTCCTTATTGGAAGGGGTAAGAAAACCAATCCCCATCCTCATGAGTCTTAGAGGTAGCAGGAAGATTAAGCAGGAGTCACCAATGACCAGACCTCTTTCAGAGGCTGTCCTCTTCTTTTGCTGGAAGCCCTTGCCTGACAACAGGGACTTGGAATGAAAGTGTCCAATGAGACTGTGTCACTAGCATGACAGGATAATACTCTTCACCATTTCTGGAAGTTTGAGTTTTTGTGTGTATATTTATGAAAATCAAAGAACAGTCTCAGGGCAGATCTACACTACTGCTTAAGTCGATCTAACTTATGTCGCTCCCACCCCACTCCCCACCCCGAGCGACACAAGTTTCGCGCTGTGCACACCGGCACTGTACTGGCGGGAGACACCCTCCCGCCAGCATAGCTTCTGCTTCTCACTGAGGTGGAGTAATTATGCCGATGGGAGAGCAGTCTTCCGTCAGCATAGCACATCTTCACCAGACGCACTACGGCAGCGCAGCTGCACTGATGTAGCTACGCCAATGTACAGCTATAGTGTAGAGTTGCCCTCAGAAAATTATAAATGATTAGAAGAAAAATATACAAGGTGGCTGGCCAGTGTTGTTCATGCCAAAGAACCAGTGGCTGGCTCTTTTTGTTGGAGAAGTGCACTCCAATTTTGAGTTTAACATGACAAAGAGTGACAACTGACAAAAAAAAATCTGACTATATAGATGAGAACATTGACATAAAAGATCATCAAGTGAAGATTTCATAACTAAGCAGAATCACTTCAACTAATCACTGTGTAAAGTATCAAACCATCTGAAAAACCAATAATAATAATTTACACTTTTAAAGCATTTTCCAATTGATGGTCTCAAAGTGCTTTGCAAACATTAATAAATTAACCCTTAAAACACTTTTGCTAATGTAGGCAAGTAACATTTATTCCATTTGACAGATGAGAGAAGTGAAGGGTCAGAAACGATGAGTGACTTTCGCAGGGACATGTAACAAGTCAATGAGAGATCTAGAAATGAAACCCATTTCTGACTTCAAGTCCCATGCTTTAACCACAAGACTAAGTTTCCTCTCTTATACAGACTATATAAAGTTTGAAGTAGCTACATGAGTTACTGGAAAGGAGAAGGGAAAACAAGTATAATTAAGACTGTATTCTGAAGGTTAACAGGAAATATCAGCTGTGTTAGAAAAAAACAGGCTGTGATGAGTCTACTGATCATCTTCTAGCCCTTAATTACTGCTACTGTGCTAAAACCCACAATTTGACAAGACAGCAGCAGCTCTTTGTTTTCTTCACTCAACAGGAAATCATTAAAAGTGACATCAGATCTATTTAGTCAGCTCACTGCACAACTGTAAATCTCATATCAGAAATAATCATGCTGCATTGTATATGAATTGATTTTATTTCCTTTAGAGTGTGCATTTTCACTAAAAGAAAAGGCAGACTTGTGGCACATCAGAGACCAACAAATTTATTTGAGCATAAGCTTTCGTGAGCTACAGCTCACTTCATCGGATGCATTCAATGGAAAATACAGTGGGGAGATTTATATAAACAGAGAACATGAAACAATGGCTGTTACCATACATACACACTGTAATGAGAGTGATCAGGTAAGGTGAGCTATTATCAGCAGGAGAGCGGGGGGGGAACCTTTTGTAGTGATAATCAAGGTGGGCCATTTCCAGCAGTTGACAAGAATGTCTGAGAAACGGGGTGAGGGGGGGGGGAATAAACATGGGGAAATAGTTTTACTTGTGTAATGACACATCCACTCCCAGTCTTTATTCAAGCTTAAGTTAATTGAATCCAGTTTGCAAATTAATCCCAATTCAGCAATCTCTCGTTGGAGTCTGTTTTTGAAGTTTTTTTTGTTGAAAAATTGCCACTTTTAGGTCTGTAATCGAGTGACCAAAGAGACTGAAGTGTTCTCCGACTGGTTTTTGAATGTTATACTTCTTGACGTCTGATTTGTGTCCATTTATTCTTTTACGTAGAGACTGTCCAGTTGACGGCATATATCACATTGGTAGATGTGCAGGTGATTGAGCCTCTGATAGTGCAGCTGATGTGATTAGGCCCTATGATGGTGTCTCCTGAATAGATATGTGGACACAGTTGGCAACGGGCAACGGGCTTTGTTGCAAGGATAGGTTCCTGGGTTAGTGGTTCTGTTGTGTGGTGTGGTGTGTGGTTGCTGGTGAGTATTTGCTTCAGGTTGGGGGGCTGTTTGTAAGCAAGAACTGGTCTGTCTCCCAAGATCACAAAAGCTTATGCTCAAATAAATTGATTAGTCTCTAAGGTGCCACAAGTCCTCCTTTTCTTTTTGCGGATACAGACTAACACAGCTGCAACTCTGAAACCTGTCATTTTCACTAAGTTTTCCTTGCCCCTGTCATCACATCCTCTCTACACCATAAAATATCTCAACAGCCCATTGATAGTTTGAGAACTTGCTACTTAACACTGCTACACCATCTACAGTAGGACCTGAGAGTTACGAACACCAGAGTTACAAACCAATCGGTCATCCACACACTTCATTTGGAACTGGAAGTACATAATCAAGCATCAGAGACAAAAAAACCTGTTTCTGTGTTTGTTTCTTTTAAATTAATGTGGTTAAAAGCAGTATTTTTCTTCTGCATAGTAAGGTTTCAAAGCCGTATTAAGTAAATTTCAGTTATAAACTTTTGAAAGATCATAACATTTTGTTCAGCATTACGAACGTTTCAGAGTTACGAACAATCTCCATTCCTGTAGTGTTCGTAACTTTGAGGTTCTACTGTATTGCATTTTCCATAGTTTTAAACCTACTGTTTATTAAAATGTCCATCTTTTCCTAGGTTACTTTTATTCATTTACTTCTTATTTTCTGAGAGAAAAAATGACTATACCTTTGTTTTCACTGTCTTGCTTTCCTTGAATTATTCTATTCCTAATTTTGGAAGCTTTCTTGCCATCTCTTTTCCATATTCTCTATTTGCATTGATTTTCCTTTGTCATAACATTTCCCTCAATGTTTTCTCTTTTTTTCCCTACTCTATCATATAGTGTCTCTTTCCCTACATAGTTCATGTACCTAATGTTCATGTTTTTATTCTTTTTCCCTTTTTTATTGCTTTACAACACAAAGGTCAACTCAAGTTAGGAATTCTATTCAGATGCAACATCAAAATACTAAGTAGTATGATCATTAATAAAAACAAACATCATACAAAGCAATGTAAATTATGAGAATGATTTTGAATTGGTAAATTTGTCATTAAAGTTACTCTGGTTAACAAGTGAGCAATCCATACCAGTTTTGTACAAGAAAGTCAACCAGATGAAGGGAGGTTTGGTCAGCAGTCCGGACTGCTAAATGAAGTGCTGTTTCACCTGGCTCCTAAACACATGAAAAAAATGTACAAGATTAAACACTTTTGGACTCTCTTCTATGCAAAGATTATCACGGTTAATCTCCTACTAAAATATACTTTTATCACTTATCTTTGTATTAAATATTTAAATAGAGAAACTATTATGAAAGCTATGATGCAAACAGCTTTTGTTTCTCACTCCTTATGGGTGCTACTTTTCCCTCCTTTTGCTCCCATCACCCTCTCCAACCAGCTTTCCTTTTGTATTAAGTTTGGTCTAACCATTGTGCACAATCCTGAAAACACCAGTAACCATTACTCCTAGTAACAACTGCAATTAGTCCCTTCTAGCAGGAGTATGTTCTCCTCCCCCATAAGAACTTGTAATACTGGGTCCTTAGACCGTAAGCATCTTCTGGGTAGGGAACCATATATATGTCTGTAAAACTTGCACAACAATTGTGATGCTGGTGAAAGGATTATGATTGATAATGGTGAGATATACAAAGAAAATAACAGAAGCCAAAATTTTTAAATACAAGTGCATAAATTTAGACATCTGAATCAAAGCATTCTGATTTTCAAAGGAACTGAGCACTCAACTCTCATTGAATTCGATAGGAGCTGCGAGTGTTCAGGACTTCTGAAAAAAATCAGTCATTTTCCTATTGAAGAAAACAATGTTAACAGAAATGTTGCATCATGATCAGCACTTAAGGAAAGAGAATGACTGTTTCATAGTATACAACACACACAGAGACTGGCATGTATTATTGCTTTAAAAGGAATACACCTTGGAAGAATTTTGTGTCATTTTAATAGGGTGTAGTGTAGCTGCGCCTGTAATGTAGACCAGGTCATCAACTCGCTAGTCTTTTATAATGTATTTATCAGACTGCTCTCTGAACACAACAACAGACACCCCGAACATTTAAACTATAGTAAAGAAAGAAAGAGAAAATATGCCATCATTATTTATTATTTCTTTTCTGGTAGTGTCCAGAAGCAGCAGTCAGGATCAAGACCTCTTTCTACTGGGCACGTTATAAACATATAAAGATAATCCCTGCTCCAAAGAATTTACAGTCTAGATAGGGACAAAATGCAACTATTGGGAGTTGACAACTTCAGTAATAGGAACACAAAGTTGCACATACTAGCTATATGCATAAGTTACAGACTTTAAGGTTTTTTTTTAAAAACCACATAATATAAAAATGTTGATGGGCCTGTACCAGGCTATCTGCTGAGCCATTATCATTAAGTATCTTATTGTGAGCATCACAGAAGAGATGATTTTTGAGAAGTGATCTGAAGGAGAACAGATTAATGACTATGTGAAAAGATTCAGAGAGGGTATTCAGAGCACATGGAGCAGCAAAGAAAGTGCTTAACATGAATGTTGGAGGCTGCCCCTGTTGTCAGAGTAGAGGCATCTGTTCACAACATGACACAGTCAGATAAAAAAAAAGTAGGTAAGTAAGAAGAAACTGAATTGTGAACAGCCTTGAAGGTAAAGACCAAAAGTTTGTGTCTGATGTGGAGAAAGGTGACCTGTTGGCGGGACTCCTTTTTCTGCGGAAAAGGACCTAGGGGTGATAGAGGATGAGAAGCTGGATATGAGTCAGCAGTGTGCCCTTGTTGCCAAGAAGGCCAAAGGCATTTTGGGATGTATAAGTAGGGGCATAGCGAGCAGATCGAGGGACGTGATCGTCCCCCTCTATTTGACATTGGTGAGGCCTCATCTGGAGTACTGTGTCCAGTTTTGGGCCCCACATCAAAAGAAGGATGTGGATAAACAGGAGAGAGTCCAGCAAAGGGCAACAAAAATTATTAGGGGTCTGGAACACATGACTTATGAGGAGAGGCTGAGGGAACTGGGATTGTTTAGTCTTCAGAAGAGAAGAATGAGGGGGGATTTGATAGCTGCTTTCAACTACCTGAGAGGTGGTTCCAGAGAGGATGGTTCTAGACTATTCTCAGTGGTAGAAGAGGACAGGACAAGGAGTAATGGTCTCAAGTTGCAGTGGGGGAGGTTTAGATTGGATATTAAGAAAAACTTTTTCACTAGGAGGGTGGTGAAACACTGGAATGCGTTACCTAGGGAGGTGGTAGAATCTCCTTCCTTAGAAGTTTTTAAGGTCAGGCTTGTCAAAGCCCTGGCTGGGATGATTTAATTGGAAATTGGTCCCGCTTTGAGCAGGGGATTGGACTAGATGACCTCCTGAGGTCCCTTCCAACCCTGATATTCTATGATTCTATGACTCAAAAAGAGGACACACATCAAAAACGACTGATTAGGGAGAAATGTGGATGTCCCTGAATACAACACTCGGATCTGGTCACCACATTATTTACCTTTCAGACTTTTAAAATGTACTAGACTATTCTTTGAGCACATATACAAACATTCATAACAAATCTTTTAAACTGTACAGGAAAAGGCAAGAGAAAATACACTGGCAGGAGGATAAGCCAGATCAGCTAAGATTTTTTTCATCTATGATTCTAATAAACATCATTCTCCCATGTACTTATAAGTTATATCACTATTTTAATTGATGGCTTCCAAAAATAATGTTCTTAACTTCCTCAATATTGTTTATCTGATAAGCTTACCTGTCCAGGCTCTAACAGTGGCTCCATTAGCTCTACCCCCTCTGCATAGACTTGAATTAGTGCAAGTAGATCCCTGGATTTGACAGCCTCGAGTAGTTCATTCAGTTTAGCTGCTGCAGATACACAAGTCTTTCTAGAAAACTTATGATCTACATACTTAGCAGTGATATATTCTTTACGTGCAGTCCTGGGAGGAAAAAAAACAGAACTTGGTCTAGAATTCTGAGCAAAACGGATCTCAAATGGACTGATAATTTAGGCTTAAAATCAGAACTCAGCTTGCTTAAACTGAAAAGTGAGGACTGATTGTATAGAAAAAGATCTGATAACCCCATTTAATATATAATAATTTAATCACTATGCACGTGACACACTATTTGCAAAAAAGAGGTCCAAAATGAAGTAAACAAGCATCTTACAGTATCCTGCCTTTTCAATAATACATGAGGTACAGCCTTTGATTCTGGGAAATCAGTTTAATTCAAAACTGAAGATGCAGAAGACAATTTTCGTAATAGGAAAATACATGTAAAATACATCAACTTGTTCAATTGTGTCAATTTCAAGAAAAATTATGAAGAACAATTGAACAAATTGGTGCATCTTTCATGTATTTTCATATTATGAAAATTCCCTTCTGCATCTTCAGTTCTGAACTGAGTTCCCAAAATCAAAGTGTGTGTGTGTGTGTGTGTGCGCGCGCGCGTGCGCGCCAGGAAATAGAATGATAGTCTAGCAGATTTTTGCCATTACTATTTCTGTGATTCTGTTTGTTTAAAACAAGGGTTTTCTCCTTTCTGACCATCAGCTACTTGCCTTATAGTAACTGAACTGATGATATAAAACTGAGTTTACAACAATTATTTCCAAGGCAATTGACTTGTATTATAAACAGAGGATTATGACTTCCTGCTGCATAATCAAGGAGAAGAAGGGTTGAAAAGAAAGCTTTTTTTTCAAGCTAAACATCTTCCATAATAGTAAAGGGAAAAACAAAATTACTGTCCAATTACTGCTGTTTGTAGAAATGCCCTTTTTTCCAAGATTTCTCTCGTATGACAATCCCACTTTAAGGTTAAAATCCAGTTCCCAGCAGGGCTCTTGGTGGAGTGGAAAGGAATTCCCTCCTTAGGCCACAAGAGTGGGCTGCGCTCTGTGAAGACCACTTTAGTTTAGTGGCTGAGATAGGTTCTATGGGACCTTACTTCCCCTGACTGCAATGATCCTCTGGTCTTGCCCACTTACAGAATAACTAAGCCACCACTCCCATACTCCTCAGGAGCTGAACTTCTCTGCATGACCTCCAGAGGACAATGGGGCTGGATTTATCCATAAATTAATACGAAAAGATTCATTGTTAGTGACTCCATTAGAGTTTATCACATGATCATGAATTACAAAACCAAACAAATACTGTAGCATATTCTAAGGAGACACAACCCATCACGTATGAACACTGTAACTGCCTGTGAAGTAAATTCAAGAGCAAATTTGAAGAGAAATAATGACCAGAGAAGGGATTTGGAATTCCGTAATGAGAAATTTAGCAGTCAAGATTGGCAGGTGGAATGAAACAAAAATTTTTGCCATCCTCAGACAGCTTTTTCTTTTTTAACTTCTCCCTTGACTTGATTATACTTAATATATCTCATTATGGAAAACCTATCTACACATATATACTCCATTCCAACTGTACACTGGGGAAGTGTTCATGTACTTACATATCACTTGATGGAGTGGGTTTGGGTGAAGGACTAGGTAAATTCCCTTCCATTATATCATTAAAACAATTATTTCCTACATTCTTGGCCAGCTGTAGAAAAAACAAAAGCACATGTTTTCATAATTTGCTATTGGTCTCAAATTTTCAAATAAGACTTTTTTAAAAAAAAATACAGTGCCTTTTTCTTATTAGCAGCAGAGGACAGTACAAATAACAAAATGAATGCATAGCATTAAAGTTCAATGTAGGCTATGTCTACATTTGGAACTGGGTGTGCAATTCCCATCTCAAGCAGATGTACTCATGTTAGTTCTGATCGAGCTAGCATGCTAAAAATATTTTAATTGTGGTAGCAGTTGCACCGGATAGCCATGCCGAGTACAAACCTGCCTGGACCATGTGGGTACTTGGGCTAGCCCATTCTGCCACGTGCCATGCTACTATGACTACACTCCTATTTTTAGCACACTAGTTCAATCAGAGCTAGTGCGATTATGTCTGCTCAAGATGGGAATTGCACCCCCAGCTCCAAGCACAGACATAACCTTAATGGATTGAAAGATATTCTTGTTACTCACCTTATAGTAACTGGAGTTCTTCAAGTGGGGACCCTATGTGTATTCCATGCTAGGTGCACATGTGTTGCATGTGCCTGAAACAGGAAGATTTTTCATTAGCAGTGTTTGTTGGTTCACATCTGCACCCTCTGCCTCCTCATGCTCTGAAACAAGAGCATATGAGGTGGTGTGGACTGAACGTCTCTTCAATTCCTTTTGTACTGTGAATCACCTTAGGAAAGAATCCAAAGGAGAGGCAGGATAGTCGAATACGTATAGAGCCCACGCATCTTGAAGAACTCCAGTTACTATAAGGCAAGTAACCAGAATTTCTTCTTCAAGCGATAGTCACTATGTGTATTCCACTTTACGCGGCTCATAAGCAGTTCTTACTGAGGAGGAGGAGGAACTCTGCTGTATCACAGATTTCAGGATCGCTGTGCTGAAGGATGCATCTGCTGAAGACGCTTGTGCCAGGATGTAATGCCTAGTAAATGTATGCATAGAGTCTCATGTTGCTGCTCTACAGATTTCCAGGAGGAGATCCTGAAAAGATGCCTCTGAGGATACCTGGGCTCTGGATGATTGGACTCTGACACTCTGTGGGGGAGCTATTGCTGCCAACTCATAGTATAGCTGGATGCAACCTGAAGCCATTTAGGAAGTCTCAGTGAGGAGGTAACTTCCCCTTTCATATGGTCAGCACAGGAGATGAATAATCTAGGAGATTTCCTGAAGGGTTTTGTCCTCTGCAGGTAAAACACTAAGGCTCGACAAATATCCAGCGAATGGAACTTCCTACCTTCTCTGGAAGGTGTATGACCTGATTTAAGTGGAATTTGGAGGGAATCTTTGGAATGAATGTAGCGTATTACCTCAAAGAGACCTTATCCTTATGGAACGCCCCGTAGGGAAGGTACACTCCATAAGAGCCCCAACCTCACCAAACTCTTCTGGCAGACATAACTGCAGTCAGAAAGGCCACCTTTATAGACAGATGAAGAAAGAAGCAGGAGGCTAAAGGTTCAAATGGAGGATTCATGAATGTTGCAAATATGAACAGGACTGAGGTCCCAAGCTGAAGTAGGTTTTAGCACCAGAGCAAAGGTTAAGGACTTTTGAAAAAACTCATTGTCATAGGGTGGGTGAAGACCAAAAAGTTCTCCACCAGAGGAAAGAAGAAGGAGTTAATGGTCACTAAATGCATTTGCAGCAAGCTGAGGGACAGACCTGATGTTTTTAAAGAAAGAAGGTAGTTCAGAATGGGTAGTATCCCTGAGCCCTGTGGAGGTACAGTAACTCCTCACTTAAAGTCATCCTGATTAACGTTGTTTCATTTTTACATTGCTGATCTATTAGAGAACATGCTTGTTTAAAGTTGTGCAATGCTCCCTTATAACATTGTTTGGCAGCCACCTGCTTTGTCCACTGCTTGCAGAGCTAGATGGTGGGGGCTTGGAACCAGGGTGGACCAGCAGCCCCCCATCAGCTCCCTGCTCCCTTAAGTTCCCTGTGCAGCAGCTGCCCACCAGGCTATCAATTGACGGGCAGTTCAGCTGTCCCTCCCCGCACTGCCATGTGCTGCTCCTGCCCTCTGACTTGGAGCTGCTCCCAGGAGCCTCCTGCTTGCTGTGCAAGGTGGGGTGGAGGTGGGGAAAAGGGGTGTTAATGTCAGGGTGTTGCCCTCCACAACTCCTGTACCCCAGCTCCACAGAGCCGGAGGGGGGACACACACGACAGCGCTCGGGACAGAGGAAACTTGCTGATCTACTTAAATTGATCTACTTGATTTAGTTGGGGATTGGTCCTGCTTTGAGCAGGAGATTGGACTAGATGACCTCCTGAGGTCCCTCCCAACCCTGGTATTCTATGATTCTATGAAAAAGGTAATGTACTTAGAGTGGGGCCAGCGTACTTCTCTGTCTCACACAGGGTGTGTGTCTGTCTCTCTCTGCCATGCAGTCTCCCATTCCTGCTGCCTTGTAGAGTGTGAGGCTACATTAACAACAATGTGTTAACCCTCAAGGGCTCAGCCGAGTGCTAGTTCATCATTTAGCAGCAAGGCATTCCCTGGGAAATATCCTACCCTCTTCCACCCTCTGACTTCACCACCTTAACCAAACTTCACAATCATCATTGCTGTATACAGTATTAAACTGTTTATTTAAAATGTATACTATGTATATGTGTGTGTGTATATATATATACACACACACACACACACACACACTTGCTCTCTCTCTCTCTCTCTCTCTATACACACACACACACACACACACACACAATAAAATATAGACTTTTGTCTGGCAAAAAAAATTTCCCTGGAACCTAACCCCCCTCTGTACATTAATTCTTATGGGGAAATTAGATTAGCTTTACTTGATTTCGCTTACAGTAGCATTTTTCAGGAACATAACAACAACATTAATTGAGGAGTTACTATATCTGATGGCGTTGGATGGAAAATCTCTTATTTTGCAGCATAACATTTTCTTATACAGACTTTCCTGCTATTATTAAGGACGGATTTTACTGCCTTAGAACACGATCTCTCTAAATTCATCATCCATCCAAATACCAAGCTATTAAATAGAGGGATGCTGGATTAGGATGGGCGGTCTTCCCTTTGTCTTCAGTCAGCAGATTAGGAAACAGCTGGTTTTGTATGCATGGACTTGAAGCTGTCCAAAGGATGATAGCAAATCAAAGCTACCTCAGCCACCAGGGTGCTACTAGGATGATTGATGCTGTGTCTTGCTTGATTTTCCTCAGGATTTGAGATAAGAGGGGAATGAGTGGGAGAGCTCTGATCAGTGTACTAGGAATGCAAGTCCTCCGGAATTGTGTCCCTGAGCTGCACCAGAACAGTAGTCCGGGCATTTCTTGTTTTCTTCCGACACAAAGGCATCCACAAAGGGAATTCCCACTGTCAGATGTGCTGTACCACTGAGTTGTGAAGCATTCAATCGTGGTCTCTGTGGATGTTCCTGCTGAGGCTGTTCCCTAGGATGTTCAGTACTCCCATGAGGTGCACTGCTGAGAGACAGATCTGGTGCCAGATGCATCAATTTCACAGCTTGATCACCTCTGAGGCATACACTCTCGAGTTTATATAGTATACTATAATCATATTGTCTCACATGACCTGAACATACAGGGCATGGATGAATGGCAGGAATCTTTTGCAGGCTTTGTGTACTGCTCGCAGTTTTTTGTGAATCTTGGATTCTTGCTGGGTCCATTTTTGAGCCATTTTTGCCCAGATGCACACGCAAACTCTATAGGGAGGCATCCATAATTAGCTTCTTTGTGTCTAGATGGGAAACAAAGGGAACCCCTACTCACAGCTTCTCTGTCTTCCCATCAGATGAATCATGTCAGAATACGATGGGGAAGTGAGACTTGCTTGACCAGGCTATCCCTGCTCAGAGCATAACCACACCTGAAAACACTGGAAATGGAGCCTTGCAAAGGGAGTCAACGTACAGGGCCATCTGGCCTAGGAGGATCAGGCAGGATTGCACTGTCATCTGAGGGCTCAGTCGAAGACAGATGAAGTCCCTCAGAGCTTGAAATCTGTCCTGGGGTAAGTATGCTTTGGCTGTAATTGACTCCATAGCTGCTCCAATAAAGTCTATCATTTGCATGGGAACTAACGTGGATTTTTCTAGGCTCCCTAAGGATTGACGGACACTGACAAGGGATAGGACATTGACTGCACTTCTCTGTATGACCAACCCCTGAGCAGCCAGTTGTTGAGGTAGGGAAATACTGGAGTGACCTGGTTATGTAGGTATACTGCCACAATAGATAGTACTTTTGTGAAAACTCTCAGGATGGTTGAGAGACATAAGGAAGTACTCCGTATGGATAAAGGTTTAGGCCCACCATAAAGTGCAGGAACCTCCTGTGTGCTGGACATATGTGTACGTGGAAATAGGTGTCCTTTAAATTGAGAACTGCAAACCAGTCATCTTTCTTCAAAGAGGAGATTAGAGAGGCAAGATGACCATTCTGAATCCTTAACAGTGGATGAAGACATTCAGTTGTCTGAGATCTAGAAAGGGTATTTCTGGGAATGAGAAAACATCGTGAACAAAATCACCTTACCTTGTACTGAGGAGAGTCAAGCTATATAGCTCCAGCTGGAGCATGGATCTACCTCCTGTCTGAATATCCTCCCATGAGAGGGGGTCCCTGAAAAGAGATAGGGAGGGATGTTTTCTGGTAAGGATGAACAGAAGTTTTATAAGATATCTGGTGGTGACAATTTCTGGGACCTATTAATGCAACATGATATGATGCCATGCTGGGGAGAAATGGGCCAGGTGGCTACTAAATGAAGTGTGGATGCAGGAGGGCTGGTTTGTGACTCTCAAGGGTCCCATCAAAAAGATTTCTTGGCAGGAGCCTGAGGCTGGTGAGAGAATGACAGAGACGTTCTGTCTGCTGCACTGCACTCTGGTGCTTCCTGGAAGGCTCATCGGCCCTTATGTAGTAAAAGAGCTGAGAAGTGGGACACTGCTTATACAGTGGTGATGTGGAGTATTTTCTCTAAGATGCTGGGATGTATATACTCAAGGTGCAGAGGGCTGCATGACGGTCCTCACAAATATACAATGACTCATCCATTTTGTCACTGAACAAGTGGTTGCCCTCAAAGGGAAAGTCTTCCAAAGTGGCTTGAACTTCCTTTGGAAACCCAGAGGACTGGAGCCATGAAGCTTGTCTCGTGACAGTAGAAGTCTCCATGAAGTGAGAAGTGATGTCTACTGCATCTAGCGAAGCTTGAAGGAACGATCTAGCTATCACCTGACCCTCATCGATCTGGCTTGAAAATGCGATCAAGCTTCTCGGGTTGGTAGTTTGTGAACTCAAAAAAACTTCTTATAATTAATAAAATCATATTTAGACATCAAAGCTAGATAATTTGCAATGCAAAATTATAGGCTAGCCAAGGTGAAACTCTTCCATCTGAAGAGGTCTACTTGCTTGGTGTTCTTGTTGGAGGCAGCAGACTTAGGTTGGTGTAATCTGTTACATTCAGTGATGGCCTATACAACTAGAGAGTTCGGTGTGGGGTGTGAAGGTAAGTTTTTCGTCCTCTTAGAAGGAACAAAGTATTTCTTCTCCATTCTTTTCAGAGTGGGGGGCACAAGTGACTGGGTTGTGCTAGACTTTTTCTGGCCAGCTCTAATATGGCCTTGTTGATTGTAAGTGCCATCTTGCTAGGGCTGCACTCTGGAGGATATCTAACAACTTACAAGTGGTATCCTGAACTTTTTCCAGGGGAATTTGGAGTGCATCTGCAATTCTTCTCAGATCTTGGAACTGCTTATAGTCACCGCACGGTGATGGCGAGGAAGGTGCAGTAGCCTTAAGAGGAGATGAAAATAAAAATGCTGCTCGGGAGAGTAGGTCTGTTGGTTCAAGTTGCTCCTCCTCCACATAGTGTTCCTCAGTGGGCTGGGGTTCTTCCTTATGAGGTGACTTCTGTCTGATCCGCCATACTCAGGAGGTCTTAGATACGGATCTCAGTGTAAAGGACCATATGGGTAAGCAGGTGGTGTTATGGGGAAGGATACCACTGGTCCTGAGCTGGGCAGCATCCTGTGGGATTGGGTGGGTTCTCAAGAGCCTCTGGAACCTCTGTTGGGGTTATTCTTGTCTCTTGGTACTGTCGGTGGACCCACTGTCTCAGTCTCAAACTTTCCAGAAGAATATAAGTCCTCAGATTGCACTAGCGGACCACAGGTACCAGCAAATGTTCAGCAGTGTGAGCAACTCTCTGGTGATAATCGGCTCTGAGAGGATTAGTGACCCCAGATCAGAATATTCAGCCAGTTCATTGAGCACAGTACATCCAGTCCTTGAGGAAGGGGAGCTGGAGGGGCTTCTACCTACTGGCAGAGCCAATGGTGCTAATTTAGATCAGGCAGTGAGAGCTGGTACTGCTGAATCCTCCTTCTTGCTGTGGGATGATACCAGTCATGTGGGTGGCTGCCTTCTTTCCCTCACCCGTGCTGGAGTTGGTCCAGGCCCTTCAGCAGTTGATAGTTTCAGGGCACTCTTGGTTCTCAGCACTGACGAGACAGGCCTATGCTTTCTGTGAGCTCCTGACACACCTATAGCAGGGTGCAGAGTCCCACCAGACTTGGAGGCAGCAGGGAAAGAAGTCCACTTCTTGGATCATGACTTGGGAGGGGATTTCTCTAGTTTTTTGAGAGAGTGCTCCCACCTGCTCTGCCTCCTGCAGTCTGTAGCTCTTCCTTCAGATGATCTGGAGTCTGGGAGCACTGTGGCTGGATAGGCACAATACAGTGACTCTGGCCAATGCACAGAAGGATCTGATGACCCAAGGTTGAACTGGGTCATCGGGGGAGTTCCACCAGGAATCTTCTGAATTGCAGTGCTCAATATTACTGGGTTCAGAGAGGAAATAAATGACAGATGATGCACTTGGAAGGGATAAGGCAATAAAAACAAGTGTGGAAGTCACTAACCACGAAGACCCAAGGGCAGGCTACACAGAACTTGAAACTGGGGATCTCGGGCATACTAAGTACCCAAATGAGGGGTAAAACTCCTACTAACAATATATAGCTAAATACTAAAAACTAAATAACTAGAGAATGGTAAACTATTTAAAAAAACCTGGAATTTAAACAGGAACGTTAGCAAAGTTGTAGACACTTGGAGAGGTCCCATCTCAGACAAGGGGTGGTAAAAAGGAACTGGAGAGGTGGTCAGGCAGCACCACCCTTTATGCACTCAGTTCAGAGCACAAGGAGGCAGAGGGTGCAGGTATGGATCAATGAACACTGCTAATGAAAAATCTTCTGGTCTCAGGCACATGGTGTGCATGCGCACCTCGAGTTGAATACACATAGGGACCATCATTCAGAGAACTTCAGAATTACCTGCTACTTAAATCCTAATAATTTTTACATGTTCTCCCCACCCCACACACACTTTTCACAATTTCCTATGCAAAACATAAATCTTTTTCTAGGTCACACATATTTTGTTTGAAACATGTCAAACTTCACTTTTGTCTTCTCCCACATCCAGTTCACAGCATCTCTTAACATCAGTGCAGGATCTTTCCCTTCAAATTACAGTTTCATCCTATGCAATTTAATGGCAACATTCTGAACTCTCTTGTTGATTGCAATTAGCTTACTTTCTCTTATCGTGCAAGGATTTTGTCAGTGGCTTTTGATTCAGGATCAAGACTACGTACCGAAAGGTAATATTCGAAGTATACTAGTAATGACAGCAGCAGTTAATAATACATCATTAGGGAAAAACTTGATTCATTAAGAAAATAAAATTGGTAAATGGACAAAAGTATAAGTAGTACAAGATAAATCCTTCTCCACAGTACTAGCAAAATGTGAATATACATTTTTCTACAAAACATGTCCTTTAAAAAATAAGTAACAGTACATTATTCTATACCTGGAAGTATCCTTTATATGCAGAGTATCTGATTAAAGATACACAAACTACAGGGACTCACCAAGAGTTCAGACGTTCCTAATTTGTCTAGCTCCAAAGACTGGATTCGAGAAATATGAACACCCATTTCCCTATGTATTCCAGAACACTCTATACAGGTTAAAATGCCCAGGTTCGTTGACAGCCAAGTTGGATCTGTAGAAGAGTTTGAGAAATAAAATACGTAGCAAATATTAAAAAGAGTGAAAGTTATTTTCTGTAAAAAACAATATTCCTCAATGAAAATGACTTTCCTCTTAGGGGAAGCAACTTAATTATGAATATCTGTTTTTTTCAAACTTCATCACCAAACTGAACCAAAAAGTTAATAAAATGCATTTTTCCATTAATAGAATTAAGTCTGTATATTCCTAAAAATCCACCACCTATCTAGAAACATCTAGGGCAAAATTTTCAAACCCAGGTGTCTAAACACATATTTAGGCACCTAAATGTAATGCCGGCCCACCAAATTTATCCATTTTGGCCTTCATTTTTAATGCTCTAAGTGTATTTTTTCATAAAGATTAAATTAAGAAACATTTCACTATAGATGGAATGGACATCCACAGAGGTAAACTTTAAACTCTAGGGTTGGCCCAGTAATAGTACTCTGCACTGCCATGTGAGCATCCCTATGCTAAATACCCAAATAGTTCTCACATCATGTATGTTGCAAAATGAGCATGTTCAGTCCGTGAGAGGTTTTTTTTTTTCTTGGACCACTTAACAGCAATAACATGGGCAGATTAGACAAGAAAGTCAAGTGGTTCAAAATGAGCCTCATTCAGTCTTCCTTGACCAGAGGGATAATTAAGTGCCCACTACGTGAAGTCTTGAGTCAATAGTTTAAAGCAAGAAAAAAGAGGACAGATGCTTGGGACTTCATTATAATCAAGGTGGCAAAGGTTAATAAAAAATGTTTCCCCAGATTTCCAGAGATTTAAATTATAAACTACAAACTATTTATCGTCTTTCAGTATTTGAAAAGCTGTATTTTTCTATGGTTGCAATATTCTACTTACATTTCTAATGTACATATCATTGTAGAATGTAGCTACCAGTATTTCAGTATAATATTGGTATCAGCTACCTGCCAGAGACATTATTCTTCTATCTTCCCCAGTCCTCCGTTCTACCTCCCTTCTAAGGAACCTCCTTATGATACAAAAGCAGCAGCTATCAAGCACTATTAACTCAGTAGCTCAATGATGATTTATAACTCTTAATTGTCCTCAAGCTCAGACAAGGGAAAATGACTGACCTATAATTCTGCTGCTCTGAAGAGATCATTCCAAAAGGATTCTTACACTTAGTCTTTGCTTCCTGGCACAAATCTGGGAAAACTACCAAAGCTCTGAAGATTTTTGGCACCGATGGGTAAAAGGATAAAGCATGAACCAGGACACCCTATTGACAGTTGTGTCAAGCGCTTAGCTTAATTGCCAACCAATAAGGGGATGGTTTGTGCATCGCCCTATTACCATTGTCCTTAGGGTCAGAAATTTTAAGATCTTTGGCAATTCCACGAGTCTCATGCTATGAAGCTGAGATCCAAGAGTAAGACTGCTGGAGGATTACATCTTCCTTAATCACTGCCTAAGCACGACTCACTTCCAAGTAAGTAGCTTACAAAAACAGTGACGCTAAACAATTTCCATTCCATTGAAATAAGGATCTGGAGAGAGTGCAACAACATCAGCAGTTCAAATCCCACAATGGGGCTTGAACTGCTGAAACTGAGTGCAGACAACACACAACAGTGATGGATGAGACTCAGAACACTTGCTCTTTTAAACTAGGGTTGAAGGCTGATCTACATATTGCTCAGAAAGTTAATCTGCACTCTAAAAACTTTTTAAAAATGTTATTTTGCTTGAAATAAGACATTTGGTGACATTCATGTAAATTAAGATACCTGGTGATCCACAATCACAACAGACTTCATTTCCGGGTAATCTCTGTATATCATCAATAATGGCTTTTGTTAGATCCTCTAAACTGTTTTCCCCTGTGCTCTGCTCTCCACGGAATGCCATGTTTAATGCTTCTTCTTTACTGTTAGTCAATACTGATATCCATCTAGTATAAAATGAAGGGTTTTTATGAAGATTGTTTTGCAAATACAACTTTACCTATAAACTATAGCAAGTTTGCAGGTGAAAGAACAGGGTAGATGTGGAGGGGAGGGAGTATACTGTGAGAGAGACTGGAAAGTTAAAAAAAAAGCAGAAGTAAAACAAAAATGAGAGGAGGAACAAAGTAAAACAAGGGGAAACGATTTTTAAATTGCTCATCAAAAAGGGTTTGAATTAATGTACTGCAACATGTGCCAACATATATAATTCCTGGTTTCTGAAGTGGGTTAAAGCCTGGGAGTGGATAGAGACTAAGGGCCAGATTTGGAATTTAGGTTCCTAGGCACTTTTGAAAATATCACTAGACACTTATCTGCATCTTTATATACCTAAATTCTTTAAAAAATCTGGCCCTGAGTCTTTTGCTATAATAGCCCATATACAAGGACTATGAAGGCCAAGTAGATGGGACAGGTCAGGAGTAAAAATGGGATAGGATTTTAGAAAAGAGGAGAAAGATGAGAATAGAGAGTAATGGAGTAACAGTAGTGGCCAACATTAAGATTATAACTGGTAACGTGATCTTACAGATATCAATCTGCAACTCAGTCAAGTTAAAACAAATCAACAAAGAGTTAAAAGTTGTTTCAGGTACTATAACTGTGCTGAGTCTACCCACTGATTTTTAAGGTTTATACAACAACATTTCCCTATTTTTAAAAGTGTGTTTCTCTCACTTCCTGTTGTGTGAAAGTCCCAAACTACGAGGGGCCATTGACTGACAGATTTTACAAGGATTTAGAAAAAATGGCTACACACTAAGTGCTGTCTAATATATCAAATTAGCAAGCTGAAAAAACAAAACAAAAAACAGGTTTTTTTCCTCCAATCCCTTTCAGCTACAGTAATTGTTTGTTACTTGGAGCTAAAGCAGATAAAATAGCACACTTCTGTCTAAAAATGCTCAAGCTCTTCTTAACCAATTTCCTGCTTAGATATTTCAACTTTCTATACTCAGTGTGATTTGTTTTTTTTTTTTTTTTTTGCAGTGTGCTGTAATGTCTAGGTTCAACTGAATGGATTGATGATGAAACTTTAGACTTAATTTCATAGTCTCTAGCGTGCAAATACTAACATATGTGAGTAACTTTAGAGACATAAGTAGTTTAATGGGGAACTTATACAAATAAAGTTACATCATAAATGTTTGCAGAATCAGGGCCTGAATTTGTATTTGCACTCACATATGCACTTTTTTGTTTTGTGATTAATGCGCAAAAGATGAATCTGGGAACAAATGGTCTTTTCCAAAAAACTTGCAAAGGAAGGTTAGTAAAAGCCAGTTTACCATGCCCCCTTCCGCTCCCACCCCTGAGAAATGTAAGCATTTCCAATATTTTCCCTCTATAGTTCTGTGTACAGAAAACAATACATGTGCTACACATAATCTGAATTTGTAAAGTAAAATATATAAACACACTCTAGGTGGCAGTCATTTGCAATTTTGCTAATGAAGACCAGTTTGTGAAAACAAAACAAAAAGGAAGTATTCTTGGCTTCTGATATTAGCATAATCCAGATAAATGTAGGTAATGTACAAGCTGAAATATCTGTTCATTTAGAAATTGGCAACTGGCTTAAAGAACTCGTCAGCAGCTACAGTTATTATGGTTCCAATTTAATTGCAATTACGATAAATAGAAATTAACATTGAATGTCAGATATACAATAGCAATTTAAAAAGCAACTTTCAATCACTATTAGAAGGAATGAAAATTAGATGAAAAATTGGATGTGTGAGCTGACCAGAGGTTTGATTAGTGTTTCAAGCATTATTTTATTTACTACAGTTACATACAGCAATAACAATTCGCTTTTTATTCCTTTTAGCCAAGGAAATGAAAAATTCCATATAGCTGCATATCACCTGATGCAATCTCTGAAAAATTCAGAGCACAAAGCATCATACTGTGTGCTGTAGCTAGAGATTATCAGCAGGGCTAATTTAACACAAACATTCATGCCATTTATAAAACAGAATTGATCATTAATACTCCAAAATGGCAGAAATATATTATATACATTATTCACTGCAGAACAACCTCTTCCCCCAAGCCCTCAAAACAGTAAAATGGCATTTTAACCCAATATGACATTACCAGGTGTCCTATGGTTCTCTCTCTATTTTAATTATAGCTTTGTTGTTTTGTACAGTTTCTGTTTGAAGTACACAGAATGCTTCTGCTTCACTGTATGAAGCCACTGGACGCAATGTAATATGCAAAGATGATCAGATATAAATTTGTAGTGTTAATGAAAACCGGTTGCACAGTTGTCCAATTGTATTACAGACCAGGGTTCTGCAATCTCCACCTCAATTAAGTAGTTGCCCAGTTTTCCATGGTGTTCTCTTCCTCAGATGTCTAGATATTGGACAGCTTTCTGTTTTCTCCTAGGACTCCCTTATTGCCCACAGGTTTCTGTCATTGTTCTGTTTTGGGGGCTGTGTGCTGAGCCAAGTAGCCTGCTAGGCTAGACTGAGAACTTGCTAATGAGGTTCTAGTTTGCCATCTTTGATTCCTAATCCCTTTAGAATCCCTTGACAAGATGGCAGGGCTAATTGAGGGAGAACAGGAGTTTAAAAAACCAGCTTCTAAGCAACTAGAGGAGCTAGCGAACAGGGAAGTTTTGCAAGGGAGTTGCGAGAGGGACTGTTGGACCCAGATACACCTAATAAAAATACTCTAAACTTAGTACAATAACCACCCCCCCACACACACACAATAAAATAAAATAAACAAACAAATCCTGCAAGACTAAAAATAATACAGGCAGGAGTCTAGCAGTATAGTGAGGGGCTATCCATTCTTTTGCACTGAATGCATCACGTAGGACTGCATACCTGTACATTCAGTGCAGGTCTTCAGAGACAGACTACTGGCTCTTTAGACCAGAGTAGCTGAACTGGAGATGCTAAAGGAGACAGAGAGGTACCTAGAGAAGATTTTCAGGGACACAGTAGCATGGTCCTACCCCCAACCTGATAGCCTTTCTGCTGTTAAGGAAGATAAAAGTCTCAAGGAAGGAGAACGTCAAGCTAGAGCAGAGGAAAACAATCCCATAATTGGGACCCTCCTTCCAGATAATGTCCTGGTATCTTCTCGCACTGAGGATACCTCTCCGGGTGAGGGGACCCCAGTTATTAGGAAGAGACGAGTAATAGTAATGGAGGTGTTAATTATTAGAAATATAGACAGTTGGGCTTGTGATGATTGGGAGACTGGCTCAGTGAACTGTCTGCAGAATGCAAAAGTTGTGGACCTCTCAAGACATCTAGATAAACTTATGTGTAGTGCTGGGGAGAAATTGGTGCTCATAGAACATGCAGGTAGAAATGACATAGGGAAAGGTAGGAAAGAGGTCCTGGAGGCCAAATTTAGATTAAAATCCAGCATCTCTATGGTAGCATTATCTGAAATGCTTCCAGTTCCACACGCAGGTCCAGGAAGACAGGCAGAACTACAGAGTCTCAATGCATGGGTGAGATGATGTTATTGGGAGGAGGGATTTAGGTTTATTATGAACTAGGGAACCTTTTGGGAAAGGAGGATCCTATATAGGAAGGATGGGCTCCGCTTAAACCAAAATGGAACCAGATTGCTGGCATGAAAAATTAAAAAGGTATTAGAGGAGTTTTTAAACTAAGGGCTCAGGGAAAGCAGACAGGTGCAGAGAAGCACATGGTTTGGACAGAGAAGCACACAGTTTCTTAGGGGAAAATTTATTCAAGGGGATACTCTATGTCCTAATAAAGAAGAGAGAATATAAGTTGAGAAAGTACAGATAAGAACTGAAGAGAAACTCTGAAATGAAAAAGAGTCCCACTCAATTACATCATATGAAGCCAGACAACTAAATATTGACAAATTTTATAAGTGCTTGTGTACCAATGCAAGAAGTCTAAATACTAAGATGGGTGAACTTGATTGCCTGTGTCAAGGTTCCTTCCCCACTCTGAACTCTAGGGTACAGATGTGGGGATGTGCATGAAAACCTCCTAAGCTTACTTTTACCAGCTTAGGTTAAAACTTCCCCAAGGTACAAACTATTTTACCTTTTGCCCTTGGACTTTATCGCTGCCACCACCAAACGTCTAACAGGGATATAACTGGGAAAGAGCCCGTTTGGAAACGTCTTCCCTCCCCAAAATCCTCCCAAACCTTACACCCCCCCTCCTGGGGAAGGTTTGATAAAAATCCTCACCAATTTGCATAGGTGAACACAGACACAAACCCTTGGATCTTAAGAACAATGAAAAAGCATTCAGATTCTTAAAAGAAGAATTTTAATAGAAGAAAAAGTATAAAGAATCACCTCTGTAAAATCAGGATGGTAAATACCTTACAGGGAAATTAGATTCAAAACATAGAGAATCTCTCTAGGCAAAACCTTAAGTTACAAAAAGACACAAAAACAGGAATCTACATTCCATTCAGCACAGCTTATTTTCTCAGCCATTTAAAAAAATCAGAATCTAACGCATATCTAGCTAGATTACTTACTAAGTTCTAAGACTCCATTCCCGTTCTGTTCCCGGCAAAAGCATCACACAGACAGAGAGAGAGGCTTTGTTTCTCCCTCCCCCCAGCTTTTGAAAGTATCTTGTCTCCTCATTGGTCATTTTGGTCAGGTGTCAGCGAGGTTATCCTAGCTTCTTAACCCTTTACAGGTGAAAGGGTTTTTCCTCTGGCCAGGAGGGATTTTAAAGGTGTTTACCTTCCCTTTATATTTATGACAGCCTGGTATTAAGTGAGGCTATTGATATAATAGGCATTAAAGAAAGTTGGTGGAAAGATGATAATGGGACATAGTAACAACAGGAAAAGGAATACTTGTGGCACCTCACGTCAGCTGTAGCTCATGAAAGCTTATGCTCAAATAAATTGGTTAGTCTCTAAGGTGCCACAAGTCCTCCTTTTCTTTTTGCGAATACAGACTAACACG